GGTCATCTTTATATCCCTCTTGAGGATCAGGACCAGGATCAGAACAGATTCTCTCTCTCTCTCTTATTTATTTTTTGGCGGGGGGGGGGAGGGAGGAGGCAAGAGCCCTTCGCCCCTGTTTCCCTCTTTCTTTTATATTTTCTTTCCCTTTCCCTTCACTCTCTCTCTCTCTTATTTATTTTGTTGGCGGGGGGGGGGGGGGCAACAGCTCTTCGCCCTTCCCCCGTTTCCCTCTTTCCTTCTTATTCCTCTTCTTTCTTTCCTCTTATATTTTCTTTCCCTCTCCCTTCTCTCTCTCTTATTTATTTTTGGCGGGGGGGGGGGGGGGGAGGGCAAGAGCCCTTCGCCCCCTTTCCCTCTTTTCTTATTCTTTTTCCTCTTCTTTCTTTCCTTTTATCTTCTCATTCCCTTTCCCTTCTCTCTCTCTCTTATTTATTTTGTTGGCAAGAGCCCTTCGCCCTTTCCCTCTTTTCTTATTCTTTTTCCTCTTCTTTCTTTCCTTTTAGATTTTCTTTCCCTCTCCCTTCTCTCTCTCTCTCTTATTAATTTTTTTGGCGGGAAGGGGGGGGGGGAGGTAAGAACCTTTCGCCCTTCCCCCGTATCCATCTTTCCTTCTTCTTCTTTCTTTCCTTTTATATTTTCTTTTCCTTTCCCTTCTCTCTCTCTCTTCTCTCTCTCTCTCTCCTATTTATTTGTTGGCGGGGGGGGGGGGGGGAGGGAGGAGGCAAGAGCCCTTCGCCCCCGTTTACCTCTTTTCTTCTTATTCTTCTTTCTTTCCTTTTATATTCTCTTTCCCTTTCCCTTTCCCTTCTCTCTCTCTCTCTCTCTCTCTCTTATTTATTTGTTTTGGTGGGGGGGGGGGGGGTGGGGGAGGGCAAGAGCCCTTCGCCCCCGTGTCCCTCTTTTTTTCTTTTTCCTCTTCTTTCTTTCCTTTTATCTTCTCTTTCCCTTTCCCATCTCTCTCTCTCTCTCTCTCTCTCTTATTATTTTTTGGCGGGGGGGGGGGGGGGGAGGGAGGAGGCAAGAGCCTTTTGCCCTTCCCCCATTTCCTTCTTGTTCTTCTTTCTTTCCTTTTATATTTTCTTTCCCTTTCCTTTTCCTTCTATCTCTCTCTCTCTCTCTATTATTTGTTGGCGGGGCGGGGGGGGGGGGAGGAGGCAAAAGCCCTTGCCCACGTTTCCCTCTTTTCTTCTTCTTCCTCTTCTTTCTTTCCTTTTATCTTCTCTCTCCCTTTCCCTTTCCCTTCTCTCTCTCCTATTTATTTGTTGGCGGGGGGGGGGGGGGGGAGAGGCAAAAGCCCTTTGCCCCCGTTTACCTCTTTCTTCTTCTTCCTCTTCTTTCTTTCCTTTTATCTTCTCATTCCCTTCCCTTCTCTCTCTCTATTTATTTTGTTGGCAAGAGCCCTTCGCCCCCTTTCCCTCTTTTCTTATTCTTTTCCTCTTCTTTCTTTCCTTTTAGATTTTCTTTCCCTCTCCCTTCTCTCTCTCTCTCTTATTAATTTTTTTGGCGGGAAGGGGGGGGGGGAGGTAAGAACCTTTCGCCCTTCCCCCGTATCCATCTTTCCTTCTTCTTCTTTCTTTCCTTTTATATTTCTTTTCCTTTCCCTTCTCTCTCTCTCTCTCTCTCTCTCTCTCTCCTATTTATTTGTTGGCGGGGGGGGGGGGGGAGGGAGGAGGCAAGAGCCCTTCGCCCCCGTTTACCTCTTTCTTCTTATTCTTCTTTCTTTCCTTTTATATTCTCTTTCCCTTTCCCTTTCCCTTCTCTCTCTCTCTCTCTCTCTCTCTTATTTATTTGTTTTGGTGGGGGGGGGGGGTGGGGGAGGGCAAGAGCCCTTCGCCCCGTGTCCCTCTTTTTCTTTTCCTCTTCTTTCTTTCCTTTTATCTTCTCTTTCCCTTTCCCATCTCTCTCTCTCTCTCTCTCTCTCTCTTATTTATTTTTTTTGGCGGGGGGGGGGGGGGGGAGGGAGGAGGCAAGAGCCTTTTGCCCTTCCCCCATTTCCTTCTTGTTCTTCTTTCTTTCCTTTTATATTTCTTTCCCTTTCCCTTTTCCTTCTATCTCTCTCTCTCTCTCCTATTTATTGTTGGCGGGCCGGGGGGGGGGGGGGGAGGAGGCAAAAGCCCTTTGCCCACGTTTCCCTCTTTTCTTCTTCTTCCTCTTCTTTCTTTCCTTTTATCTTCTCTTTCCCTTTCCCTTTCCCTTCTCTCTCTCTCCTATTTATTTGTTGGGGGGGGGGGGGGGGGAGAGGCAAAAGCCCTTTGCCCCCGTTTACCTCTTTTCTTCTTCTTCCTCTTCTTTCTTTCCTTTTATCTTCTCTTTCCCTTTCCCTTCTCTCTCTCTCTGATTTATTTTTTGGCGGGGGGGGGGGGGGGGGGCAAGAGTCCTTCGCCCCCCCCCCACCTTTCCCTCTTCTCTTCTTATTCTTCTTTCTTTCCTTTTATCTTCCCTTTCCCTTTTTTCCTTCTCTGTGTCTCCCCCATCAACATAGTAATAACGAAAAAGACCACTCTGTAATCAAGACCATTCCATTTTATTTAATACATTTTCGATATACTTAAATTGGCAACTATTACCTTCTGTCCGAGATCCTCATTTTAAACGACTGATGCGAAAGACTAGTCGACGCACCCTTTCGAGAAAAGCCCCCCCCCCCCCCCCCCCCCGCTTTCATCGAAAGGGTGTGTTAAAACGGTACTCCGCTCTCAACGCACCCTTTCGAGAAAAGGCCCCCCTCTTTTATCGAATGGGTGCGTTGAGCACACCACACCGCGCCGCACCGCACCGCACCCTTTCGATGAAAGCCCCGTGGGATGCAGATTGTGCAAAAGATGAAATATATGATGGCCCCGGGTCCAAGAACTTGAACACGTTATGGAGACCGTGCCTTCAGCGTAGCTGCTCCGAGGCTCTGGAACAGACTTCTTCTAGAGATTCGGGAAGCTCCTTCGTTAGATTCTTTTAAATCCTCCCTTAAGACATTCCTTTTCAATTCTCCCTGTTAATCCTCCCTGTTAGTCTGTAGCTTTAATGTGTTTTGCACGGTAGATGTAATGTAATTGCCTTAACTTGAATTTGTAATGTTTCGCCCTAAAATTAATTGTATTCTATTGTATATAATAATAATAATAGTCTAATAGTCCACTCCAAATTTTATTAAACCGAAACGGAAATTCTTTTTGCCCAATTGATCGTGAGCCCGGCAGCCACTGAGCAGCGCCAGATCGACGTTGCTCTATCCCTTAATGTTGAACGCCAAACAAGGTAGCAACAACTCCCATCTTTTAACGTCTTTTGGTATGACGCGGCCGGGGTTCGAACCCACGACCTCCCGGTTGTGAGGCGGACGCTCTACTGACTGAGCCAACACTCCGGTATCTATATGTATTGACTAGATGTATCTGTGCTTATGTATGTATTTTTAATTAATTAGGTTGATTAGTATATATTAATTATAGTTATTGAATGTATTATTATCTAAGTACAACTCTGTAAAGCGCTTAGAAACATTGTAATAAGCGCTATATAAATATAATGTATTATTTATTATTATTATTATTTATTATGATAAATATATACACAAGTGCAATAGGAAAGGTACAGACATGAAAAATAAAGGTTTTCAATTATAAGCTAAATAAAACAGATATTTCTGCAGTTTGATACATTGCATAACAAGCAGGTAAAAGGAATCATAACGAAATAGGATTAGAAAATTGCCTATCTATGAATATGTTTAACAAATGCATCTGCAGAGAATCATTAATCAATCGATCGGTAATTCACATCAAAGTTAGTCACTGTAAACTTTTCAACTATTTTCTCCCCTTGCTGCTAATGTTAATGAAGTGTTTTTCATATTTGACATGCAATAAAGATACCTATATGCCTATTCAGATATCTGTGTGTCACAGATTTTTGACACCCAGTCGTGCACTATGCATATGTCATGACATTTTGCTGCAGCAATCTTATAAATAGTGGTTTACTACTTAAAGGCTGATCAAAGCCAGAACAATGTATAGGCATGTATCTGGTATACATCAAATGAATACATAAATAACTATGGCATGCCTAGAATCCTTAATATCAGCCTTTCAGACGTGTCTTGCAAACAACATACATATAAACAATGAACAGTTGTGACTATTTCAAAATGATTGCAACTTGATCTTGATAGCAAATCTGTACTAAAGAGATACAAATTTGTAGGTTTTAAAGGACTTGCGATCATTCCAGATAATGCAACTCTTTAAAACATAGTGCCCTTGTTTCTTGTCAAATTCCATTAATTTTTGTAATACCCTCAAATTATGTCAACTGTACAAGACTAAGCAGCATGATATATATTTTGATTTGTAAGATATGTACTGTACAGGGATAATAGCTACTGTATAAATCCAACAATAAAACCTGTAGGGCGACACTGTTCTCCAATACTAAATATCTCAAACTTGTACAAATTACAACACATAGCATCATGCATTGTGTGTCGAGCTATGTGCACATGAAATATTTACCCTGTGTAGAATACTGTGCCTCTATTAGAGACTAGCATGGGCTCTTGAGCTACCTCTAAACCCATAGATACGGTATGCACACTACACATATGGATGGTTACATTATCTTCTCGATATGATGGTAATAATTATACATACATAGCAGTCTGTACATATTCTTTACATCTTATCGCCATGTACTCTCTTATAGAGTACCGAAGCTTGACGTCGTAAAAATCTATTTTTTAATTTCTCAATTTTTTCTCCATTTTTCGAAAGAGCATCAAAAATAATGTCCGAATGTCGAAAACCAATTGAATATGTTAAATATTGGCCGAGATATGACCATCTGAATAAAAAGATTTCCTCCAGAAACTCAGTGTTATTTGCTCTGGCTCGTATTGGTTAGGAAGCAGAGCAAATAACACTGAGCTTCTACAGGAACTCTTTTTATTCAGATGGTCATATCTCAGCCAATACATATTCAATTGGTTTTTCGACATTTGGACATTATTTTTATGCTCTGTCGGAAAATGCAGAAAAAAATGAGAAATTCTAAAAATAGATTTTTGATGACGTCACACTTCACCACTCTATTACCACTAAATACACAGTATACATATATGTTTAAAAAAATAGATAATAACATTCCATTTTATGAATAACCACTTGATAAACTCAATGAAACAATCAAATTAAATGTTATGGTATAGGTTAACTTAATTCAATGCTCTAGTACATATGTTTCATACATAAGTTGTATGAGTTTTTTTAACATGTATAATCACTAGCATAAATTCATCCCTCTTCAAGGTTTATTTCAAATCAAATTATAATTGCAGATGTGATAAATACATCGTTTAAGATAATTTACATCTTATAATCAGGCATGATTACAATAAAATAAAGGAGAAAAATGGAGGCTAAAATTCAAATAAAAACATCATTCTTATGTTCAAAGGTACATATTGACTTTGTATTACTTTGATTGAAGTAGAATAATTGTTCCATTTTAGAAGTCTTTCATGCTACATTTCAATATGGGTAGGTTTTCAGGCTGACCAATCATAAATCTTCTGTGGGAGGCTGCCCTGCCCCAAAAAGGGGCCAACGCCCCCACAATTTCAGGGATACAATTGCCCCTCATCTAACTTCAGGTTAATGGACATTCTGGAGGTCATGATTCAAAAGAGCTTGAGGCATCAAAGAGTGGACTCGATCTCTGCTGTGGCCGTCTTATGATGATGATGAATCATAAATCAACATAATGCATTGCATTATATCCTAAATTTCCGATGAGTTGTCCAGATATATATCTGACCGTTACATGACCTTACATGCCCTCTATAGGTTGATCACGCTGATAACAGTAAAGTGTGCCATTATTGGATCATGATCAATTGAAGAAAAAAGATGACTTCATCTCATTGCTCATCTCGCCTTCATCATGCTGAGGTGTATAGGAGATTATTCTGCAAATAATGAAAGGAGGATAATATTCAATTACAATATCACAGATTGTGTGTTCATACATGCCTCATTGGACGTCAAAGGGAATAATCACCCCCGCCCCCCCCCCCAAAAAAAAGGGGGAGCACATAGGGAGAATGTACACCTCTGGCCAGAATCTGCATCAACTTACAATACAACACTAAAGCGCTCTTACAAGAATATAGACTCCCCCCAAACACAAAGGGGGCGAGTTGGCTTAGTCGGTAAAGTGCCTGCCTGTCGAACTAAAGATCTCGGGTTCGAATCCAACCCAGGCAGATGACTGAAGCTTGTGTTGTGTGTTAATGCGCCCCTCCCCTTGTTTCATAGACACAGGCTATGTTAAGCGGAAGGCACTCCGTCCCTAAAATAGGACGTTAAATGGGGGCCGTGTAGAGGAGATTCACCACCTTTCTGGTGTAGTGGTCCACCTGAACACCCCCAATCAGTTATACAGGGAGGAGAGACCCTAGGGTTATAGTGATTCAGTTTGATTTTCGCCTCCCAGACACAGGTGACGCCAAATAGGTGACGCCAAATACCAACTACGCCAAATACCAAACAGGTGACGCCAAATACCGGTACTCAAGGATAATAATAACCCCCCCCCCCCCCCCTGAACAAAGAAGTTTGCACCCCTGCCGAAATGGAGAACCCTTATTTGTTGTTGTTGTCTGAAAGATACTTGAAAATCTTTGACTTGCCACTGGTACAACAAGTCAAACTTACCCCAATGATATTGTCAACTGTCTTGGTTGGTAGTCCTGTCACTTTGTAGAGATCTTTAATCTACAATTGGAAGAGAAATCACGTTCATAAGCTGAGCATCTTATAGAGAGCACATGAATATAATAAGATAAACAGTAAAGATATTTAGATGCTGCTTGTAAGTATCGGCTTGCATGGTGATGCAGATATAGAGTAGGCTTGCGGGTGCACCATGATGACGGATAGTCAACCTGTTTGAAACGTTGAGCCACTCCCGCCACTCATCCTCCCCAAGCGCTATAGTTCTCCTTAGAACTATCAGCTAAGAAAGATAACCAACAGTCCTTTGCAGGATTCCCCAATCCCCCCCCCCCCCCTCTCTCACATGGTGCAACCGTAAGCCTACTGTATAGTAAAGATATTGGTTGAATGTTAAACACCAAGTAAGTTACTTTAATGATATAGTTACTATAATGATATTGAAACTTTAATGAGATTGAAACTTTCAGTCCCTTGCTTCGCTGTTTATAGATCAGATATATCTGTGCCTCATATCTCATCACTCAAACCATTCTATAAAGGTAATTGAAGGGAAAAGGGGAAAAGTTGATCCTACTATCAAGTTGCCTTTCAAGTCAGGTTCTATAACACAAAGTTCCTTGTAAGAGTGACAACAAGTGTGACTACTGTAATGATACATGTTTATGTCATAGGTCTAAAAGCTAATAGCTCCACCTTGCAGTGATATGTCAGGCATTCACAACACAGGTACATCTATGTATAGATGCTACAGTGGGAGTTTTGTGTACTAATAAGTATGTTTCAACTAATGAAGTTTCTTTTGAGCTTCTAACTAGATGTCAAGCATAACTATTACAGCAACTTTGGAAATGTTGTCTTTTATATTAAGATGGTTGACATGCTTGGCTTTAGCTGTATATTTAAGATAAGAATTGAACGCAGATGATAATCACTGGATAAAGCATACCTGACTGTATGATCCGAAAGCCTGTCTCCAGTGATGGATGAGCTGCGCCCTTTTCTCTCCCACGCTCTGGAGTGACTTGAGCTGTTTGACGGTCCCCTCGTTCAACGTCTTCAGGATCTCATTCCCTGTGAGGTTTCAGAGAAAATTAAAGATAGCATCATGAGAAACAGGGGCAGAAGGCAGTAGGAAGTGATGTGCCAGCTACAAATGCATCACTGACAGGTTCTAGAATTTGTCAATTTCCTAACTAGTATATGTATTTTCCATTGACTTTGTTAGAAAATAAAATCATTAATGATTGAGAATTGTGAAATCAATTTTTGTTAATTTGATTATATTGATTAAACATTTCAGACTTGGAATTCAGTTATTACTATCAATTTTCTAAAGTAACACCATGTTCTCTCTCTTTCTTTCTCTCTCATTTTCTCTCTTTCTCCCTCCCTCCCTCCCTCCCTCCCCCTCTCTCTCTCTCTCTCCCCCTCTCTCTCTCTCTCTCTCTCTCTCTCTCATTCTTGCTATCTGAATCTGCTACAAGTGTTCCTTATCAGGAATATGAATTCCCTTTCAGCATTGATTGCTCATTACTTACTGTGCTTGGCTTGAAACTCTGGATCTAGCTTGAGATGCCACTGATTCTCCTTCATGTCAGACCCACCTGCTGATGATGACGTCTGGAACAAATGAAGAAGGAAATGCAGAAGAGAGAGAGAGAGAGAGAGAGAGAAGGAAATGCAGAAAGAGATAGAGAGAGAGAGAGATAAATAGAGAGAGAGAGAGAGAGAGTGAGAAAGAAATATAGATTGAGAGTCACATTGCGGGGTCATGGAGGGAGGGAAAGACTAATAAAAAGAAACAATACACAAGTATACAGTAGGCTTACGGTTGTACTATGTGAGAGAAGGAGGGGGGGGGGGATGGGAGAGTCCTGAAGAGGACTGTCAGTAATCTTTCTTTCTTGAGTATGAGTGTAGTCCTGAAAAGGACTGCTGGTAATCTTTCTTGAGCTTACAGTTCTAAAGAGAACTATAGCACCGATTGGAGAGGATGGGTTGTAGGAGGGGATCGACGTTTCGAACAGGTCGACTACCTATCTGTCGTCAGGAAAACAAGAAAAATAGTAAACATGAAAAATAAGCGACATATACTAGGGAGGAAAGAGGTGAACTTGGTGAAGCAGGTTAACAGCTGTTCCATTGAATACAGTTTGATACTCAACATGCATTTTCCATAGACCACTGCCAAAGTTACCAAAGGCATATTATTTAAGATTATAAATGAGATAACATGAATGGAGTGACAAAAGGCATTGGGAAATACATCAGAATTTGATATCTGACAGGGATCCTACTTACAGATGTGGTGACAGCTTTGACAAACTTGACAGTATTTGACTTGTGGGATGATTTGGCATTCTTCTCTTTGTCATGAACCTTTGGCTTTGTGTGTGTCTCTTTGTTATGAGCTGGAACATTGCAGGTTGATTGGCCGGTTGCAACTGTGAAGTGGGAAGAAGGACAAAACAAACGACATGATAAAGATATTTTGCTTCACACTCTTCAATCATATCGGACAATCAGAAATTCAGCAGAAAGTTAGAGAGGGAGGGAAGGGAGGAAAGGGGAGGAGGCGATAGAGAGATATACTGTATCAGGGGTGGGAAAGAGGGAGAGAGAAAGGGGGAGGGTAAAAGAGAAAGAGAGAGGGGTAAAAAAATGGGGAAGGAGAGACAGAAAGAGAGAGAGACTAGCTATGTATGATTCCTTCTTACCTGACAATGGTTTCACCACAGCTTGAGGTAGCGAGGGTCTATTAGGATCATTCAGAGTGAAGGTACTCCGTCTGTCAGGCTTGTTGGAAGTCATCTCTTTCTTCCTGTTCATACTGCTTAGCTCTCTCCTCATGCCCTTCACCTCACTCAAAAGCTTCTTAGATGTCTGATTGACCAAAGAAAACAAAACAAAGATTGTGATGATGATGATGATGGTTACCAATGGTGATGGTTATTTTACTCGACTGCTAAGAAAGCATAAATGCTTGTCAGTAAACAACCAGACGGCCGACGGCTTTAGGTCCTAGAGACCTGGTAATGAGGATTAATGCCTTACCAAATGGCACTAGCGCATCGCCTTGGTATCGAACCCGGGTCACCGGATTATGAGACTACTGCTCTACTGACTGAGCTATCGCGCCTCCTCAAGCTATTAAGCCATTGTTAAGGTTTGTTAGGATATGTCCAGGTTGGTAGAAGTCACCTTATTTCTCTGAATAATATTTCTCAGCTTTTACCTTCTTCACTTTTCGTGTACCTTACTCAAAGTCTTCAGAGGGAACAACGTACAGCATATGAAATTCCAAGACAGAATGCTGACTCAAGTATATACATAGTATTTAAAATTACAATTCACTGGACAAGGTGTAAAGATATATTATAATTTCAGAAAATTCATGGAAACAAATTAGACGTGTAAAGCGATTTTCAATGTGATTAAGTACATACTTAAAGGGACTATGGAGAAATGATAATTGAAACCAATTGACTTACTGGGGTTTTGACTTGTGTTTTGGCATTCTTCATTTGTTTGAGAAGGTTCTGTTCGAGTGAATGCAGCCTTTGATGCACGGTGGACTCAAAGTTTGCTTGTCGGTCTAAGAGAGGCCTGAAAGATAAAGTAAGAAGAGACAACAATCATGAGCATCACTACTTGCATCTATGACATCATGACTAATAAATACTTGAAACACTTTTAAATGTTAAAATGTTATGATTCAACACAGCGTCATCATCATTAAAATTCTGATAAACATTGATTAGCCCCTGACCCAAATAAGAAATATATCTTCAAAATTAATTTTGTTCCTTAAACTGAATCAGAACATCCTTTTTATCCTTATTCTATTCAACTTGTTATTTCTATTTATTACTTAACATGTAGTCAAGACCTTAGGGTGCAATGTAGATTTAAATAAACAATTTTCATATTGAGCTCGATGTAATTCATATGGGGCATTCACGTCAGCAAAATGCATCTTCTTACTTGAGCAATGCATCTTTGCTATGAGCTACCGGTCTGCCATCTACATCTAGAGCTCTAGCCTTGGTAGATCTTGACCGGTCATCCTCCTCCAGTGGTCTCTTCCTGGGGGGTGGGGCAGCGATGGTCTGAGTGGTCTCCCTGGTGAAAGGTTTGTTAATGATCTGCTTTGACTTGGCAGCAAAGTGAAGGGTTGTGTAGGTGTCCATGTAGTTCTTCTCCTCTGGGGCTATGTTGGTTATCATGCAAGCATGGGAACTGCCTCCTAGAGAGTCCTGCATGGGTACAGAGAGGTTGAAAGAAATTAAATGCTAAGGAGTTGTCATATTGCTTTCAAAAGCCTGGCCCAAAATTGTTACAGCAAAATTTGTACATGTACATGCATTCAGGTTATCTCCTGTTCTGCAGTAACTTGAAAATACACTTTTTTCAAAACAAAATAATTGATTTGATTAATGTGACTCACCTGCAGTAATCTTGTAAGCTTACTGTCTCTGTATGGGATTCGTGGCTGTATAGAAAGAAAATCAAAGAGGAAAATAAGAAATGATATTTGATAGATTTTGAATAAGATGATCTTTTTAAACAGTTTTTTAACAAAAGATACCTACATATATAGCTAATGATTTGTATAGTAAATGTACAATAGATAAAAAAAAATGAGAAAAGAAGGGCAAGAAATCAAACTAGTCATTCTGACACATGCAATATGTGCACATAAGAGTTGTGCTTCTCAGGTGAATATGATATCTAGCAAGGTTTTTTAAGTTTGTTTGTATTCTGCTGGTCTGATCAATCCATCTACTGCTTGATAAACAGTTCAGAAATACATTATTAAAACTTGAATTACTTTGCTTCTTTGATGTCTTATTTCTTCCTTTCCCTTGCAGAGAGTGCTACACAAAATATTTTTTTGTGAGATAATGAAAAACTGAGTGTCAAATTCGAAAGAACATACAATTTAAATGACAAAATCATCTTTGTTTGATCAAAATCGGTTCAGAGACGGCTGAAATATCCATAAATATAACAATCTCTAATACTTGTGCACCACCACAAATATTAGATAATTTGAAAAAGCCGTTGAAAAAACGAAATAGCGCCATTTACGTTGTATTTCAGCCAATGCCGATGTTGGCTTGTTTGTTGGCATTATAATGTTGGTTATAGTACGCACAACCAGCCGGCCTATGTTTTGTTATTTTTAATTCATTAATTAATTAAAGGTCACCATATTTTTTTTAAAGTGGAGCTGAATTGGTATGATCATATTGGCTAAATTTCACACATTTTGGGGTCTAAAATTACCTTCATAGCAATTGTAGGTCATAAAAAGGCAATAGAAATGGCATAGATAAGAATAAGAGCAATAAACATGCACTTTCAAACGCATTTGCGGTCTGAAAACAGAACTCAACTATCCCTTTGAGTGCTTCTTTCTCCATCGTGATGCAAAAATTACCATGGTACATATAAAGTGCCCCAAATCAAAGCAGTATTAAATCAAATAAGGAATAGGTACTATTAATAGTAATGAAAAGACACGGTAATTACCAGTCTCTGGTTGAGGGCATCTACCACCTGACCCAGCACAAACAGAGATGTGTTGATGGCACCACTCTCCTTCAACCTACAACCAAACAATGATATCACAGTCATACAGTCATGAAATATATGTTACTATGCTTCTAATACCCTTCTGCAGGTTCTTTCTCTTCCCAATTTCCACTGTACAATTTATAAGAGCTTCTATAATTTACTTTTACAGAGAGATCATATTTCCATATTACAGTTTGGCAGAAATTCCATGTAGTCTCACCTGTCTCTAACTTCTAAGGGCAACACAAGGAAAACTTTGAAAGTCTCTTGATGAAGATAGGTGGCCTTTCTCTACAGATTCTACAACATATATTTCCTCCTTGAGAGAGAGAAATTTGATTAGACACTAAAGTAGGTAACCTTACAAAGAGAATGGAAATGACTGCATCTTCTGCATCTCAGGACAATTATCTCATAAAAGCTTGTTCCTTATTTCAACAATACACAATGAATCTATAAGTTAGACTGCTATCCCATTATTTACCTAATGCCTTTGTTACCAGTCTTCTTGTTGTTCTCACTCCCAGCCAGATCTATGAGATATAGTTTACCAGTCTGTATGTGATGCTGGGATCCGTCTTTTCTCTCCTTTACTATCTATAAAGCAATATAAAATAGCAAAACTAGTGTAGTTCAATTTTATTTTCACATTTTAAGGAATTTCATTGAACATACATTCCAAAATTGTGTGACACTTTGAAAATTTCATTAAGACAAAGAATTCCATGAATGATAACAATCTAGTCAAAAGCTTTCATAGATGTAGAAATAATTCCTCTTTGATTGAGGAGAAGTCTTTGCTTTTGCTATTTGAACATTGTGCCTAAATCAGGGGAGGAGCAGTTTTTACTCGCACAACTTGAATATATATATATATAGATGCTGCACTTGTCAATTGTGACCACCACGAGAGGCACCACACCACAATTTCTTCGTTTAGTTGCTGAAAAGGCTTTCGGCGAGTATCGGCATAGAAGTAGAAGTTGAGTTTTGCAATTGGCAGTCTAAATCATCATTCCTATTTATCACTACATCTTGAGATACAATAAGTCTTCTTACTTTGAGTAGGAGAATGGAATGGCTTCGGCTTGAGCGACTGTTCAGTTTAGTAGCAGCTGTCGTCCTGTCATGAAAACAAATGATTGAACTTCATTAAGAATTTGTTTTAGTATTGAAACCCAATCTAAATGTTTATAAATAGAAAATTGATTTGGGTGAAATCATAAACACACATTAGATATGAGATTTTTCTTTCTGAAAGGGAAAGTCCACCCTAATAATAATAACTTAATATAAGAAGATATATGTGTAGAACAGATCAGTGAAGGTTTGAGAAAAAAAAATCGGACAATAAATAAGAGAATTATGGATTTTTAAAATCCATAACTTTTGATGAAATACTTCCAATCTGTGAGTCAAATTGGCAACACAGTCTCTTAGTATGATGTCATCCCCTCAAACTTTATCCTTTGTTGAATGCAGTTTAATGTATTTGCAGAACGTACCTATTTCTACTGGCTGGTATGAAATACTTGGCAAACTCATTAAAGCTGTTGATGGTTTTCTCTGCTAGCTTAGGGATAAAGATGTTTCTCTTTCTGTCCTCTCGTATTGAGAGGTCGTGACCTTTTGGCTCCAGGAGATCATAAATCTGTAATATTAAAAAGAAATATGTAAATCAGGGGGATGTTTCACGAAACTTGTCATCAGTGACAAATGACAGTGTTTGTCATAAGCTACTAAAACCCTTGCTTCTGATTGGTTATCAGCAGATTTGTCACTGATTTTTGTGATTTGTCATTGAAAAATGGCTTTGTGAAACAGGTCCAAGGACATGTCATTTATTCTGTGCAGTTTCACTTTGTTATGAGAAATAAGCATAACACTCACTGACAGAAAATATAACAGCTTTTGGAAATAAGGCCCCTGCTCACATGAGTCCAAGTCCATGTACAAGCATGCCCCATCTCTCCCCTGAACATTCCTTCCATACTGACCACTTAACATATCCAGAGTAATGGCAAAAATAATCACACTGGGGTTCAGGAGTCAGACATACACATTCATTTTCTCCTAATTAAGAGTAGCAATATAGATTAATGTTTATAAAAGAGCATTATGTCTGTGTCTGAACTTGAACTCAGGACCTATCAATCTAAATCTTTTACCATTTTTCAAACTCTTGTAGAGCTGATTAAAGAAGGTATTCTGTGAAGTCTGTAATCTTGGTTTCAAACAATATTTTGTCTCTCATTTGCTTACTAACAAGCATTTATTGCTTTCTTAGCTGTCAGGTAAAATAACCATCTCGTCTTGTACTTGTATAATTTTTCTAATTTGTAAAGTCGCATATTTGAATAACATTTGTGCAAGAATGAAAATATAAAACAGAAAAAATAAAAATTAATACCAAAAAGTAGGATAGCTGAAGAAATGTAAAATATATGAAATACAAAAGAAAATAATCCTCTGTAATCATTGGCTATATTAAAAATATTTCAATCTGATCAGAACGGTTATATGATAAGAAACCAATCTAACAGAACCAATGTATGGAACAATACCTTCTCTTGGTAAATCTCCAGATAGGAGAAAGATACTGAATAGCTCCAATCTCCTCCTCCTTCTTCTTTTGGTTTCTCCTGGTTGATAACATGAAAGATGTGGTTCAGTGACCTTGGGATGACCCCTGGATTGTCTTCGGATCCTAGCATGGTGAATGTTTTACCTGAGAAAAACATAAAGGCATGTCTTCATCAGCTCGAGTTTGCCAAATAACCCGCTAGTTTCAGACTTGGGATATTATCCTGTTGCTCTAAATTGCGTCTTCACCAAACTGATACGCTCATCACAAACTAGCTCGGACGGGCGCAAATTAGCCCACTATTTCCCAAATAGCGGGATATTTTGGAAACAAGACCAAGATTCCTTGGGATATGTTCTCGACAAAATATCCTGCTAATTGCAACAGCAAGCTGATGAAGACGCAAATTAACTGGTTAATTTGCAATCGGAATAGTTAACATAGCAAGTTATTTGACAAACTCCGGTTTCCTAAGGAAAACTTACATTCAGGGAGCTATGGATCCTTCAAAGGGTGAGTCCAAGATATTTCATACATTTCATAAACAATGGAACCATCAGGGAAATCTGCCTACCTGTGCCTGTTGGACCATACGCAAACACACTTGCATTTTGACCATTGAGTGCATGGGTGAGTAGAGGCTTCACACATCTATCATATACATTCTTCTGTGATGCCTTGCTGTCAAGATATGCATCAAAATCAAAATGAAGACTCTGTTCTGTGTCTCGCCAGTTCCAGATCTCAAGGGCTTTATCAGAGAGGCCCCGCACGCAGGGCTCCTTACCGTCATCTTCATGGGGCTAAGTAGAAAGAAATTGATGTAGCCAAAGGAAAAATGAGAAAAGAGGAAATGAGAAATTGTTTCTCTACATAGAGTGAGATTGTCATTTTAGAATAATTTGTACAATGGTATAAACAAAAACCTCTTTATAGTTAAAATTTTCCCCTTTTTCCTTACTAAAGTTGATTATTTCATTTATGGGGCATGTTGTTTTTGTATGTTCAAGGACTTTCGAAAAGTGAAAAACACATAAAATGTATAGAGGGAAATGGTCATCTAATAGTGTGCACATGACGATTATTTGGTTTTCCCCCTCTTTTCAGTCTGTCTGAAAACTTCACTCTAGACAAACATCAACTTTTTATGTACATAGATATTTCATAATTTTTGTTTTCCTTGGTCATCTTAATATCTGTGACACGAGTTAAATAGTAAATTGAAAGCACAATTTCATCTTTATTCCTACTCTGCCAGGTTAAAGTTGACTCCCATTTCTAAATAATATTTATACCAGTGCTACTTACCTTTAATGCAGGTCTCAGACGGATAGCAACATGAACTCTGCTTCCTTGTTTGGATGACATTCTCCTGCAAAATTGATTGAGAAAACATACTTTCTTCACATTGTTAAAAAAAGGAATAAAATTTATAGTAAAAAGTTTTAGTGTCTTCAAAGTCATCAAAATCAAATATAGAAAAATTGTATTGTGCAGCGGTTTGCCGTGAAACCTGTGAAAAAGTGTATACTAATATCAACATTTATCAAAAAAATACTATAAAAAAACAAGTAAACTCCTGTTTCATGTAAATTTTCTTATCTTTTTCAGAGTATTTTTCCTATAAACGATGACTTATCACGGCACGGAATTCACGGCAAACTGCAGCACAATCGATACAATACGACGGTCGGGTGCGCATGTGTTATAAGTTAGCGACTGTAATCTTAGTTTACGGTCGCTAACTGATCACTCACGCACGCCCGCACCCCACCGTCGGTATGGTATGCAATTGTTTTGTGCTGCAGTTTGCCGTGAGTCCTGTGAGAAAGTGCATTTTATAAGACTTCGCTTTTAGGAAAAATACACTGAAAAAGATAAGAAAATTGACACAAAACAGCCAAACAGGTAACAAAAATATTGACTTTTATGGTGGTGTGACCAAAGTTCGCGCGTGACCTAAGTTCGCTATCTCAAAAAATCAGTAAGATTACGAAAATCTGATATCACCAATGGAAAGAGGAACATAAAATTACCCAGAAGTGAAATTTCTTTGGAATTGGGTACGAAATTGTGAAAATATTGACAAAAGATCGGCAAATTTTGCAATATTTTGCGTCCGTTCCGAAAAATGATCAACTTACCGATAAGGGTCTGAAAATCTTCAATTTGAGAGCAGATTTCCTCAAAATTGTAAGGAAAGAGTGGTACTAACTGATTGTATGATATCTTGCCTTGCAAATTATGATATTACCTTATTTTTGATGGATCACACTTTTTGATAAATCAACTGTAAACCCCCGTGCGTGAAGTTAGGTCTCGTTGTTTTTATGACTTTTTTAGATGCAGCGCGCACGAACGATCGGACATCGAATTTTTAGATCGCGATATCTCCGAAATCCTTCGACGATAAAATTTTCTAGTTGAACTAATCTGTAGTTAAAAACTTCGCCGTCCCTTTGGTTATAATTGAAATCAATAAATTTGTGTAGAATATGAAAAATCGTAGTTCGAATATCACATTTTGTAATATGTTCTAAAATGTCCGCGAACTTTGGTCACCCCTTCATAAATCATGACCTTTATCATGTAGATCTAGACCTTCTATATTTGGACATTTGTTGAATATTTACTTCATTTTGCCTTTTTGGGTGTGTTTTAGTAGGGTATCTCCACGTCGGAATTACTGATCAAAGTTTGGATAGACTTCCGAACTAGCGCCGAAGTTAGGCCTTGATGCGTACTTGCGTAGACATGGTTTTATACCTCGTCATTCATTCATACACACACTGCACTGTACCTCCCATAGATCTAGGGCCTACGGCAAAATCAATGAATGGGACAAGAGAGTCCAAACTACAGACAGTTCACGGAAAGCTAGATCGAGCTAGAGCTACTATTACTAGCTACGTGCACAACAATGATACCAAATATTATTTCCTTGAACCTTGAAGTAGGTTTTAATTGGACATCAAACAACATCTAGGTCAATTTCTATTCAGAAAAAGGGATAGCAGCTACAATTTTTTCTCACCTGACGTTGTTTGGGTTTGTCGATTTAAATATCGCGCGTGAGGCGCATGCGCAAACTTTGTCATCTATCTAGATTTCTTTCCTAAAGTAAAATTCGAACAAAGAAGAGAGGCAAAGAAAGGGGGTAAGCCGAGTCAATTAAATTTCGAATAGTTGATCTTAAATCATATGAGTAAAGCAAGGGCGGATAATTGTATCAAAATGTAGGTAGTGAGGTCAAACTAGTGTCGTGAGAGACGGAGCTGCGCTGAGTGAGGCAACAGAACAAAAGTGGGAGGCCTAGGCCGAGGGCCTAGCTAGGGTCGAGTGCGTGCGCGAGTTGTGATGCGGGGCGAGCACGGCTGATGCTTGGACTCGCAGGCGTTGCTGTAGTGTAGGCCGTACCACCAGTACCACTACCACCTGGGGCTCGTTCCTAGAAACCAACGACTAGACAGTCATAACTTTATCCGCCAACTACGGAGATGTCTCTGATCTTCCTAAACCGTTTCACGAAGAGCTTACTAGCTAGTATCTCGTGAGATCGATATTATCGGCGAGAAGAGGAGCCGAGAATTAGCCTTAGGGTCTAGATTCTAGTCGCAATACCACCAGATTATTACAAAATTAATATTAGGGAAAATGCAATTATTTAAATGAATTAGTAATAAAAAAGATTAAAAATGATACCAAGAAATAAGAGATCCAATATACTTCCAAATTTGTGTAGATTAAACAATTGAAGTACTTGTAAAATATAATTGTGAGTTTTTCATTACATGACCAGTGAATCAGTTTTGTTGTTGAGATGGGCACCCCCCGAATATTTTCATTTGATAGTTTATAAAAATACACCCTTATATTATTCTTTGAAAAAATACGATGTAATGAAATTTGTGTTCAATGTTTTTGGCGTCGGCACAATATAAAAATTACAAAACTTTAATATTTCAAACGTTAAAACATATGTTTAAACCATTCACTTTGCATAATTGAAAATAAAATTCATCTCGAAATTAATATGGGTCTGAAAACTAAAGAATACACTTCAAACTATGGCTTGCCTGCCGTGGCAAAATACATATCCCTTCGATGAGTTTACAATGTGGAAATAAAGGCGTATAATCAGTTTATTTAAGTGGGAAAATCCTTAGATACAAACATGGCATATTTTCATGAGATTATCAAATACAAAAAACGATAATTCACTGTTTAAGTGAATGTGTAGAAATATCATAGTTGGAGGATTTATTGTCCCTTTTTGCCAGCCATAGTCTACCCAATAAATGACATGTGATGGCGCTGCCCATCGACTAAATAGTTATGACAGAGATACGACGGTGTCAGAGGTGTCATAACTCCTTAGTCAGGATGTTGTCGTTGATCTTGGCAAAGAGGGCTTGGTGAAACACGTAGCGGACAAGTTGTTCACTAACGCTGACTTAGTCAAGAAGTTAGACTTATGACGGTTTGTAGGAACGGGCCCCAGTACTAGGCAGTACATGCCAGCACTGCACTGGCAGCAGATCTAGATCTGGCACTTGTTTCAGCTTTGCCGAAATTTTATATGCAGCTCACGTGATTGACTTGATAATTTTGATTATGTTGTTGTTGTGGGATATGATAGAAGACCAAAGTTCTGTAGTGTAGGATGTTATTAAATGTTTACATGTGATCAGATTAGAATTTAGATGGTGACTGATTGATTTCTCTTCATTAACTCACCCCCAAAAATCCCCCTTCTGGCTCCCAGATCCCCCATCACATCGGCCCTTCCAGCTCCCCCACCCCCCCCCCCCCCCCCACCTCCCCCACCTCAGGCTTGGCTCGGTACTTGGTGCAAGGCCAGTTTGGGAGACTGCTCCCCCCTCCCCCCATATTGGAGATTCCACAAAAAATACCAAGAACATGAACAAGGCCATTTCCCCAGCAATTCATAATTCACAATTCACGTCAAGATTCACAAGAGCCTATTGCCTATTCGTTTTGTGTGTGGATCACAAGTTAACAAAAAAACTTGAATAAAAAGAATTAGTCTGTGAATTCTTAAAAGTAGAAAAGGGGTGATGTTGTTATGAGGAATTGGCTCATCATATTTTTATTTTGAATCAAGGTAACCTATTTGCAAAGGATGTAAATGAATGATATTGTTATTTGATTGTTGAGGGATATAACAGCATCTAACATTTTGGTATGATTTCAACAGCAATTTTCCTAATGAAAATTTTTGTGTATAAACATCTGCATCTTCCATTCTTTTCTCATACTTCCCTGAGTTCCCTCCTTTTTGTTTGAAATTGTTATATATCAGTGATGAATTGTGACCCCAAAGTACATTCAATAAGAGTAGAAAATCAGATTATCTAAAAACAAATTAAGCAATTAAACTTATCTAAGACAAATGAAAATAAAATTGTCAATTTAGTCTGCATGCCAGTTTATCATTTCACTGAAATCTTCAATTCAAGTGCTTCACACAAGGCTTGATGTCAATCCTAGTCAGGTGATGTTCAAGCAAGGATTTTCAATCATTTAGTTGAATAATTTTAACCTTTGGATATATGCTGACCTAATAAGAACTATACATTTTTGAGTTAATTATAACTGGCACTTTGCAAAGTGGATGACCGAATGCATGACTTTTTATGAAAGAACCGAACATTACATTAGGTATTTATATGTTTATTTTTATTCTTACAGGTAGATGATTCAACCTCTTAGGATGTCTGAAGCAGTCAAACCATCAGATGTTCCTCCCGAGGAGCAGAAGAGGGAAGGAGAAATACAACTTGAAATGGCTCAGGAAAAAAGCGCGACAGAGACAAGTGACATAGAGCCAAAGAAAGTAGATGATGCTACGGCGAAGGTAGAAGAGATACCTGAAGCAATTGAAATAAAAACAGAAAAGGATGCCACACCAAGTGCTACTCAGGAGGCGACAGCAGCAGTGGAAAGTGATGCAGGAAAGATACTCAATGCTGGTCCAAGCATCAAGATTGAACCAGGTATTTTGGGTGACAATGCAGGGGACATACAAGGGAAGGAAGCTGAAGGAGACCACGTCAAGCTGGACAAAGAAGTGCCTACTGAAAACATCTCTGAAGAAAGTGCTGTACCTGCTTTGCCAAAGAGTTCCACTGATGAGACTACTTTAGTTCCAAATGTAAAGGTTCCTTTAGGTGAAAAGGTTGAAACTACTATGAAAACAGACACAAGTGGTGCTGACATTGAATCTTTAAAAGATAAGGAAGAACTGAAAAGCAACGATGCACCTTCTTCCAATGTTGAGCTATCAGGATCAACCACAGAAAATATGGACATTGCTTCATCAGACCCTCCCCCATCTAGTGTGAAATCAACACCAGCAGTCCCTCCCTCATCTAGTGTAGAATCGAAACCAGCAGTCCCTCCCCCGTCTAGTGTGAAATCAACATCAGCAGTCCCTCCCCCATCTAGCGTAGGATCAACACCAGCAGTCAGTACCAACAGTGAAATAAAAACTGATATAGTCCCAATATCAGATGTAAAAGAACAGACGATATCAACAGCTGAAACCACAATTAGCCGTGAAATCAAGAAAGAATCTGGTTTAATAACTGATACACAAAGGGCAACTTTTGAAGATTCTGCATCCAACATAAGTGACAAAATGGAAATTGATAGTGAAAGTAAATCTTTGACGGATATTTCTAAGGACAATGTGCAAAATGAAGAGACTTTGGCGCAAGGTAACGTGCAGAAGACAAACCTTCCCAGTGATGTTGGAGTGCAGAATAGAGAGACGCATGATGCAAATGGTGAGCAAAAACCAGAGACTACATCATTACATAGCTACATACCGGTACAACAGAAGGAGTCAGTCACCATGGATATTACACAAAAGAACCAGAACAAGGCTGTGCATGAAATTATTGCAGAGCAGAGCAGTAGATTGGACAGGGAAATGATTGTTTCAACACCAGTACCTTTAGACAGACCAAGTCTTGTTCAATCATCAGTTCCCCCAATTGAAGAAGACATTCCAACCACGGTTCCATCTGCTGTGCGAACCCCTGTTCCATCTGCTGTGCAAACCCCGGTTCCATCTGCTGTGCGAACTCCTGTTCCATCTGCTGTCCAAACCCCGGTTCCATCTGCTGTGCAAACCCCTGTTCCATCTGCTGTGCAAACCCCGGTTCCATCTGCTGCGCAAACCCCTGTTCCAGCAACACTTCCTTCAGAGAAAGAGAGTGCTGTTTCTATACCGGTCCCTGCAGAGAGGTCAGAACCTGTCGCTCATCCAGATTTGGCAGTACCTGTTACTAAGTCTGATCCCAAGACTGAGGTACAGGAATCTCTGGATGATTGGGATATACCAGCCACTGACGATGAGGAAGAGGATGAAGAAAACCAAGCAGGTAAATACTTCTTATAGATCCTACTCGTCTTGTATAGGACATGGGGCTACTTCCTACAGATTTGCAGTGGGGTAATGGGGATTGGATGGAAGGGAATGTATTAAAGATGATAACTTCAGATAATTGTCTTGTATGCAATGTATAAAGTTCTTAAAAAATACATGTAAATTAAATTTGTTGTCTGTTTACCAACCTGGCATTCGTGAACAATAAAACAGTCCTCCTTTAACTGGATTACTTTCATATATCAATTCTGCAGCAGATGGCATTGAGAAGAAGAAGAGGAAGGTTGTGAAGAGAGGCTACTGGGAGCCTCCTATCGATGTGATCGTGGATCTTTATAAGAAGCTTGACCAGGATGGGATCCTGGAGCTGAGCTGGAAGTGCCCTGGAAGGAGACCTCCGAGTGAGGAAGGAGACAAGGAGGAGGAGAAGGAGGAGATGGAAGATGTACAGGATGAGGAGGCAATGGAGATATCTCAGTGAGTTCAAATTTGAAAGGATAATTAATCATTCAGAGAAGGTTGAAATGAATTTATGTGTGCATAGGAAAATTTGCAAAGACTGCCTTTTAGCAAGTTTGTGATTAATGCAACAACAAAAAAATAATTTCGCAATGATATCAGATATGTAAATTTCAGGTATACGCAGCGAAATTAGACAAAGAACAAGAAAGTTATGAGTTTTTTTTAAAGCCAATATTAGTAATGATATGGGGAATTTGCTTCTGGCAATGAGATCATTGTGTGTCATGTAATGCAATACTTGGAGAACTCTTCTATCTGTTTTGAACCCCTTACACTATTTTTGTTCTAAATTTTTATGATGAAACAGATGTCTGAAAGACTAACTTCGTCTTTAAAACATTTAAGGTAAAGACCAGTATTGAAAACGCCCCAATTTCAAAAAATGAAATGGAAGCTCTCATTACCAATCATGTGAAAGAATATGTTTTGACTAATACATCATGATAACAAATTTGCCGGGAAACTGCCTACTAATTCATATATTTGGTAAATTTGTTTCTCTCATGGTCTGTGAGAGATATAGGGTAGTCCCATATATGTCTTTCTGTGTATAGTGCTTGTAACTTTACGAAGAATGGGCCAAATTTCTTATCATTTTGATGATTCCAGAACCTTGCAGATGCTAGATGCTAGATGATCAACCTTTTCTGATCGATTCCACAATGTTTCTTTCACAATGCAATCGCATGACCATAACTGGTCTTTACCTTTAATAATGGGCAACATAATCGGTAGCTTTTCAGTGTCATCGGCACCATCGATTCCTGTTCTTCTGCCCAGTCACTTTGTTGGATAAAATAACTAATGAGACAATTACAGCATTAGAGTCCAAACCCTCTTCATTTGACATCTAGTTGTATATATTTGTCTATTTTCATTGATGTATAGGGAGGAAGATCCTACAGAGTTTGATTTTGACATGGATATAGAACTGGATTCATCAGTACAGAAGAAGATGACACCGAGAAGAAACATTGGTAAGTAGGATCTTCATGCAGATTGGAGTTTAAAATTTATTTATCTTTTCTATCTATTGTATTCCTGACAAATCTTCAAATTAATTTTGGCTGTCAAGATACCTATCCCATGTGTGTGGGCCTTCAGGGTATCTAGTAGACCAGACACTGAATGAATATTTTTTCAATCAACCCAGATAATTTTGGCAGTTACTCCCAATTGTGTATCTAAATTACACTAAAAAACGATAAAACAAGAGGCAAATTTTTCATCTCATAAAATGATATCACTTTTGCCTGAAATATTTCCAAAATGCTTTTCAAAGCACACATATTTATACACAATCTCCATTTGCTGAAAATTTGAAATGATACTTTTATCCCAGTCGATTGCAAGTGAACAGTTTTAGCTGCAGTTATCTATATTGTAGAGGTGTTGTGGTCTGGTCGACACGTCAACGGACTGTGGATCACATGGTTTGAGGTTTGAGTCCCACCGCAGGACTAATATCCTTGGGCAAGATCTGGGAAGATTGAATATAGGCCTTTATAGAAATTATCTTTTCCTCTCCTCTTTCCCCTTGATTGATTGATTGATTGAAAAGGTTTGATTATGATTGCACTTCGCAGCCAAATGGCTGAATTATGTACAATTTACATTGGCAATAATACATACAAATGTGGTTTGAAAAACGAATCAACTATGATAAGAACAAGATGCTATTTGCACAAGTACAATATATATAACAAAATTCATAACCATCATGAATAAGGCAATAAAAGGCAAAAGGTAAAAGACAGAGAAAAGAGGTAAAGGAGATTATTCCTCTATTTCCTGATCTTCCTTTTTTCATTTCTCTGCCCATACAGGAGGTGGACAAGCCCAAGGTAGTGGTAAGAAGAGAGTGGCCAGGATGGACAAGGTCCTCAATGATATCTTCAGACATCGTAAGATTGACACCTCCCTGACCGATGCCCAGAAGAAAGATGGTCAGGAAGACAAGGAATCTGACCAAGCAATGGATACCACAGTATCGCCCATTCTCGGACTCAACAGACCTTCGGATAAATTTCACATTCGCAGTGATCTGAATGGGTGATTAAAGTATGTAGGCAGCAAAGATATAATGGAGATTAATTTATTTAGACATGGCAAGATTGAGAACTTCATAGTAGATGCCAAGATAAAATAGATAGGAAGGGGAAGGAATCTGACTCATTGATGCATACTACACCCCCCCCCCCCCCCACCCATCCTTGCACCCAACAGATCTTACAATAAATTCAACATTCTCAGTGATCTTTAATTTGTGATTAACGTTGTGGTAGCAAAGATATGAGGCAGTGAGTTTTATGAGCTGTGACAAGAGTGATAGGGGGACGACAATGGAACTTGCCAGGCCACGAACACTACAACCTTTTCCTTCCTCCTACCCAGTACATTGGCTAATAAATTTCACACTTGCAGTGACCTCCTTAAGTGATAAGTGATGTACAAGATTATTTGTTTTGACAGCAATGTGTTATGATGAATATCAATCATCAAATTTCATGTTTTTAATCTGAGTATCGATTTGACCTGCTTCTGTGATATTTTAAAGCAAAGTTGTTATGCCTCTGCCACTGAAGGCAGTGCCGGAGGCATTGATTCTGCTAATTGAATAACATAAGTTAAACTTGTTGAGTTAAAAATAAAACTTAGTGTACCGGTATTAAATGTCTGTCACAGAATCATTATATATTTACTCTCATGTAGCTGTTTACAATTTTGGGATGTAATGTGGGCTAAAGTATTGGACAATTTTTTGAGAAAGCAAATTTATTAAAAATGCTGATTTCAAGAATGACCAATTTACTCATTTTCTGAGACACCATAGGCCTACCGTTATGACTGTGTGAAGCACAAATAGTTGAGAGAACTCTTATTGATTTTTATGTTTCCATTCAATTCAATTCTCCATGATCTTTGGGAGTTCCTGCCTCGATAGACAAGTATCTTTATCTTACTGATCCATGTAAGTCTTTGCTGGGTGACCTGTGGTGTGTTTGCCCCTTGAAGACTCGCAGAAGAACATTTGTGAAATTATTTCACTCTTGCTCCTCTAGCAATAACCACAAAAGTGAGGCGGCGTTCTCTCAGTCTGACCGAAATTGGTGTAATATCTCTCTACAACTCCATATTTATCATACGTTCTGCAACATTTAAACTTTTACAATACGTAATAATGCTGGAGATTCGTGTATTGTGGCTGCAGGGATCAATGCTCTCTAAAAACATTCCATCAAATTAATTCATTTTAATATTGTCAATAGGTGGAGTGATTAATGTGTACAAATTTGACGCTGTATGTGATACATGTATTTTGTATTCCTTTCATCACATATTTTCCAGCTACCATGTGATAATATAATATGTGAATAATGTTATATAGTTTATGACTATTAATTAAACAACTACACCAAAATTTGAAATGAGGTTTTATCAAAATTTGATCATGTTACAACTTACAAGACTTTTTTCACATCAGATTCAAATAGACACAATGTGTAAAGTGTACATGGAATGCTAAATTGTATATATTGAAGTAAATGTGAAGCCAAGTTGTATTTACTAGTGTAAAGTTATTTCATTTTTAAGAGATATTGCTAAAAAAATTTGAAATACATGTATTCATATCAAAATTTATGTGAATATAAATGATCAAGCAAAATAATTGAGAGAGAGGTGAGAAGAAACAGAGATGGGGTGGGGGAGAAAGAGAGAAAGACAGGTGAGAGAAAATGAAAGGAGAGAGAAAGAAGGTGAGAGACAGATCAGATAAATGGAAATAAATGATAGAGAGAGAGAGAGAGAGAGAGAGAGAGAGAGAGAGAGAGAGAGAGAGAGAGTGAGTGAAAAAGAAAGGATAGAAAAAGAAGAGAGAATAGGATGTGTGAGAGAAAATACAGAAGAGAGACAGAAAGGTGAGAGAGCAAGAAGAAAATTAGAGAAAGTCTAGAGACAAATACAAGAGAGAAAATGAAAGAGAGAATTGGAGAAAGTTGAGAGACAAGGATAGAAAGAGTGTGTGAGGACATACTTCGATATTAGGGGAGTAAGGGTTATGGGATACAAAATAACTAAACAGATATAAGACCTGTAAACAATATATTGGTAGATAAGTTATATGCCCATTCATAAGTGAAATTTTAAAAATGGGTGAAGGGAGGATATACGTAACTTACAAGATATATACATTTACATTGAGGTACATATTAAATGTCATTCTTATTCATGCCATTTCCATCCTATACCTTTCATTTGTAGTCCCCACTATCCCTCTATTTATCAGTTTATCACTTTTTCCTTTTCTCTTCTCTCAATCTCTGTCCTGTCTATGTATCTTCTTTAGGCCAATTATAGCACAGAGACGGTACCCCTCCTGTCTCTCTATTTTGACTCTCTCTTCTCAGTACTCGATCTACACACTGAATGTATCTCTCTATTCTGACAGTATTCTCTGTTTGTGACCCTTCTCTCATGGTCCCTCTCTTTTTCCCCACCTCTCACTATCATTCGGTATCTCTCCTTTTTCGTTTCGATCTGTTTGCTCTTTCTAACAAATGAGTCACAAGACGATGCCTCCCCTCTCCTTCTTCCTCTTAATTTCTCTCCCCCCCCCCCCCCCTCCTCTCACTATTATTTCTATAGTAAATTGTTCCTTTTTCATCCGTCTCCATTTTGTCTGTTAGTTCTTATAACATTTCCATAGTTACCTTATCTTGAATCTTCAAGTTCCTCTAAAATCTATCATATTTCTACCAAACAATACAAGGAAACAACTGAGGAAAAAAGGAAGATAAAGAGAAAAAAAGAGAGAACTTAAAATGGGGGAAAATGAGACTATAATATACAGCTGAAATTATCATGTTGGCTGTGCTTTCATCAATATGAAATTCCTATTTCAGGAGCACACTTTATATAGAGCATTCTTGTCTCATGATCTATTTTAAGTATGATCTGACATGGGAGACGCCCAACTTGTCATCAGCAAAATAGCTTCGAACTTTGTTATTGTTTACTTTGTGACTAATTTTTGAGGATTGCACACACCACATCCTTTTCATTGATTGCAGCAAGAGTCGAACTTGTCAGACTGTGCTCCTTTTTACAAAGCACGGTCAGCCTTACAACACACAGTACAGTAGTGAAAGAAGGGAACAGAATCAAGGGTGTGTGTGATTCATGACGTCACTCGTAAATACTAGGTTATGTGTGTAGGAATATGGGAAAACCGGAAAATGTAGTGACGAGCAAAGTTAAATGTAAGATTTATCCGTAGTGCTCATTAATCTCTTTATCTGAGGGTTACCAAATGAAACTTCAAAATTTATAGATGTTCAGTGTGTGACTTTTATCGTGTAATATCACCAACTAGGACAATTTTCAACATTCCCAAATCACACGTGATGTCCGCCGACGCGGGGGCATCAGGCTCAACTAATGTAGTTGCTGCAACCAGCGGGGTGATGGCGAACTCCCCACGGCTCGTCCAGGCAGCCTGCTCGCCGGCAAATGCGGTAGCCATCTCCCCTCCGCCATCGGTACCTACCACTTCAACTTGCACTGCTGCAGTGAAAATCAGAGGCGCACCAAGCAAATATGTGAAGCTAAATGTTGGTGGATCGTTGTTTTACACAACGATTGATACATTAACGAAGCAGGATAACATGTTGAGGGCAATGTTTAGCGGCAGAATGGAGGTTTTGACAGATTCAGAAGGTGAGATGTCGGAGTCTTTGTAAATTTGTGTAAAATGTTATTGTCAGTTTCATGTGGCCCTGCAGCTGCATAAGATAAGATATTTATTTGTTTTTCTTTCAAATGACACATAGACCCTTCTAGAGCATAACATTAGATCATTACACATGACATTTACAATGCAAAATAACAAATTATGGCAAATTGGCAATGATAAAAACAAAGTTAACTAAAAGAAAGACGAGGAGAGTCAGGAGACCCTGACATTCTGAGCTGTGCATGTGTCGCCTATTAAAATAGAAATATGCGTCTGATCTAGGGAGTTCTGTAATTTATCCAAATATAGGGACTTTCAGCTAATCTTGTTTTCTTGAAAAAACTGCATGCGATCGGCAACCACACATATATATATATTATATTGACATAAACTATATTGCGTGAACTCCCCTCAACGCCTGTACGATGTACTTTCTTACTCTTTGTAGAGGCAATCAGCGCAGCGGAGCTAGACGGAGTCCTAGAACAACTGTTGATAAAGAGTTAAAGATATGAAAGTGTTGAATTGTGAGGGGATGACATCACATTTTCTGACCGCATTGCCAATTTGTCTTGAAGATTCCATGATTTTTCATGAATTTTAAAGATTCATAACTTTTTATGTTGTCCGATTTTTCTCAAACTTCCACCGAATTGTTTCTCTAAATTTTCTGCGTCTATTAAAACCAATTTAATATCAGGTTGGACTTTTCCTACTTCAAAGATAAAGTTGAGTTCTGGTCATGCGATTGCGATTGCGTGGAATCTATTATTAAAAGTTGATCATGTAACATTAGTATTGGTGTGTACTGCAAAGTTCTGGAGTCATCAAAATAATAAAAACACATTTCTCTGATGTTCTTCCACACTTGCATAATAACAATGATAATGCTCATAAATAATTTTTCCCCTCTCCCTCTCCCTAGAACTCGACCTTCCCTTTAATTCCCACCTACTGAGCATTATAAAAAACGCTACCATCATCTCATTCTCAAATCCACACAGGCTGGATCCTAATAGACCGTAGCGGAAAGCACTTTGGCATCATCCTCAACTATTTACGAGACGGTCACATCCCTCTGCCAGAGTCTGTACAGGAAGTGGAAGAGTTGATGGCAGAGGCAAAGTATTACCTGGTACAAAGCATCGTAGAACAGTGTAACAAGGTGCTACTCAACAAGAAAGATGAGTTCTATCCCGTTTGTCGGATCCCTGTCATTACATCGCAGAGGGAAGCACAGATGTTGATTTCAAACTCAGCTAAGGTAACGCCCAAGGGACTTTTCCTTAGTGAAATGTGGTCAAAATCTATGAAAATAAGTAAACTCAATAATTTCCATTGTGTTGAGTTTGTGGTAAATTTGTTTAGAGCATTGAATTAATTTCTAGAGAAAATGTACTTTAGAAAATGACATGTACCTTTAACAAGAATCTTGGTGCTAGATACATGGACCATTGCTGAAGTGACTTTACACCTTAGTTTTGGCATTTTGGCAAGCGAGAAGGGTATCAAACTAAAGTAAAATTGGGTAGTGTGATGCCTGCATGGACATTAAAGTTACTGAACATAATAACATTTGACATGCATAATGAGCCAGCATACATCTTTGAATATAGCTAAACTAGGGTGCATTTAAGTAAAAAAGTGAACCTTATTCCGATTCTTTTTTATTTGTTACAGCCTGTGGTGAAACTAGTGTACAACAGACAAAACAACAAATACTCTTACACAAGGTGAGTTCAACATATTTTTCTTACAGTCTATTATTTCATTATTTAACTACCATCAAAGATATCAATGGTATTTGACTTGATGTTTATTTCAATTGTATATTTGGCAACATGTCTTAAGCTTTAATAACTTCAGAAACAACTAAATAGAATCTCAACCGAAACATTCTGCTCCCTGTTTTGTAAGAGACTAAGGGTTTGGGATAAGATTGGATTTTCGGTAAGGATTAGAGCTAGTGTTAGGGGTACATGTACTTTGAACGGGTGTTAAAGATAAGCCAGAGTTCTGGTAATGATGGAAAAATAGATTCTCACAGAATCCAACAAAACTTGCACTGAATGTTGAAGATTACAAATAAATGACATGTGCCAAACTATTTTGGTAGAAAATGTATAGGGGCTGAGTATTGAGCATAGAAAGATTTATAAGGAAATCAAGGTAAGTACATGTAGGCCCGAGTCCGTCAACACAGGTCACTATGTGCAAATAAGAGTTGTGGTTTTTATTGAAGATGATTTCCAGCAAGTTTTTGTGAGTTTGATTTTATTTTACTGGTTCAAACAATCGATCTACTGCATGATAAACAATCCAGAATGAATTATAGCCATGTTCTCTAGACATACCATGCCCATACCATAGCTCAAGATTAGCTTTAAATTTAAAGATTTGGTCAGTTTTAGAAATGGATCTTGGAGTGATTGATATCAGACTATGTGTCAAACATGTACAAGCAGATGAAATATAGTCTCTACATATAGTTTTATCCTTTCTTTCTTTCCAATTGATAGAACAATATATTAATGGCACAGTTGTGTACCTTAAACTCATTCTTCATGTAATTTCTTTTATCATTTCAGCAATTCTGATGACAACATCCTGAAGAATATAGAGATGTTTGACAAGCTTTCTGTTCGCTTCAACGGCCGTGTCACATTTGTGAAGGATGTGTTCGTCAATGAGGAGATATGTTGCTGGTCTTTCTTTGGACATACACGCAAGGTAGCAGAAATCAGCTGCACATCTATTGTGTATACCAGTGAGAAGAAACAAACCAAGGTGAGACTCACCTGCATGCAGAATAAGTTTCTGAACTTCTTAATTCATTTTTTAAATATTGAAATATGAAAGATAATGTTACATTAGATATTTATTCAAAAATCTTAGCTATAAAGAGTGTCCACTTTTTTTTTGCTGAGTGTAATTAGTAATCTATTGATGTTTGAAGGTTCATGGTAATTATTTTACAGGATGTTAATTAAAGCTATTCATTAAGAAAATATATCTGACTCCAAAACATTGTGATTGCTTTCAGGTTTCCATGCTTATTTAGTACAAGCAACTGGTATACCTGTATAATGTAATTCACATATTGTAAATTGCATTATAACATTGTTTCATCAAGTGACAAGAGAGGTCTGAAATGGTATTATTTATTATAAAAAAGAGAAATATATCAAGAAGAGTTATTAGTTATTAATAGTGGGATTCCAAATGGTAGAAAATCATAGGCATGTTTTAAAGGGGGTGTAAACTGAAGAGTACAGGGGAACTCCATCTACGTCTCCTTTTGGACAACTACACGTAAACAAATGGACTTGATTAACGGTAGTCAGGGACTTAATCTCTACATGGTCAGCATTCGCGAAACAGACCACAGTTCTCCTCACGCTTCGGTTCGCATATGTGGCATGCACGTGATTGCTGTGGTCACGTCCATAGTCGTATTATACCCGATTGGTTCCGAGACAGGCCACGGGAAAGACACGTAGTCTTGTCAGTTAACACCTTCTTGATTGGATTGGAGATCAAATTTTGTGTTTTCCTAACGGTTTTATAACACTACAGTCTATCGGGGAAAACAAGCATGGTAAAACCGGTCACTTTAAATAAAGATTTTTACTTTTTTGAGGCACTTCATGATCATTTTGATGCACAATTTTGTTCGGGCTTAAATATTACACCATATCAATGATGCATTTAATCAATCATTTTTCCATCCAGGTTGAGTTTCCAGAAGCACGCATCCTTGAGGAGACACTCAACGTCTTGCTCTATGAGCGTCACACAGAGAACGAGAGTGACCCCGCCGTGTTGCGCCAGATCGGCTCGCTGGTAGCGGCGGGACCATCCAGCTGTAGCGACGAGGATGAAGATCATCCAAGGGATATCCGTCTACGTAAGACATAGCAATCAGCCGCATGGGGCTGGAGATTAGAGAGCTACCACGACCGACGCAAATCATTGTAATGGGAGTGGCAGGATGAGTGACGTCAAAATAATGAGAGAAAGAGAGAAAGAAAGAAATGGTCTGTTCAGTTTGCCCACAGGTTTGCTTGTGATCTATAAAGTCATTGGTAAATATTCCTTTCAAATCCTCTCAGTCGGTTAAAAAAAGGAAACATTCTGATGGTCTTGTACCAAATGCTTTCCACATTATATACGGACCGTCAAGCTTGTATAGCATATTTGCTTGCAAGTCAAGTATGACTCTCAAAAATATCATAATAAACCCGACTGGATAATCTGAGGATAGGAATATGAATCCTCTTTGTTTTTAATCAAAAGAGTATAAGCAGATGTGGGCTACTGTATCAAAAGACCATTTGTTTGGAAAAGAAACATCAGGTTTACTGTTTACTAAATAAAACTCCCAAACTGAGGTTTGAATCATGAAATCGTACCGAGTGCTGCATACAAACTAAGGTGTATCAACAAGTATCAACAAATCGAGGCTAGCCATAGTTCATTTGCATGCTTGTTTTATCCTCCATTCTTTGTTTATTATTTTGCTTTCTTGGATATTATTTTGCATGCAACTTGTATATGATGTTTATTTTTCTCTTGAAAAGGGCATTTTGAAGAGGATGCTTGTCCTGAACTTGTACAAAAATGAGTTTTCCAAAGTTTCCTTACATTTATTGATTATGTTTCATGTCAAGATTTACCCCATGAAATCAATCAAACACTACTGTGTCAGAAACAATGGTATTTTTTAAAAAGGTAAGTAGTTATTAATTTATTCTTTCTCAGTTTAATTTAGAAGGAATCTGATATATATCAAGTATTATTTTCTCACAGCATTTATTGAACTAGTCTTTTGACTATTACCAAGGTTTTTATTTTATGCACAATTGATTTTGTAAATGAAATCCTTCTGCATGTAAGGGAAGATAATATTTTATTTTATTTTGAAAGCTGCAGTGTAAATTGAACAATGTAATTTACAACTAACTTTAAGGTAGTGAGTGATAAATACTAACACATCTCCGAAAGAGAGAAAATGTATAAAATAATTATAAATTCTAAAGAATTCAACAAATCCAACAACATATGAATTTTTTTCTTCAGAATTACGATTACCTTCAATTATTTTCCAACTTATGAGTCATTTTAGTTGGATTGATCCCTTAATGAAGACATTTAGAATTGAATTGCAAAGTTGCACGAGGCCTATACAGAAGTGACTAATTAGATATCTCAAAGTATTTCTTTCCCTTAGATAATGGATGATGAAATATGGTGTGATTTCACTAGATTGCACTGCATAAAAAAAGAGTGTCATTAATTAATCCTATATACATATATATCTCAGTGTGGTATATTGATCATTCATTAAACACTTCTCTTTGCATCAGGTATCCATGTCATCTTAATAGGAAGATGCATGTTTCCTCATCTTTAACCCATCATTTTTAGAAGTAGAAATTGTTGTTGTAAACCAAAATGGCATTCAAATCACATTTAACAAGATTAAGTCTATGCCTTCATTGGTTCTAGTTGACATAATGTTCTTTCCTTAACTTTCTCTTTATTTACCCTTTTTTAAAACCTGTAATAATCATATCCTTGCATGATGAATGCTTTATACCTCCCAGATCACCTTGTATAATCTCACTTTAAATGTCTCTGATGACTTTCCTCTTCAAAGTGCAAAGTCATTTATCATTTTGTATTATTTTGGAAGTATACTTGGCTAGCTGAGATAACATAGCTTGCACATTAATGATTAGCTCAATCAAGGGCGTGACATCCTTATGACGGAGGTCAATCAAGGGCGTGACATCCTTATAACGGAGGTCAATCAAGGGCGTGACATCCTTATGACGGAGGTCAATCAAGGGCATGACATCCTTATGACGGAGGTCAATCAAGGGCATGACATCCTTATGACGGAGGTCAATCAAGGGCGTGACATCCTTATGACGGAGGTGAGTGAGGGGATCAGCAGATGAGAGAAGGGCGAAAGAGAGGAGGAAAAAAAAGATGAACAAGAAAGAAAATCTAGAAATATTACGGTAGTCACTATCAGAAGTTGGTTATGTCTCTGGCTCCATGCACATAAAGTTGAGAAAACATTCTGGTTTAAAGGAACACCAAGAAATTTGAAAGCCCATGATCATACATGTGATTGAATATTTGCTCATGTCTTTGTGTCAGTTTGTCAATGTGATACATTTCTGTCATTTTGATATTTAATGTTACATGTACATTTTCTGGTCTAAGGAAAGTATTTCTTGTATATGCAATGGTAAGGATTTAAGATGAGATGTACAAACACAATATTGGATATTGAAATGATGAAGACCTTGCTGCATTTGTTGTAAAGTAAAGTATTTATAGTTTCCTACATAACAACTTTATAATGAAACATGAATCTTTTCATATTGCAATTTGATTGTTTTTAATGTTGTGACATATATATGTACACATTGAGCTATTTTGTCTTTTTTGTAAAGATCTATACTTGTATGAAAAAGGGGCCTAAAATTCCAAATTTCTTGGTTGTTCCTTTGAGCCAGATGATAGCATCATGAAAGATGCTGGTACACTGTATAAAGTTGTTATATAAGCAAAAAAGATTTAAAATGTCTTTTGTTACCAAGCTTCATCAATGTTGCCTTCTTGGTCGTTTGCATGCTTGTTCTGTCTAGTTTAAACCTGTGGTTTTTAGAATCGTCCAAGTCTCAAAATGATTCAGATTACAAGTTCCCCCAGTGAAATGGTGCTTCTTAGGAATCAAATGCTGGAACCCTGTATCATAAAAGGGGTATCATGAATATTCATGAGATTCAGCTAGGCCAATGCTGGTCTGAAATTAATATTACTGGCATCTGAAGGTATTAATAATTATGATAAGTATATTCTTACATTGCACATAATACTCAAAAGGTCTCTATGCGCTTTACATAGTACAGTAGTACATTGTTCATGCAACTTGCTAATGTGCTATAGGGCTGTTTGCAAGCACAAACTCTTGACAGTCATTATGCCTGGTATGATGAATATAAAATGTAGACTACATCTACTACGAAGCACCTGCTGAATGGATGTTGCCAGTTTCTACAGGATGAATAGGAGACAGCCACTAACAAAGAGGATAAATTGTCTGCTGCCCTCAAGGCTGTAAGAGTTGTGTACTGTCAATAATGAACAATGTATCATTGGCAGGTGATGAAATATGGAATCGGCAATTTCACTGGTGAACTCACATAATGAAACTAAAAGAGTGAAACTGTATTTTGATACTGGTTATATGTCTACTAAAGTTTTGTCTTAATGTCTGTTTCACAATGTGTGTTTCACAATGTACATGTATATTGAAGCTGTTATGTGTACTAGTAACAAGCATGCAGACACAGTCAGGTACAAATATTTTTATATCAATGTGTTGATTATTTGTAAGAATATGGAGACAGAAATAATTGCTGATTTTCTGGAATGAGTGTCTATGTGTTTGGGGGGGGGGGGCATAGTCCCTGTAACTTGAGCAGAACATTCAGCTTAATCATTGTTAAAAGGTGAGACTGATTTTTTAAGATTGGAGTAAATGCTGTAATATTTCATTTTTCAAAATATTACTGGAGTGAATGCTTAAAAGAAATGAAAAAATGAAAGAGAATTAATACGTTTTTTGATAAAATTGTATATACTGGTAGTTGTTGGAATTTGCACTGTGATTCTATGACTGACAATATTTCATTGAGGATTTGGATCATGTATTTTTGAAGGAAATGGTTAAAGGATGAATTTTGATATGGAAAACAAAGAAAGGATATGCTTGGATAATGATGGAAACAGTTTTACAACTGAAATATAATTTCCTCATGTTTTTGTTTGTTTATTTTCAATGAGTCAGTGTCACATGAATTTATCTCTGCACCATTCTTTCTTGGAGTGTATCTTATTCCCATTTTTGGTGATATGGTATATTTTGCATTTGAATGTGTCAAAATTATTATAATTGCCTTTGCTGAATGTCACTTTTGATTGATTTTTTCTTCTCTTACCTCTTAATATCTGATGGTCACCAGGAAATGTTTCAGATACTAATTTTAGTGCATTGATTGCTGCATTCTCTTTTCTTGTGTAACCCTTATTCATTTTCTCCCTTTTGTTTACACTTTCTTGTGTTATGTGTGCTTATTTTCCTTCCCCATTATACATCTTTTTTTTCCATAAGGGGATGGAGAAGAGGTAACTAATATGAAAAGAAAGAATGAAAATAGAATATTGCAATCGTCTTGTATCATTTTTTATATCAATGATTAAAATGAAACTAATCCACAAGGCTTCATGAATATTCATGTTGCCTAGTTTCATTCATTTATTTCTGTTTATATCAAAGTCAGAAGAACTGGGTTTTCTTTTTTACCCCAATCAGTACCATCACTTATGATTCTGTAATGTTAGATCTGTGAAGTTAGAATGTACACCTAGACTTGTAGATAAGAAATATTATTTACTTGAAAAGTCTTTGGAAAACTTTGTTTTATTGTTTATAAGAATATTTTATGTTTAGTGATTTATAGTATATGTTACAATGAGTGTACACAATTTTCTCAAGTTCTTTTGAGAGTTCATGGTGTGTGCGATGTGTACATTATGTATGAGGAAATGGCATGAAAATATGTTTAAGATATTTCTTTTATTAATAAAAGAGACTGAATTATGCTTGAATATTTAAAATTAAAAAAATCACTTTGTACTCTTTTATCTGGACTCGTTATCCAAATACCCCAATCATATCATACATTACCCGGGGGTGGGGTTGTAAGTAAGGGGTATGACAATGCTAATTATTTTTAAAAGAGAAAGAGGGATGAGAGAGAGAGAGAGAGAGAGAGGGGGGGGGGGGGGGATAAGAGAAAGTGGGATATGAGAGGGAGAGAGATGATCAGGTCATGAAATAAAAAATAAATCAGAGAGGGAGTTCGAGAGAGAGAGAGAGAGAGTGAGACAGGTGGTCATATGACATACAATGTACATGCACATAATTTTGATTTTAATGGTTGACTAATGACAAAGCGGTGTTAGCAGAGGTACATCGGAACAGTTGTAGGCAAAGCATATCACATGTGTTGCTTCTGAGTTCCCGACCTAACCCTTTCAATCTCTCTCTCTCCTCTCCCCCTCTCGCTACATCTTTTATCTCTCCTCATTTTCTCTCTCTCTTTCACTCCCCCCTCTAGCCCTCCATATACCTCTTTTTTTTATCTCTTTCTCTGTCATTGTCCTAATCCCCTCTTTCTCCCCCTCCTCTTCACTATCCCCTCTACTCCTCTTGTTTGATCTTTAATCACCTCTTCTTAAACCCTCCCCCACCTTTCTCTCCCCCTCCCTTCTCTCTGTATGCAATCTATAACAATCAGTCTTTTTAAAGGGATGCAATGCAAACCGTAGATACAATGCAAATTCACTATTTATTGATATCAATATAAGTGTATATGAATAATTTGATTTTCATTTAAAACCTTTAGTCCATCATGGCCATGTCATGAACCAATTTTTGTTTAAACAAATTTTCTGCATAAAATAATGCTATACTAATATATGTATTACTACACACTTCACCTTTACACCCATACATAAAATGCAAAAAGTAAAACCACAAATATAAAAGTATTGTACACACCCTGCTAGTGCTGCTACCCTTTCATATGATATCAGGGGATCATCATATCTATTGCATCAACTTTTCTTAATCTGTAGAACGTTATATCATACATATATCTAAAATAATACAAACATGTGCACTGGGAAACTAAAACCTGCCAGAGAAGTATCAGCTAACATTCTATTAAAAATAGTAGATTTAAAATGACTATTTGAAGCCTGAGGATATATACATGCAAATCTCAACAACTGAACCATTCTCCCTATATACATGTTTATATGTATAGAACTTCCTTCTTCTCCAATGTAACACGACATCATGTGAAAAACATTATTTATGAACATTATTAATCATTAATTCTATAATTATGATAAATCTTTGTAGTAAGCTGATGTTTAACAGTTCAATAAAGACGATATTTCTTATGTGCATACAGCATGATATGATAAGTGTTGCATACTGGTACAGTCAAACCTGTTTATAGTGACCACCCAAGGGAAACACAAAAAGTGGTCTTTGTAGACAGGTTCCTTTAGTACATGTTTCAATGAGAAACCATTTTCAAGGGAAACAACAAATGTGGTCTGTGTAGACAGGTGGTCACTTAAAGATGAAGTTGAGTTCTGGACATGCGATTGCATTGTGAAAGAAACGATGTGGAACCGACCAGAAAAGATTGATCATCTAGCATATAAGAATTTGTGTGTATTGCAAGGTTCTGGAATCATCAAAATGATAAGAAATTTGGCCAAGTCTTGGTAAAGTTACAAACACTTGCACAGAAAGATGTATATGGGACTACACGAACACGTGGCGTAAAAAGCCCCCCCCCCCCCCCCCCCCCGAGTTTTACGATGTTACATGCATATTTAGAATATGAAGGCATTTGAAGAGCCTTGCTTTTCAGGGAACATGTCTTAACTGATGTTCTTCCACACTTGCATAATAAGAATGAGTAATGCTCACAAATTATTTTTCACCTCTTCCCAGAACTCAACCTTCTCTTTAAGCAGGTTTGGCTGTATGCATGAAGTGTTACTGGTAAGTTCTTGCTTTATACAATTTCAAGAACAAATCTATTGACTGCTAGCTGTGCTTCATGATAAACTCAGTCTAAACAAGTAACTACCATATGCAGCTAATGAGGTTTTTATGCCCTCAGGCAAAGTAACACTACTAATATAATGACAATCGTACTGCAGACAATACATATAATTTTGGTATGATAGAATATAATTGGGAATCCTCTAGATTAGAATTCACAAACAAACACTGAATCTCGCACCATATTATAGAGATACTTTGCACAATATTTTATAAAAATTCAACATTTTCAATTTGCAATCATTATAGTTAGAAATACATTCACAAAATATATACAAATCAATACAGACTGATCTTTGGATAATGAAAGTATTGTGATTACACACATCTTAATACCATAGTGGGGCAATAATCTAATCTTTGAACGATTTGGTATCATCTAATTATACTTCAAAAATGTACATGTACATGGTTTGACTATTTCTCAAAATAACACTTTGTGATAACTGTACATGTAAGTAAAGTAACAAATATACGAAAACAGGTTTATTCCGCTGCTTTTGAGCGGAAGTGGGATGATTGATTATGAAATTTGATTGCGTAGATTGCAACCAAACGGAGCCACAGCCTAGCTCATCACATCCTGACCGCGGAGCAACTGCGTCTGCTGCAATATTTATATCATGATTACTTTTCATTCTTTACAAACCAGTTAGTTTCACAGTAACAAAGGAATTTACAAAAACAGAGCTTTCCTTTTAAAACTGTGCCATTATGTAATATATTTTCATTCTTTGCTGGAATATTAAGGAATTTTGCCTTCCACATATTATGATATTAAGCCTCGAAAATGAAGGAGTTTTCAGCGATGAGCATTTGACCTAGCACCATGTAAATGTAACCCGAGAACAAAATATGGCTCTTGGCTGATGATCTGCACTCAGTGACTGACCATAAAATTGATAGGATCCCACACTAGCCCTAGGATTGCAATTTGTCGGGTCTGTATGTATTGGCCTACTATTATCACAATTTTCAAAGTCTGGCAATACATGTAGGTACATGTACTTAGAAATTGAGAGCCTATGTGCACCTGTTAGTCTTAGCTTACGTGTATGTACCTGTTAGTCCTGTTAGTCTTAGCTTACGTGTATGTACCTGTTAGTCCTGTTAGTCTTAGCTTACGTGTATGTACCTGTTAGTCCTGTTAGTCTTAGCTTACGTGTATGTACCGGTAACCTAGTATTGGTGGGAGCATACATGTATGTGCACCTGTTGAGCCTTGCAATAGAGTACCGACGTGCCAACGTCATATTTTACTCATCGTAAGCAACGGTCTGGAGCAGGGCAAAATTAATTGTTTAGCACAAAATTTTTTGGAACCAGTAACCTTAACAACTTCACACTTTGGTACTCTATAGAGATGGGTTTAAACAATAAAGATGTACCGATATTCTGCAAATTGTTCACATCCTCATCAATCATATCATGAAGAGGATCTATGTGTTACATTACAGGAAACTCATCAATCACTAGAAACAACACTAATACTTTCAATTGAAACGTGACAAGATTTCATCAACCTCGTTTCGAGGTTACTCTGAACAACATCCACCCCCCCCCCCCAAGAAATGTACTCAAAATCACATTTAATCATACATACTAAAACATGATGATAATATGGAATTATTTAAAACATATCCAGGCCTGTTCATAACCCTGAGCAGATTATTATGGAATCAGTCTCGAAGAGATTGAAGTAACTTCTCTTGATCTTCTCTTCCAAAGCCGATGGATTCCAGATAGTTAGGAACAGTGCTGTATCTGTTGCAGATATAGATACAAGAAGATGTACAATGGTGTTAATTCATTAACTCATAGCCTGCCATGAGGCTGCATGCCGCTACCTATTGAGTGCCATGTGCGTGCAAGAGCGCTTTCGTAATAGCAGTTATTGTTCATGCTCATTGGGCTATGCTGTGTGTTTTGCACTCGCCATTCATAGAACCATCGCGTTAATCAGATTATCTCCGAAACAACCTGGCACAATGGGGATTAGCCCTGTGGCACGATAAGAGTTAAAGAACCTCCCCCAAAAAGAAGGGGAATAGAGTATAGAGTTTTCACATACATTTTAATAGAGCTTTAGAGAGAGAGAGAATGTAGGTGAGGATACTCGAAGGAAGAAAGAAAGAAAGAGAAAGAGGGAAGGGAAGACAAAGTATATCAAAAGAGGATTCATCTGTGGATGAGTCTATGCTGCTCCATTATATTTGCATTAGGACGCTACCCACACGACTACCACATGCCCCGCCTAAACAACAACCTGGTTCAAGAACCTTTTCACTACCTTCCACCCATTCCAGCACCTACATGTACTCCTTTTGAAAACATTAAAGGGATAGTTGAGTTCTGTTGCAGAGGGCGCTACACACAATAATTTTTTTGAGAGATAATGAAAAACTGAGTGTCAAATTTGAAAGAACATAATATTTAAATGACAAAATCATCTTTGTTTGATCATAATCGGTTCAGAGACGGCTGAAATATAACGATTTATAATACTTGTGTACCACCACTAATATTAGATATTTTGAAAAATTTGAAAAAAAACGTTGAAAAACGCCTTTTACGTCGTATTTCAGCCAATGCCGATGTTGGCTTTTTTGTTGGCATTTTCGAGTTGCTTGTATTACCCAAAATTAGCCGGCTCATGTGTTGTTATTTTTAATTAAATAATTAATTAACGTTTAACGGTCACCGTGTTTTTTTCATAGTGGAGCTGAATTGGCAAGATCGTATTGGCTAAATTTCACACATTTTGGGGTCTAAAATTACCATCATAGCAATTTTAGGTTCTAAAAGGGCACTATAAATGTCATAGATAAGAATAAGAGCAATATAACCATGCACTTTGAAGGCATTTGCAGTCTGAAAACAGAACTCAACTATTCCTTTAAGTACAAGTGCCCTTTGGTGGGGACCGTGTAATGCCCGAGTGTAGTTGTCCTTGGAAGCTTGCTGGGTGTTTTCAAATGGGTAGTTGTGCACAGGCGAGTTGTCCTAAACTCTGTTCATAATCCTTTTCTCATGTACATATTTCATTAAATGTAATGAAGGGGTTATGGAGGCTAACTTCTTGATATAAAGCACTAAACATAGTACTGCATTTGTTACAGTTATTTTACTTACGTTTTATGTATGTACTGCAGTAAACCATCCATGGTTTCTCTTTTAGCGTGTGTGAACGACTCGTCCATGTTGGTCCGCTCTACGATCTCTTGATGTACCCTAGACCTAATGGGATCCAATCCAATCTGAGTTCAACAACACCAAATAAGAAAAAACATCCAAATAAACAAAGAAAAACAGAAATAACACAAAAGCAATTATGAGTAGAACAGAGATGAATTGGGTGATGTTCAGTAAAATTTTGTTTGTTTGGATTATGATCTGGCATCTAGTAATTCATTTAACAGTAGGTCCATGAATAGGTTTCAATTACAAATAACATAATTCTTATCAATGGCTGTCTATACTTGGTTTAAACTTTTAAGTACAATTTTTAAATTCTGCAGCACAAATACATATATTTGAATTTTGTCCCTCTCTTTATTCAGTGAACTCAGTGTTATTTTGCTCTGGTTCATAACATTACGAACCAGAGCAAAATAACACTGAGCTTCTATAGGAAATCTTTTTCTTCAGATGGTCATATCTCAGCCAATACTTAACATATTCAATTAGCTTTCGACATTTGGACATTATTTTTGATGCTCTTTCGAAAAATGAAGGGGGAAAAAAGAGAAATTCTAAAAATAGATTTGTATGATGTCACAGCTTCAGTTCTCTATTTAAAAGGTCCTGTTTTACCAACCTAGCAAAGACTTTTGCAAATGATTTTTAGGCTTTTAAGCCCTTGCTACAGTCATCTAGAAATGTTGTGAGAGCTACTCACTTCAGAGAGAGCGTATTCTTCCGCGATGTAATCATCTGATTTGCCCAAGAGTGAAAGAACCATAGCAATCACAATCCCTGTTCGGTCTTTACCATGGGCGCAATTAACCATGGCTGGTAGATTGGCTGGATCAGACAGAATACGAAGTGCTGCCAGGATAGGAGATAAATTATACAATTATTGTAATTGGAAATATGATTCATGAAAGGAAAAAATGAGGCAAGTCTTTGAAATTATATCATGAATGACATGAATTCTATCGAAATTGAAAGATATCAGCCTAACATGTCATCAAATCTTAGGAATACCAGGCATTTGGCAATTTGGAGTAATGTAATTCTCAATGGGGGAATTCTGCATGCACTCTGTACTCTCAAACTGACATAACTGAATATACAAGCACCCATGAGCTTATCAACAAAGCCTGTTATAAAACTGGAAACATTTTAAAAAGAAAGAAAAGAAATAAGTAGATATGCACATTAAACGTTCTGTTGTGAACAAAGCAGCTCCTGCATAAGCTGTGATCTTCACGTCTTGCGATCTCTGATATTATATACCCAGTTTTGTATTGTCTCTACTATCTATTTACTCATTCTGCGAAGGATACACTCCGCAGTTCTCCAATCCTGGAGGAAATCAAGAAGAAGAAGAAGAAGAAGAAGAAGGTGTACATACAATAATATATGAACAAACTGAAACAAAAATTGAAATATTTAAGGGTGCCGTACCGGGTTGAGAGAGTCAAAGACAACTTTATGGAATCATGAAAACTATTTACCTAAACATATCTGTGCCCCACTGAGCTCTATCATATCAATGTAAGTGGACAGCAGACCTGCAGGATTGAGGGTCTCTTTGGCGAAGTAACGGATGAAGTATCGGAAGTGGGTTCGGAAGAGAATATCAACAATGAGGTAGACGAGGGAAAATAATCTTTTGTAAAGCGGAATTCTGTTGAAAACAGTCCAAACAAAGTGAAACTTGAAAAAATCCAGAAGGAACCTCTTCCTGGTTATTGCACTATGGTGTGTCGAATTGCACCCATCCAAAGTTGGAGCCTCCTTATTTTTGATAGCTTTCAGATACTTCATTTTCACTGGCTTTGTGGAAACATCACAAATTCCTTTTGCAGAACTCTGCCCCTTTGGAATGATTACTTCTAAAATGGAGGAATTCTGATCGAAAATTTTATCTCCGCTTGCAGCTTTATACTCAGACTTCGAGCGAAAGTCAAGAACAGATCGAATTCCTAGATCATTGAGCCTCTCAGTGTCTGCACGGCTTAGCAAGTCTTGCCTCGAAGATCGGTACAACCTGCCTCGGGAGTCCACCCGCCTGAGGTTTGGTAGTGTCTCGATGGGTAACGCCAAGTCTTTCCATACCGGCGTACCGGCTGCCGGTGTCAAATTTTCATTGATAACCATGATCCAAGTAGAGCGAACAGTAAATTAAAAAGGGATAAACAGTCAGCAAAATTAATAAAATGTCAATTAAAGCTTAAGTGCTCCAGAACATGGTGATTGCACGAGTAATTTTCACGAAACATGCACAACATGTAGACCTCTATACATACGGTACGATCAGCTGATAAAGATTTACAATAAGAAAATAAGAACACACGCCCTCTCTAGACGAAAGGCATCGCTGCTTGACAATCTCTAAATTTCTCCGTTTGTCCTTATACAATGCGTCCCAGAAAAAACGAAACCGAGAATTATCGATGTTTTATCATTACTTAATCACAATTATAATTGATATATGACACATATTTGTAAAGATTAGATCCTCTTCTTTCATTTAATGCAACTCATATAATACATATTTCACGCATGAGTGATCAAAAACAATTTGAAGAGCTCGAGGGTACCAAAAATCATTTGGCGGGCGGTATCTGAATTTCGAAGAGAAAATCACATTTCTAGAAAGTTCATTTTCTGCCCTTTCATATGACACCTCAATCAGGAAAAATGAGCCAGGAATAACAAAGTTCTGTTTGTTTAAAGTAATGCTTGCATGCATTTCCATAATTTGATTTAACGAATTCGTTTTCACTGGCTGCCTGCCGTAGCAACAAACAGAGTTGACAAACAATTTAACTCCGTTTCGTTGACGATCAGCCATGCTCAAAGAAAACGAAAGACTTGATGCATGGCTGATCGTCAAAGAAAAGCAGTTAATATTGTAAGCCTCTGTATTTTATGTGGTATTGGAGAATCATAACAAAGTTTTAAGTCATGTCAGTTGCTGCACCTCTTTTATTTCTTAACTGGCGGATGTGGGGAGATGTGGGGGGATAAGTCAGTTTAAATAAATTGTTAAAACTGAAATCTATTTTACTTAAGCCCATATTAAGAAGGTCAGCAGCTTTCAAGCACATACACCCCTTTCCCACTTACCTACCCCCCCCCCCCAAAAAAACCCCTTTGTCTTTCAGTGTCACTTTGTCAATATTGAATTCATGTTATCCAAATATATTGATGTACCGGTAATTGGTACATGTATTTTGTATATGACTGATAAAACCGACGAACTTTAATCCTGAATTTAGAAACATTTACTACCCGACTATTTACATGTATGCCTAATTGGATTATTTTATACATTGTCTAATCCCTAAATTGCCATAAGCCTATAAATCAAATATTGATAAGTTATTACATGCAGTGCATGAGTTCGGACTTTAGACATACCGTGTTTTTTTTAGTGTTAATCTTCAAACCGGACTGAAAAAAACCCTAAATGGTCCCGTTTTCACATGAAAGATATTACTACTGTCGTACCCACACTATCTATTACGAGAATGTGGATGCACCACAATTCCCAAATTCTGCACACACTCACACTCTTTCTAAATGTTATTTAAAATGTGGTTTCCAAGCAATCTCTAAAATCCTTTGCAATTCGATATGAAAACAGGGGAATTCATAAAGTACATCATACGTCTGTAATAGAATAGTTCATGCATCCGGAATATATAGGGGCCGCATTATTCAGAAAACATTTGGAACCATGTTCGTGAAAACGGGACTATAATCCATGTATATAATGTCAATAGACCATCTATTTGGTCATTTCATGCAAAGTGGTTAGATTTTTAAACAAGAACTCTCATGCGTTATTTCTGTTCACTAATTATAAAAAAGCTTTACTTAATCAGAAGAGTTGATCTCCGACTGGAACATTCAGGCCTGTAGCGTGAAAGACTGAAAATATGAGGTTGGTTTGGAATCTGGTACGGATTATTGTCATTCTCCTCATAGCTACATGTGGTGTTCAAGGAAACGTTTGTAGCACTGACGGTATGTTCTATCGTTAACATCTATCTTTTCTATGTTTGAATCATTTTGTTCGTATTGATTCTGTTGTTTGTATCTCGATTCCATTATTATAGGCCTATGTATTTTGCAATGATTTTGGTGTTAGTTAATATATTATACCAAACAAAATCAACCATACTTTTCAATCCCTTTGGTTAATTTGACGAAATTTTGACATAATGATATTGATTAGAATATACGTCCTTTCAGTATAATCTGTAGTATCAAAATAATGCACACAGACGTAGTTGAAGGTTGGACAACGTTACGCCCCCCCCCGTCAGACGCCCCTCAAAAAGTGAGCCGCTATATACTTCGAACATAATTATCAAATTCTAAATAGCCTTAACCATTGTTGATGATAATGTTTGAAATTCGTTTCCTGAAAGATTATGCAGAATGGAGGAATTAACACAAGTTATTTTGCTTTTTATACTTCACAAAGATTTGGGTTAGGGCTTGGGTTGCGAGGTTGCGACTGGGTTTTTAAGTTTTAACATTTATTGGAAGTGTTTACGTTGGCAAGGTTGAAGTAAGTTAATCTAGGACTTCAGCTATTTGATTTATATTGGATTTTATATTGGATTTTACAACCATCAAACACCTTGGCTTCTTTGTTTTGTTTATGCTGTCATAATCTTGTTTTTATCCTACTACAGAGTGCTCATCACCGCCTGTATACGGGGGTGGCACCCCTACGTTCAGCCCAGCTTCTTCTTGCTACTCTAATGGTAACTTCGTAAACGTCACTTGTAGTGGAGTACTCTTCGGCCAATCAGAATGTTCCTGTTTGGAATCGGAATACATTGATACACCACCAACATGTGAAGGTAAGGGAAGGGCGGGGGAGGGATAAAGTGGAATTATTTCTGATAAAAAAAAAAAAAAAATGGGGTATCAAAGTCTTTGTAGAAGTGCTCGTTATACTCGTGCGTATAGGCCACTTATGATAATAATTAAGCCAGAATTGCCCCACCCCATCCCCGACTCTTTTCCCCATCTGCCTTCTGCTATTAAAGGGAAAGTCCACCCCCAAAATAAGTTTGTTTTGATAGAGGCAGAATAATAAGAAAATCAGGTGAGTGAAAGTTTGAGCAAATTCTGAATGAAAATAAGAAAGTTATGAATTATTGAAGTTGTGATCAATCAAATACAAATTGGCAACTCTGTGACTTATTATACGAGCTCTCCTTCATTTGCTTTGTGCATAATATTCCATAAAATCATGTTTTCTTCGTTATTGATGACGGAATATATATTTGTTCCTTGCAGGGGGAGTATAGAAACATATTTGCAATTATTATATGTAGGGTGCATGTATGGTTGAAATTTGTCTTGAGGGAAAATGAAAATTTTAGATTTTTTTTAGTACTGAGCAAATGGAAGTTGAGCTCGCATAGATACGTCATTGATACGTCATAGAGTTGCCAATTTGTGTTTGATTGATCACAACTTAAAAAATCCTAACTTCGTTATTTTTAATCGGAATTTGCTCAAACTTTCACTGACTTGTTTCTCTCATTTTTCTACTCCTATTAAAACTAACTTAATTTCAGGGTGGACTTCCCCTTTAAGGCATCAAGAACAAGAATGAGGAGGTGCAGAAGACAGAAAGAAGAATATCAATTATACAAGGACGTCAAGCACAAGAAAGTGATAAATAAAATAAAATAAAAAGGAGAAAATTAAAAGCAGAACTAGGAAAATGAAGGGAAAGGGAAGGGCTAGAAACAACTAAAGATAGAGGAAGAGGAGGAGGAGAAAAGGAAGAAGGAGAAGGGCAATGAAAAGAAGAAGAATAAGACGTTTAGAAGAAAGAGGGAGAAGAAAGAAGAGAAGGAAATATAAAGAAGGTAGTGAGAAGAAGAAAGGATGGAGTAAAAGTTAACAAATTTATTGATGCATGATCTTCAAAGCTTATTTGTGCTCCCTGCAGAGTATCACTGTGCCAAACCTGTCTCGCCTGACCATGGATTCGAGATCGAACCCGTCAACGAATACGTTCTTTATGATGTCGTCTCTTTCTCATGTGATGACGGTTTCATCTTGGGAGGATCCGAGTCAGTGATGTGCACTGGAACGGGGGAGTGGCATCCATCCATCCCTAAATGCTATGGTAAATAATTATAATGTAATACAGACAGAATAGGTAGAGGCAGGCTGGCGTTATAGGATGGGGGAGTGTGTATGTTTTTTTTTTTTTTTTTTTTGGGGGGGGGGGGGATGATTGACATTTATATTTTTCTGGCCGGTAAGAGGTTTGTATCAATATTACATCAATAGATACAGGTACTATATTGGTAAGAACAGTGTCATCGTAAAGGTGAATTTGAGGAGGCATCGTCGTCATCAGAGGGAGGGGGGGGGGGGGGTGGGGCATCGGTTTCACTCAGTGGATAAAATGGTAATTTATTAGGTGGGGTGTGTGGGAAGAGGTCGTAGCGTCTTCTTTCCTCATCTCCCTGTTCAAAGGAGAAAAAAAAAATTATCTCTATTTCCACACTTTGATCGGGGCACGTGCCTCATCTTCTCATATTTCAACAACATTATTACATATATACACTGTCGCTAATAAAGGTGGAATATTTTTTTTCAATCCCAATTTATGGAATTATTCTAAAAATTATTTAAAATTAATAGATCTCGATAATAGTATACATTCTCATATTTTATTGAATAATAATTTGCCAATGTGTGTTTTGCGTGACTGCTAAAGCATATGTATGCTACTAAGCTTAACAACTAGGGGACCTATGCCCTAAGTCATAAATGACAGTAATGAGGATTAATGCCCCACAAAAGGGCACTAATATAGCACATCGACACGGTTTTGTTCCTGGAGCCTCACAGTAACGAGGCCATTGCTTTGTCACTGAACCACGAATGTACGCAGCGGGGGCTAGAGTAGGGGGCAGTTTCCATAAATAAAATAAAAAACAGAAAATGCAATAAATTTTCAATAATTTATTGCATTTTACCCCGGTTCCCAACATAAAAAAAATCTTCTGTGTGCCCATGCCTTGAGCCATAATGCATGGACGTCCAGAGGATTTTTTTATGTTGGGGACCGGGGTCGAAAATGCAATAAATTATTACAAATTTATTGCATTTTCTGTGTGTTTTTTTATTTATGGAAACTGCCCCCTACCCTAGCCCCCGCTGCGTACAGTCATGGTTCATTGACAACACAATGGCCTCGTAACTGTAAGGCCCCAGGATCAAAACCGTGTCGATGTGCTATATAACAGTGCCCTTTTGTGAGGCATTAATCCTCATTAGTGTCTTTTATGACTTGGGGGCGTAGGCCCCCTAGTTAATAAGCATAATAGCATACACATGCTTTAGCAGTCCCGCAAAACACACATTTGCAAATTATTATTCAATAAAATCTGAGAATGTATACTATTATCTAGATCTATTATTTTTAAATAATTTTTAAAATAATTCCATAAACTGGGGTAAAACTAAAATATTCCACCTTTATGAGCGACAGTGTATATATATATATATATATATATATATATATATATATATATATATATATATATATATATATATATTAATGTATTCTTCACTAACACAGAAAACTGCATCATACCGTACATTGCCCACGGTAACGCTGATTTTGCACCCGGTACTTCCCTGCATGATCAAGACCAAATGAATGTATCATGTGACGTCACCAGCTACACCCTGGAGGGAGTGGATATGGTCACGTGTCACGATGGTACATGGAATCCACCCATTGGACAATGCCTCAGTAAGTACATGATTGGAGGTGGTACAGTGGTTCATTCACTTGACTCTCAATCCAAGGGTTGAGGGTTCGAATCAGAGCCCAACGATAATGTCCTCTGGCAGGACGTTAATCCACATTTGCCACCCGCCATCAAGGTGTAAATGGGTACCTATAATAATTGCTGGGGTAATAATACTTGCAGGGCCTACATGAAGAGCAGAAGCAATACTAGTGTGGCTACCCTGGATAAATAAGACCAATATTACTGTTTTAATCATCATTTTCTTTTTTTTTCTTTTTTTTGGCGGGGGGGGGGGGGGGATTTAACAAATTATTTGCATTTCATTTATGCAATGCAGCGATAAATAATTAATGAACTAATAATAAATGATACATTTTGGAAAATTAGACCGACGGGTGGAAACTGAAAGAAAAAGGCCCAGCTACACAGACCCTTTAAAAGAATTGGTTCGGCTATCTATACCACGCCTCCCGGGGATCATGGACCCCCCTCTTTCCTTTCTTATAATCTTGGATCTGCATTTGAGACATGTAGTATATACGCCTTTAAGAAATATTATTAACCTAACAAATAAGTCTGTATAGTAATATATTAATCTTGAAATCAGTCCCTTAAAATCTTTTCATTCCTGAAAAAAATCCCCGTCAGCTCTTGTTGGCATTAGTGACGTATCTCTTTTTTCCGACCCTGGAATTTGTAATAAGTGTTTTACAAGTGTGTCACAAGTCTAATCTCGATATAAATTGTAACCTAAAATCCCCTTTCTCTGCATTTTATATAGTGTGCTCTCCCTATAGGACTAGTTTTCATCATCACATCTCGCTTTCTCTTAATCCATCTCGTTTTCTTCTTCCTACAGGTAAATGTCCATCTCCGATAATCTCTGACTCAGACCATTCCGTCAACCATGGCGACGTTGATCACGGTGAATACGTGATCGTTACCTGTGATGCTGGATACACGTTTGGATTAGGCTCTGATTACTCCTATCCTCTGACATGTCATAATGGCACGTGGGACTCATCGATCGAGTGCTCTGGTAAAATATGCCCAGAAACGGGTATTTTCTTAAGAGCATGGGAGGTGTGGACTAGCAATGGGGAGTTAGGGAATTTCCCCAATGGCCGCTGGATATATTGGCTTGAGGGCCGGTCAATTTGGTATTCGAGAGCCGCTTGATATGTGTCTTATAGGTTGTTTGGGTCGATCACTTCAACATTTCTCAACCGAATTTCACTTCCAACCCGATGTTGGTACACAGAGAAACGCAGATAAATATAAAGGATAGGCTATATCGTTCAGAAGTCCAAAAGATGAAAGCTTTATTATAGGGAAAAAATAGTTCGGATGGTGGGGTTTTGGAAGGGGTGGTTAAGGTAGTGAAACGAGAAGAATAGGACTTGACAATATTATTGTATGATGTTTGGAAATTTTGAATTTTTGTATTTGGGGGGAGGGGGCGGGGTTCGTGATTGACATTGTATCTGGCGCTTATGCAGGATTACCGGTCTTAGTTTTAGCACATTATTAGCAGATTTTTAATCCCCCCTCTCTCTCTCTCCCTCTTTCACTCTCTTATTACAGCCAATTGTGAGCTGCCTAGTGTTTGCTCGTCACCTCCTGTATACGGGGGTGGCACCCCTACGTTCAGCCCGGCTTCTTCATGCTACCCTAATGGTACCTTCGTACACGTCACTTGTAGTGGAGTACTCTTCGGCCAATCAGAATGTACATGTGTGGAATCAGAATACATTGATCCACCACCAACATGTGAAGGTAATCAATTGCGAGATTGATTTTAAATAAAGATTACGACACACCACAATGTACGCTTCTTACGACTTTAAATTGGCAATCGGTCGAACAAAGATTAAAATATCACTACTGTTTATTAGCTTTTAAAATTATAAATGTCATGCCCCCAACTTATTTAAAATCACTTATAAATTATCGCACCTCCAACTACTGTACCCGCTATTCCTTAAATGCTCTACTTGACATCCCATACCCCAAAACCGAATTCAAGAAAAGATCATTCTCATATAAAGCAAGTACCCTATTTAATAAACTTCCTCCCTCAATTTAATCAACCAAATCTATTCAAATATTTAAGCGCGGATGCCAATTGGCAAAGCATTTGTTATAGTCGAATCTCCGTTCTTATTTCCCTCTACCGGTATAATTATTAAAGTCTTATTTTATATGTCAATGTTTAGTTTTGATGAATGTTATATTTTTAAAAATATATTCCTTGTATTTTTGTATATCTTATACTTGTTATGTCGTTCTAGAGGGCGTACTTGGAAAGCAGTTTTGTTAAACTGAATGTACCTACCCTCTATTTTAAATAAAACTTGAATAAATAAATAAATAAATAAATTATCTGGTCGTGGGAGGGGCGGGGACAAACTAGAAAGTTTTTATGATAAGCAACAACAACAAAAATGCGGTATCACATTTCTTTTTAGAAGTGCCATTTTAGTGCGAAATTTTCCACGGAGAGCACAATGGGTGTATATTTTCTCGTTATACTCGATGCGTATAGGTCACTTATGATATGCCAGAAATTACTCACACCCCAACCCCGAGTCTTTCTCCGATCTGCTATACTGTTATAGGCATCAAGAACAAGAATGAAGAGATGTAGAAGAAAGAAGAAGAAGAATTAAAGAAGAACAATTATGAAAAGACGTCAAGCACAAGAAAGTAATAAATAAAATGATATAAAAAGGAGAACAAGCAGAATTAGGAAAGAGAAGGGAAGGGCTAAAAAAAAAAAAAAACTAAAAGCAAAGGAGGAGGTCGAGAAGAAAAAAGAAGAAGGAGAAGGACAAGGTAAAGTTAAATGAAACTAAGAAGGAGAAGAGCAAGAAAAAGAAGAAGAAACAGAAGAAGAAACAGAAGAAGAAGAAGAAGAAGAAGAAGAAGAAGAAGAAGGAGACAAAGAAAGAAGGAAAAAAAAGCAGAGAAGGAAAACATGAAGAAGGTAGTGAGAAAAAGAAAGGAGGGGAAAAAGTTAACGAAATGATTGATGCATAATCTTCAAAGCTTATACATTTGTGCTTCCTGCAGAGTATTACTGTGACAAACCAGTCTCGCCTGACCATGGATTCGAGATTGAACCCGACAACGAATACGTTCTTTATGATGTCGTCTCTTTCTCATGTGATGACGGTTTCATCTTGGGAGGATCCGAGTCAGTGATGTGCACTGGAGCTGGGGAGTGGCATCCATCCATCCCTAAATGCTATGGTAAATATAATGTAATACAGCCAGCAAACATAGGCGTAGTGGTAGGGCAGCACCATATTAGGGAAGGGGGAGGGAACGGTTGCTCCATAACCAAGATTTTTTTTACTGGCCGGTTAGTTGTATGTTTAGGTATAGGCCCTATATATATAGGTAGGAAGAGTTTTATCGTGAAGGTAAATTTGAGGAGGCATCGTCGCCATTGGAGGATGGGGGAGGGGGTTCGGTTTCATTTAGTGGATGAAATGCAAATAAAAAGGTCATTTATTAGGTGGGGTGTGTGGATATAGGGGTAGCGTCTTCTTTCCCCATCTTCCCCCTTTTTTTTTAATACTATTTTTCTCCGGTGTCCATCCTTTGATCGGGGCACGTGTCTCATCTTCTCATATTTCAACAACACTATTACACACACACACATATATATTAATAATGTATTCTTCACTAAAACAGAAAACTGCATCATTCCGTACATTGCCCATGGTAACGCTGATTTTGCACCCGGTACTTCCCTGCATGATCAAGACCAGATGAATGTATCATGTGACGTCACCAGCTACACCATAGATGGAGTGGATATGGTCACGTGTCACGATGGTACATGGAATCCACCCATTGGTCAATGCTTCAGTAAGTACATGATTGGAGGTGTTGGTCCAGCTAACTTTAGCACCCTTGCCGGGTATCATGGACCACCCTTTCCTTTCTGATAATCTTGGATCTGCATTTGAGAAATGTATGATATACACCTTTATGAAATATTATTCACCCATCAAATAAACCTGTATAGTATAATACTCATCTTGCAATCCGTCTCTTAAAATCTTGCCGTCTCTGAAGAAAAACAATCCCCGTTAGCTCATGTTATTTTTATTATTTTATTATAGTTTTATTTTAACAGGGTGGTCTCATTCAAGTTCATTTCTGAACCTGCTCTCCCAGAGAGCCCTGCATTCACATAAAAACATGTACAATAATAACATGAACTCAAAACATACCATACAAAGGTAAAATATACAATAATTAAACATAGGTAACGAAAAATACGCATTACCAATTATAAGTTTTAAAAAAATACAACTATCAAATTGAGAAAACTAGATGAATGAAATATAATAAATAAAGGTCAAATTAACGTGAAAATATGTTTACAAGGGAAACTGAAAGGTTTTGACATTCTTTTTAAAACTTTGCAGCGACTTACGCTGTTGTCATTATTTTGTGACGTATCTCTTTCTCCGACCCTGGAATTTGTAATAAGTGTTTTACGCTGAGTTTTTCACAAGTTTGAATTCGATATAAATTATAAAATAAAATCTTTTTCTCTGCATTTTTTTATTAGTGTGCTCTACCCTATGCATTACGTCTCACTTTCCCTTAATCCATCTCGTTTTCTTCTTCCTACAGGTAAATGTCCATCTCCGATAATTTCTGATTCAGACCATTCCCTCAACCATGGGGACGTCGATCACGGTGAATACGTGATCGTTACCTGTGATGCTGGATACACGTTTGGATTAGGCTCTGATTACTCCTATCCTCTCACATGTTATAATGGGACATGGGACTCATCGATCCAGTGCTCGGGTAAAATAAGCCCAGAAACGGTTGTTTTCTTAAGTGCATGGGAGGGGTGGACTATAGCAATAGGGAGTTTCCCTAATGGCCGATGGATAATTATGTTGGCTTGAGGGCCGGTCTATTTGGTATATCTGAGTACCGCTCGTCTCATAGGTTGTTTGGGTCAATCACTTCGAATTTTCTCAACCGAATTTCACTCCCAATCCGACCCTGGTTTACAGAGATACAAAGACAAACATATTTAAGGATTATCGTTCTGAAGTCCAAAAGATGAAAAGCTTTATTAGGATAGTGAGGTGGGAAGGGGTGGTGAAGATAGTGAAACGAAAAGAACATGACTCGACAATATTAATAGTTTAATGTTTGGAAGATTTTGTATTTTTGTAGTGGATCAGAGAGGGGGGGGGGCTGAATTATTAGCAAGTTCTAATCCCCTCTCTCACTATCTCTCATTACAGCCAATTGTGAGCGTCCCAGATTCCCAGACTCAATGATGATCACCCCTGGAGCTCGAGTCGACCAGTCCCACTACCACAATGACGTCATCACGGTCAAATGCGCGCCAAATCATGTCGTCGTCAACGGGCCACCCTCTGCAAGCATGTCATGTGATAATGGGTACTGGACCCCTACCATGCTACCCATTTGCAAACATATAAATGATACCTAAATACTGCCTTGCAATTAATACAGTGGTGTATCCAATATAGGGCGGAACCGTCTCCGTTTTTAGGTTTAAGAAGAGCGGAATAAATCCATGAAAATTAATTATTGAGGAAAATTGTTGGGGATGCCCCTAGAGTAGACCTTGGGTCGGCGGCGGGCATGGTAGACACAGCTCTTTTCCCATCCTATTTTTTAATAAATGGATACAACGCTGCTATTATCCTTTTTATCAGCAGATGTATAACATTCAAATGTACTTACACAGATCATAGAAAATAAAATAAAAAAAACGACAATGTACATTTACTGTTTTACAAAGAGACAAAGAAAATGATCACTTTTATTCGAGAATAGAACAAGATTGATGTGATAGTTCGACGAAGTGCAGGCTGCAGTTTATGTAGGTGAATGTTCTGATCAAGTTTTGAATATATGAATAAGAAGTTGACCACATAATATCTACCATTTTTAAAGAAACTGTGCGGGAAATAAATGGTACTCTCATCTCATGTCCCTTATGGTTTACTTGGTCAACACGGTACTTGCCGAAAACTTCTAGGAAAGCAATTGAATTATTTATGTACTAAACGCAGACGTGCTGACTAGTAGAAAAGCTCTGAAAAGTTAAAAATAATATGAATAACTAATCAAATATTATTCTGTAAATTTATCAGATGAAATATAACATCAACATAGTAAATAGTGACTGTTATAACAATGTGTTGTGTAAAAACAGTATAGGCCTATAATGCCTCTTCTTAGCTGTTAATGTTTTTATATAGCCACCCTTTCTCATTTTTCTTCGACATCTCCAAAAGAAAAAGAGAGAATGAGAGAGAGAGAGAGAGAGAGAGAGAGAGACGGAGAGAGAGAGAGAGATATTGGTCATAATCTTAACTTTTAATATAATTTGAAGTAACGCAAAAATACATACTTGGTCAATTATTCATCTTGTTTCGCTGTATCTTTCAAAAGATTTGTTTCCATGTTTGTAATAATTATTATGCCTTTGTTTTCTAAAATGATGTTTTCTAATAAATACAAATACACACTGGTAACCCCTCAACGGATGGATCCATTGTACCTCGAATTTCTAGACTGAACTCTGTGTGTCATCTTGAAGAATTTCAGATGTGTTATATCTGATGTTAATATATGTAACCTGTATTCTGATCCAAACCATATCATTCAAATGTACCTAAATGGTATGAAAGGCTCCTGTCACCCCCTAAAAAAACCTGAAACAAAACAGACATAAAACAGAAGGGAAGAAAAAGTGAAAAGGAAAGGGAGAAATGGAAAGGGCAAGAAAATGAAGATGACAAACGACCCATGCTTCATCCTACCTCTTGTCAGTGGTCATGTTAACTTGTATTAAGATCGATGCCCCCCCCCCCTCCCCCCTCCATCCTCCCATGATGGAAGTGTCTTTTCAATGGCTGGACCCGCTTTATACATACACACGCCATCTACGTTTAGCTTCATAAACCCTCGTACACTTTACATTACTAGTATCATATTCTTACTTGACAAACTAAAAATGAATCACAATTAAGAACAAAGATTTTATGATAAGGCTAGAAAATAGGCCTTTATTATTTTGAAAATCATGGTATAAAAAGCATCAAAACGAGTAATAAAATACAAGTTGAAATATAATTTGAATCTCTTGTTCACACAAGTAGCAACGTGCATATAACCCTCATTCAAACACATGTTGAAGGAGTGGAAGAGTTGAAATCGTAGTTTTGCATAAAATGTGTTCATGAATTAATGTATTAGTGAAGAGATTGCCAGCATAATAGCAGTAATTACAACAATATTATCTTTGATATCTTTGTACATTCAATATGTGATTGATTAGAACATTAGAATATACACACAGGTAGGATATAATGTATAATCATCTAAAATGTCTTAAAATTGAAAGCTTCTTTGGAAATTTAATATACTGAATTCGGGGAAGGCTTGCGATATCATATTCTAACTCTAAACCAATTTGTGAATACTAACATCCCCAAGTTCATGGCAAGGTTAACTTGAATGAAGTCATTTCCATTTTTGCAATGTATTTAAAACACATCTGTACTGAATTCAAAATGTAGATGCAACTTTAAAATGATAAATGATTTAATATAAACCACTTCCTTCTAGAATTTGTTGGTCATTTTCTATTGAAATTTATTTCATTAATATGAAAGGTCTATTTATGAATTACAGATATAGCAATTGGTTTTCTTCTAAAATTTTGTGTTTTTCTTTTCTTTTGCTACAGTTAAATGACCAAATTTGAAAATTCAATTATGTTTGGGGTAAAATCCTAGGCACCTGGCAAAAATTGAAAAAGAACAGCTAAAAAAGCATATGTTCACCTCAAAAGTACTGTTACAGCATTCTATAAATATACTTGTACTGTACATTGTGAACCTCTGGATCATTGTTTCCATACCACACAGCACAATGAATCACCACGCTTACAAATATTTAGCACCCGGTTTCTTTGTTTGAAATAGAAGAGGTCTGCCCTGATATTTCTGTTTTTTTTTTTTTTTTTCTTAAATCACTTTTCAACTATAAAATGAGGCACTTCCTTGTTTTTATCAAAAGCCAATTCCAAATATGATTTGATATACTTTATATGCACCACAGAAAGATGAAATACACAATTGTAATGCTACTTCCCTGTATATAAAATGATATAAATGAAGTTTTCATAACTGATGGAAATATAATGAGAAACTCTTTTAGTTCAATAATTTCAATACCATACTATTCTTTGGTCAATTGTATATGGCACATTGCAACAATGTATTTACTTGGTTGAAAATTATATATATATATATATATATATATATATATATAATCTGAAGCAGTGAAACACTATAGGGAACTCTTTGAATGTCATCTGCTCCTTAACTATCAGCCTATAAAAAGAAAGAAATCTGCAAACTGGTAAATCAAAACATTATTATGGATAAAAAGGCAATTGCCTTGGCATTGAACTTTTTAATTTCAGACCATATTTTTCTTATGAGTCATATTCACTTTGAAAAAAGGTTGCAGGGTTGACAAGTTTGTGTATATTTTAATAAAAAGACAAGGCTGTACACTGTAAAAAGAAAGTGACCTGTTTAACTTAGTATCACTGTCATGCCTTTAGATATTTAACATTAGAAAAAAATGGTACAAATTATTTAGATCTTGCTCAATTCATCCATTCATTCAATTCATTCAATTCATTCAATTTTACACAAATATTGGTACTATGCATCAGTATTCAGTAAAGAAAATTTAGTTCTGCGATCAAGTAAAATCTTCAGAAGTCTACACAACTTGAACCAATTAAATTCATAAGTTGTATTATTAAAAGGCATGACATTTCAATGATAAAATACATTCAGGAGATGTGTTCACAATGTTTGAATGCACGCCATTTATCATAATAATAATAATACTCAGTTTTTAAATAGCACTTAATACAATCACTAAGCACTTCCAAACTTGGAGATTATTACCCTGGCTTTAGCTGTGCTGCCATTACCTACCATTATCTTTCCAAAGAATTAATTCCTGCCAGGTACCCATTTACATCACCTTCCTTCTTATAACACATCTTTGTGGGTGTGAATTTAACGTAGTAAATCAAAAGCTTGATACTTCTCTTCAAGTAATACACATTCACATTTAACCTGAAAAATAGAAACCTGATCAAAAATCCTCGCAACTGAACGAGCACCTGTATATTTCTTATTCAGGACATATATGATAATACACATATATTAAACGAGCATCAGAGAACACCAAAAATTGTGAAGACTGAAATTGCTTGCAGACTTGCTCACCATATTACCAGTTTTTTTATTTATAATTTAGTCTATGGAACTCTAGAAGAAAGATATTAGCTATATAACAATGCCAACATTTCAAGCATAAAGGTTAAGTTAGAACATTATATTGCATCTAGATATATAAGATATTTCAGGAATAAACAAAAGCTAAGTACACTAGTAGACAAGTTTTCTAATTGAAACAACTGAAATTCATGTCCAATTCTGGCAAGGAAATATATACACAAATTACAATTTTCATGAGACCATAGCGAACTATAAATCAATCACTTCCAGTAATTTTTCAGTAATTGATTTATAATTTGCTATAATTTTTATTATATTGGATGAATCATAATTTTCATGGAAAAAAATTCACAAGATATAACAATTTAAATATTCTTTCCTTCAAGAAACGCTTCCAGCTGACAATTATAATAAGAATTAACCATTCTTGTCTGGAGCATATCTCACTATGACGTAACTTCCTGAAGCACTATGCAAAGAAGATTAGATATTATTACCCAAGCTTTAGCTCCGGCAGCTGTAGTCAGCATACGGCGCATTTCAAGGAATAAATTTGACTTACAAATGCGCATTGTACATCAAATGGCAAAGCAGTCTATGACAGGAAAAAGACTTGAGTTCCATTTCTCATCTGAGAAGAACCCAAAGGGTGTTAACTGGGTACAAAGATACTTGTTGCACTACACAAACACATTAATGTATACACAAAAACAAATTGGTATATTTAATTCTCCTTTCACACAATAAAAGGATACAACTATCTAACCCCCTGACTCCTGAATTCACTCATTGCCATAGGCTAGTACACATACCACTTGGTTCCAACATGTAATGGGTTAAGATCATCTATAGAGAGCCAGAATGGTATTAACTCATATCACCTAGGTAAAGTTAATGCCCTTCTGACTCTAATGAAATAAGTTGGGAATTCCTAGAAGCCGTGTTATACTGAGAGCATTATTCATAAGCCCTGGACAGGTTAGTTTAGTTATGAATACAGATATATAAACTCCATATAATGTTATTTAGTTTGTATATGCTATATGAGGTCCTCTCCAGGTCAAAGACTTACATTCAAATGAGTTCTACAATGTTCTTTCACTCATGGCTGGAAGACCTACTGCAGTATGGATCTAGAGAACAAGAAGAGCATTATCTCTAACAAGATACTAAATTAGCACCCTTCTGCCACAATAGCAATAGAGTTTATATAATCAGTTGGGACAATACAGGTTTACTGAAAATTTGCATTTGTTAAAGTTACAACAGGCAATTTCCTGCATTATAAACATGAATACAATTCTATATTGTATCTTCGTAGTACATGTTTAATAGAAATGAGAAATAAACGGAACAGAATGTCTTTGATCAACTTAGGAAGTTAGGGATACTTAGAAATTAGGGTACATCAAGGCTTGTATGGGCATGATATTTGTATCAAGAGAAAAGGTGTTTGAGACACCTTCTCTATCCTCACTCTCATCCTCATTTTTACTGGGTCTGACAGGTGGAGGGGTTGCCCTTGGCAACGGTAGATCACTCGGTGATGATGATCTTGACCGTCTGGGTGATGAAGAAGCCTTAGGTGATGTCATATCAACCATCTCTTTGGGCTTGCTGGGAGATCGCGATTTAGATCCAAAAAACCAACTGTCATTTTTCTTGCCTGGGACGGGAGCCTCATTGTTATTATTGCTGCTTGGTGTGATGTCAGAGTGTCGTCTAGATCTCTCAGTATATGTGTTAGGGCTCCCTCTTGTGGTGGGCATAGCTGTTTCTGATTGGACAGATTGGGTGAGAGGATCTTCGGTAGACGAGATGAAATCCTCTTGCTCGAGGTCTAGCAATTCCCATTTTTTCAACTCTTCCTCTACATCTGTTTTGTCTTTTCCTTTGAACAGATTTGCAAAGCTGAATAGATATTAAGAAGGAGACAAAGAAGGAAAATGAGAAAATGTTGAAGACATCATGGACATTGAAGCGATGGTGGAGGTGGAGGTTCAAACAATGGTTAGACCACGATTTGAATTTAAACCTACTTTCTTGATTTGGCCTTAGACTTGGAAGTTTCTGCGCAATCATTCAAAGACTGTTGCATGACCTCACTATAATAATAACTTGTTTCAGTGGTGAACATTGATCTTCGGAAAGATGGGGCATTGACTAGACTTCAATATATCATGGAAAAATGTATGGTGGAAGTTGGTTAAGAGTTAATTGTATTTTATAGGACTTAAATTCAATTCGTAACTTTCAGTGAATCACCATGTTGCTACCACAATCTTGCTACTCATGTTTGTGAATGATTTTGTTCAAAATGAGGAAGTACATACAAAAGAACCTTGATAGCATAATAGGAGAATGTTGTAAATATAAACAGTGATTCAAGGTTTCAAGTGCTTGATGCTTGTTTCACTTTCAAAGGTTCTACTAAAACTGTCGTGGCAACAGTGGCAATTCATACTTATTAACCTCTTGTTTTCAAGTTAATTTTATTGCAACCTGGCTGACAATCACAATAAATTATGATCATGACTAAGGTTTGTAGAACTTTAATAAATCATAGCAGACAGGTTAGATCAATCTCAATCAAGAGACCATAAAAATAAAAATAAATCACAATTTGCACAATTTGATTAATATTGTAAGTCAAATTACTTTAAATCAACTGTTAGCATGCTAACAATGCAAGTAAAAAAAATAAAGCAGCAAGAAATACCTTTAAAGAAAAAAAAGGCATAACAAACAAGATGAAGAAGACTGCATCTCTAATATGCCTCCATGCTTATACATCTAACCTCATGAAACCAATTGCTTTTCCTTTATTTTTTTTAAAGGCATAACATACCTAAGCCTAGTTAGGCGAGTTCGATATTTAATAAATAATCATAGTAAAAAGGTACTTTTAAAAACTTTGTCACTCTATGATCTGACCTCCTACACCTAAAATCTAATCAGCCCAGCCTTGCAAGCAAGCATGCTCATACATACTTGAGCCAAGTTTGGTTTGAATTGCTTTGATGCATTTCAAGTTATTGTGGTAAAAAAGTATTTCCAGGTATTTATTAACACTTTTATGACCCTGTAACTTTTGACTTAGACCTTAGACCTCTTCCACCAAAAGCCTAATCAGTTCATCCTTGCATGTTTACACGTACTTCCCCAAAGTTTGGTTTGAATCGCTTCAATCCTTTTAAAGTTATTATTGTAACAAGGTATTTTCTGGTATTTAAAATAATTTCATGACCCTTTGACCTTTGACCACTTAAACCCAAAATCTAATCAGTTCATCCTTCATATTCCTTTTAAGTTTGGTTAAAATCTGTTCAATGGTTCTCAAGTTACCACGGTAACGAAAATGGGCATGGATGGACAATCAGAAAACATAATGTCTCCAGCACCGCCTTCGGTGGCGGAGGCATAAAAAGGGTTAAAAATGACTTTTTACATTTCTAATAATCTAAAACAATTTGAAGTTACTTATATGATCACTACATTCCTACATGCATGAAGGCATTTGACAAATTATCTAATGCAAACAATCATATCAAGCATGCACATACAGGAATAACTTCTGTGGAAAAACCCCAAAACAAATGAAGAACATTGCATGAACGTAATGTGTGAGGGAATTGCATCTGAAATAAAAATGACTTCAACAAGTAAACAAACTGATAAGTTAAAATGCTGATTTTCAAGCTCCGGATTGTCATATAAAGTCTCAAAGTTGTTACTTCTTTGAGTGTTATGAATATTGTAATCTGAAGTAATCTCATTAAAGATGATTTGATAAGTGTTTTATGATGATCCTACATTGCAGCTAGAACTGATACATACAACTGCATGTCATTTAGGAAATGAATTAATGTGATCTTGTAGATAATTAAATCATATCTTTATAAGAAAAATAATGATACGCAAACAAAAAATATATATAGAAAAGGAGAAGTCAATAATTGGCCATTTTTAGACCATAACAATTGATTCAGTAGGGTTGAGATTGTAGTCTATCGTGATTAGGAACGGTATGCTCAATTTTCTTTTTTTCTAGTAAGTAAACATATTGTTGGTTTAACCCCTTTTTACTTGCAGGAGGATATTTCAAATCATTAGCATTACATTACATGACCTTCAACCCAACACATAGCTACTTTGCTCCTATTGGAGACATGATTTCAAATGCTATGTTGATAATGATGATAATTCCCATTTTATATTTGATGGCTACTTTCTCTTATATATTAACACCGAGAATTAAATAGGTTTCACATTTTCTACTAATGTTTTTTGTATGATATGTTCTTACTGTAGTGGTATACGATATTCCATTATTTTATTTAATTACTAGTTGCAAGTTTTGTATACTTTTATGGTTTCATATGAACTCAACTAATACAATACGTAGATGCATCATAAGTCCGGAAGCACGATAATGATATCATGGACAGTGATAATAGTACTATACTTAGTAATCTTCACAACTAGAGAGGTTATATGAGACATGGATCTAGAAAGTGAAAGCGGGATAAATCCATTTTTAAATACTAAAAGGCTATATCAAAAAGCAATAACAATTAAAAATTCCCTGTACATTCCCATGTTGAATACAGGAACAACATGCGGTAGCCTTAGTGAAAAGGCATTTTGTATATTCTTCTGTCAAAAGAAACTTGCTCAAGGAGGTTTCATGTAATGAAAGAAAAGTAAAAGAAAAGGAAAGGCAAAAAATATGTATGATGAAAATGAATGAAATGAAATTTTGATACTGTAAGATTCCTTTTTAAAAGATGACAAAGAAATTGAAAAGGAGTGAATGATATTGGAAAAGATTATGAGCTACTAACTGAAGATTTACGGATCTTTAACAATCATTACATGAGATAATAAGAATGGGTTGAGTGGTTGAGATGAACTTTACAATTAGGTTAACCTGTATGTGTGAAGAAAAAAAAAGCTGAAGTCTATGGAAAATGTGTACTATAAGAATCAAATAGTATCTAAAGGGTTATACATGATAGACAACTCAACGTGTGCAGTTTTATAAACTCTCCTGTTAGTCATCAGTTTAGAATGACAACTATTTTCCAAAAGCAAACATAATGAATACAAAACCTAATAGCATCAAATAATACATGAAAAGAGCTTATAGATAAATGCTCTATGTAGAAAAACCATTTAAACAAATGAAATGTTAAACTTTTCTATCAAAAATGCTAGGTCATGTGATATCATTGCAGCTCCCCCAGCACTATGTTAAGGCTAGTAGTGTGCATCCATGCAACAAAACAATTACTCAGACATGCGGGTGGCTAATTGTTAGAGCAATGACAGTATCTTAAATTTCTCACTTTTTACCCATATTCTGAGGAATACGTTTATTATTTCCAAGAATCACTTTATGTGATTGATGTACATTATGGCTTCAGCAAATCTGTTCATAAGAGAGAAATTGTGTTGTGACACCATTATGTATGTGCATAGATAATACAGATAAAGCAAATACTTCTAACTTGGGGTACATAATATACTCCAAAAAAATTGTTCAGTATCTGTAAGAATCTGTCCTACTACTTGACCATTCACTTAAATATGATTTTTAAAAAAAATCTCTACTTCAAAATATGGTTTCACTCGGATCATTGCAGAACAATTTTTTCATAATTACAGCCTGATAACAAATTACAGTGAATAGCCCTTGTGAGGTACAGGTGAGTGAAAAAATTAAATTGGCCTGTCAAAAAACACTGCTCTTTTTCACAAAATTATATTTTACAAAAATGTAATTGTTCTCATTTTCATTTGACTCTGAAGGTATATAAGCTTGTATTGCACAGATTTGAATTCAAGGATAACTGGTGCATCTATGCTTTTGACATGTAAGGTTTTGTTGTGAATACAAACTGCATTGCCATACCTAAATGACATGCATTTCAGTTATTTCATTAGTGCACTGCTTTGTGTCTTTTCCCCCACACATTTTTAAGTGCCTTAACTATAAACATCAAAATATGTGTTACCACTTTAATGGTGCTCCAAATCATTATGATAATTTGTACATGTACCTAACTCTTCTCTGAGACAATTCTAGCGAACAATTGTTCTACTTTATCTTCAGACAAATTTCTAATCATGGATTTTATCTCATTATCTATCCATTCTACATCATGTTTACATTTTATGACATTCAAATGAGATCGCTTGATTGAAACTGATCCAAGTGCCTTATCATGTTTTCTTAGTCACAAGTCAAAACAATTGGGGGGGGGGGGGCAAGCTTTAAAATTTGAACACACTGTTTATTTGTACAGTGTGAGCCAGCCAGTTTTCACTTTATCTCACTTTATCATAGAGTACAGAAGGAAGATACTTACAATTTTCTGATTCCTGATGGCTTGTTTTTGCCAGAGTTTTCTTCTTGTTGACAAGGAGAGGAAGTATTTGCAGAGGACCCTGTCTGGTCTTCTTCAGCTCTGGAAAAACATGAATACAAACAAAAAACAAATAAATTATGAAGCAAAGACATATATACTGGTTGTCCTAATTCATCATGCTATGTACATGCTAGTACATCAACTACTCTACCCACAACTAACTCAGCTTGGAGTGCAATTAGGTACTCAAACTTCAATATCTTTTCACAAAAGCTGACAGTTGAATATATGATAACATCATTTAAGGATACAGACACCTCCACAGACAAAAAAAGAAAGGTGATTTTAATAGTCCCTTTTAAGTTATAATATGCGTTCCCTAAATAACACTGAGGGGGGGGGGGGGGGGGGGAACCCCGAACATGCAGAAGAAATAAGTGACGGTTACCTCTAACGGCTTGTTCACATACAGCACAGTAAACAACAGTGGTTATTTATGTAAGTGCATATCAAGTGGGTTTGAAAAAATGGAGCTTTGTGCAACATAGTTCATATGCATTTTCTTTCATCTGTGTGTAGTAAAATACAGATATGTGAAGCCCATTATCTTATTTTGCCTCGTCTGTAACCATGGGTAACCATGGGTAAACATGAACAAGCCTTAAAGCCCCTCTGCACCAGTTTGGCATGGAGGGATTAGACCTCCCTGCAAGGTCACTGGCAGGTGATTATCTCATCAAGTCAGCTCTCAATTAACATAAGGCTGTATAGAGGGCGCAAGTAGCTATAAGTAGTGCAGTGGGGCATTAAGGGGTTATCATATGAAGACTTGGTCTCACCTGTATGTTTCCAGTTCTTCTTCCAAGGCCACTACTTTAAGATGCATCTCATCCCTCTCAATCAAGACCTTCCTGAGTTCGTTCAGAGTGAAGCGAGGTCGGTTGGGGTCATGAGAGAGGTCACCAGCCATCTTATTCTCCCCTTCTTTATTGTCAACCTGGATATAGCGAGGTAAAGAAGAGTATAGTGATTTAAATAGTGATCAGCAATCTAAATAATTCTCTTGGATATCTCTTGATGTCTGAGTTGCCTATTGTTTATTACAGTGGATATTCATATCGGAGGTGTCGTGGTCGAGTGGATACGTCGCCGGACTGTTGATCACAAGGTCCGTGGTTCGAGTCCCGCTGAGGCACTAATGTCCTTTGGCAAGACATTGATCTACATTTGCCACACTCAACCCAGGTGATGTACATGGGTACCTGGCAGGAATTAATTCCTTAAAATGCTAGAGTGCCATAGTGGCCCCCTTGCTAAAGCCAGGGTAATAATTGGGGCAGTGCCAGGAGCGTCACAACGTGGCGGACATGTGCACTATATAAGAAGCCACAATTATTATTATTATTAGTAGTAGTTTCAGGATTGTGATGAAGACCATATAAAAAGTACAATGATCAAGAATGATCCTGCTGAATCCCTTTAATCTTGACTATGTTCAAGAATGTTACCTACATAACTTGGGTTTTATTAAGGGAGAGACAGATACCTTGAATTATAACCACATGCATACCTGCCAACTTGAGACAAGAGAAATTAGGAGTAAATTTTTCTGGATGGACTACGAGGTCGCGAACCACCGAAGGATTGGGGTAGTAGCCCGTAGATTGGGGGGGGGGGGGGGAACTAACGATCACGTTCGGGCTGCGCTGTGTATATCTTCTATGAGCGCGAGCGCGGATGTCGGCGTGATCTGGTTATCAGTGCTGTGTTATGCTTTAGTCTTATACATACATATTGGTATTTATTGAGCGCCTTTACATGAACATGCTCAAGGCGCTTTACATTTCGAAATACAAACATAATAGTTATATACTCTCCACTCTAAAAAAAAAAAAAAAAAAAAAAAAAAAAAAAATTAAAAATCGGAGTTTTGAGGCATGCATTCGGAATTCGGAGTTGGTATGAAAAATGCGGAGGAACTCCGCCTAAATCGGGGTGGTTGGCAGGTATGCACATGTACGTATTATAGATCCTGTTGGAAGGTAACAAGTAATGTTTGAACTGTCCTCATCACAACATTCCTTTACATTGGCTCTACTAGCTGTATTCCCTACAAACCTACCTCAGGATTGTCCTTCATGGTGCCATCAGCTTCATCTATCTCTGTCATAGTCTTCTGCTCTATCAGGTTCTTATTCAGTCTCATCACATCAACCTGTAGAGTGGACTTTTGTCGGATCAGGTTCCGAGAGTGGCTCTCAACTAGCTCGTGTTTCCGCCGCAGGTTGCTGTTCACTTTGACAAGTCTATCAGCTTGTTGCTGCAACTGTGAAAAGAGCAAAGCAAAAAGTTTGCTAACACAAATCTTGCACAAGTTCTTGGTAGCTGTTGATCTTGGCAAAATTTTCAACTTGATGCTGCAACTTTAAAGAGAGTGAAGGAAAAACTGTTAACACATGATTCTATACAATTATTGAACTCACTTTTTTTGGAATTCAACTACAAAAGAGTGATATATTTTTCAGAACAGTTTGGCAAGATTCTTGTTTCCCCTGTATCTTTCTGTTTGTTGCTACCAAACTGTAAGGAAAAAAGGAAAGGGAGCTATTGCTTTTTATTTGCTCTTCTCTTCTTTTTTTTTCTCCAGGGATTTAGGAATTTGTTTGAGACATTCTAACCAGAATATATCGAAAATATAGGAAACCTTCTTTATTTCAAAATTCCATTTTTACTTTACATAAAAAAAAACAATACTCAATTTTTCACATAACCATCTTTATTATCATTTATGGGATATTCTCATGAATGGATACTACAGTGTATTCCCATTTTTATATTTGATGATTGAGTGCTATAAAAATTATAAAAACCTAACTACACTGTATGTAACTATTTTATACATGCATAATGCTTGCTATTACTTTGCTGGTATACAGGTACTTTCCGACTTAAAACTAGACTAAATAAATAGTCAAATCTGACTGAGCGCCATAAATATAACCAACAACAACAACTACTTTCCAAGAGATGCTGGTAGGTTTCACTGGTGCTATGAACCTCTGAGTATATTCACCCAACATTAACCTCATAACTACAAACAGATAAAACTGAAAACAAAAGGAGACCTTCTTCATAACAGATATTTTTATTTTTTCACATATACAGTTAATTACTAAATTATTCTGACCCTTACGAAGTTTTGTAATTTTTAAGTATATGAAAAATTGATTTGTCCTGATTTATGTTTCATGAGAATGTGACACATTCAAGCTTACATCTAGTCATCTACGAGTATTCAACAAAGGCCCTAATTCAACTAGTCCACCTTTCATCCATGGTTATTAAACAAAAAAACAAAAAAAGCCATGACCATGAAAAAGCATTCGACCTACAAGTGTAGCTACATGTAGCATCCTATACTTTTCATCCCACGTTGTAAATAACACTTGCCTTCACTTTCTAACCTCTAATGTTTTTACTTTTGATCATGTGAGCAGTCATATTGAAAGTGCTCCAAACTGAACGATGAAAGAAAGGAAGCATATCAAATGTCTGTCTGTCTGCGTATATTCTTTGGCACATACATGATGTATTGTACTTGTAATGAGAGACAAGCAGCACTTGGATAAAGGCTCGATCACATGACACTGGTCAGGTTCACAATGATAGGCTTTTTTAATGTGTAAATGAATGGCAAGATCGAGGATGTGAAAAAAAATGTACCTGTGCTCAATTAATGTGGTCCTATGCATTTTCACTCAAAGGTAAAGACCAGTTATGGTCATGTGATTGCATTGTGACAGAAACGTTGTGGAATCGATCAGAAAAGGTTGATCATCTAGCATATAAGTATCGGTGTCTGAAATCATCAAAATGATAAGAAATTTGGCCCAGTCTTCGTAAAGTTACAAGCACTGTACACAGAAAGATGTATATGGGACTATACGCACACGTGCGCAACACGTGCGTTTATCTCTCACAGACCATGTAGATAAACAAATTTACCAAATATATCAATTAGTAGGCAGTTTCCTGGCAAAATTTTTATCATCATGTATTAGTCAAAACATGTTCTTTCACATGATTGGTACTAAGAGCTTCCATTTCATTTTTTGAAATTGAGGCGTTTCCAATACTGGTCTTTTCCTTTAACTCTGTGTACCGGTAGTAAGATATTGACACATCACAGCAAATGGGAATGAGGCTTATATTCCAAATGCCCTAAATAGTACTAAAATACTATACCTAAAGTAGGTTACACATTTTTTACTTCTAGATATCCTCAATCCTCAAAATCTTAAGGACAAACTTTCAACATCTATTTTCAAAAGTTAAGGAGTACCTTTAAACTTTATTAGATGGTGGAGGATATATTACTTGTTCATGATTATCTTTAATCACCTTCCAGGTACCAACCAATGACCTTTCTTAACAATCTGGTTAGGGTACAGTGGTACATACGTGAATCTCATTTCATATCAACCCTATACATCAAACACTGACTGGAATACACATCTAGAGTCTTTCACACAGGGGGAAATATCGTATACAGAATTGTCACATAAAGAAACACACACAATATTTATATGGGTAATATGTGTAAAGCGCCATGAGCGTCAGAACCTGGCGGATACCGGCGCTATATAAATAACCATATTATTATTATTATTATTATTATACAAGGAAAGAGGAGTATGACACACACAGATACATATCATTTGACCCAATCTAGGGGTAATGGGCAGTATACACAATGATGAATAAGATATAGAAATGTTTTGAGAAGTGATTGTGAACAATTCCATTATAACATGTTCACAGAGTTCGATTTGATTCTGTCTTTCCTTTTTTTTTCAAAATTTGATTTCATGTTTTTTTTTTTTTTTTTCCTAATCGTTTTTGGCTTACATAGTCAAAGCTTAAAGGCTTTTTACACAGCCAATTCTATAAATGTGCATTGACTGTTGTTTAGTTGTCTCTCTAATAAAGAATATCACAAAATACATATGACCTATAACTAATTCTATGTCTTCATTTTATAATAATAATCTTGTCATCAGTGATTTCCTTTTAAGGTTAAACTATGCGATGCTCTTGCGTTTCTAGAAGGAGTCCAGAAGTGGATTCCTGTGTCTAGATGATCTGTCCCAGAGACACTTTCACCCCTTGACCAGCCAGATGACTATCATGACTACCTGGGATACTCATTAAGGCCAGGATTGACAAGGGTCAATTAGCTTGCTGAATGAGTCTTGAATCAACACTGGAAGAATCAAATGCTTTCCTCAATGAGGTTAATGAGTTCACTAGGCACGTCTCCATCATCTTGAGATTACCAAAAGCCCACTATTTCTGATTTGGGAAATAATCCCGAAGTTACAAATCGCGTCATCATCAGCTCGAGATTCGACCTCGAAACTTGAAACTCGACCTTGAGAAATTAGCTCGAGATATTTTGGTGAAGACACACAGGACAAATAGCTGGAAATTTTGCCAAATAGTGGGATATCTTCCAAACTATCCCAAGATATCTCGAGATAACAATCCCGACCAAATATCCTGCTAATTGCTACTCCGGTCTGATAAAGACGCAAATTAGCTGGATAGTTTGCGATCGGGATAGTTTAAATAGCTGGATATTTGGCAATCTCGAGATAGTGAAAACAGGCCTACTGACTTTGGAAACCAATTGGTCCCTGTATTAAGCCTATGGGAATAATAATAATAATAATAATAATGTAACTTATATCGCGCCAAATCCACTCTGTGGAGTGCTCAAGGCGCGTGTAAACAGGAAAAACGATCAAGACTTGAAAAGGAATAAGATAATTCAGTGATCAATTGGTTAAGTCTGATGGTTCATAAAAATTACCAACCTTTACATTTGAGAACCTTATTTTTTTAGGATGGGGGGGGGGGGGGGGGGTGTCAGATACAGTGTATTTTTGACACAATTCTGATGATTCGACAATGACTTTTCCTATATTCTATTGGAATCGTTCAATGCTAGTTACTCCAAAATACTTGGAAAGCTTTAGAGATAGGGATAACAATAGTTTGATGGCATCATTGCTTCTCTCTCTTTGCAAAACAATGCACCTCCTTCCTGCACTTAGCCGAGCTTTTTAGCATTTCATTTCCTAGCTGATCTAATCTACTCTAAATAGCTTCCTGTAATTTCCCTACAATGGTGATGTTCTTTTGACTTTCATTTTAAGTGGGCAAAGTCATTTCCTGAATGTTATCTGGAAATTGAACAGTAAAATTGTTATTGAAGTATTTGACACTAGTCACACTACCACCTACTCATCCCCCCCCCCCCAAAAAAAAAATACTTATAAGAAAAAAAGAGAACCTGATCAGAATTGTCATTGATAATGAGCTTAATCTTAAAGCTACATGTATCATTCAATGTTAACATGCAGGATGAAATATGAAGTTCTGCATGCGATATTTAAGTGACAGAATCAATTAGTAGATTGTCAAGTACCTATTTATTATTATTATTCTAAAGGTGAAAATGAAAGTAAATTGAAACTAACTTACAATTATTTACAATGATCAATGGTTAATTATATTATTATCTGGAAATGCCATAACTGAGCAAATGGTGATCCTGTCATGACTGCATACATGTATTGACTAATAGAGGCTCTAATTATTCCTGTCAACAGTTCTATAGGCTTCTGTCAACAAGGATTTATATCCATGGGAAACTAATGCGGAATTCAGGTGGCTAGGAATAATTGGAGATTAATTGGCTCAATGATTGTATACATGTGGTTACAATATATTTCATTGATAATCTCCTCTGTGTAAAAAAAGTATTGCATCACTACATACTGCATTACTATCAAAGAATTCATTTCATGCTTATACAAAATAGGAGAATAAATATATGTATGCTTATGCTAAATCATGAATAGCAGACAAAATATGATAAAGTGGTACTATACTATCTTCAAGCATGTGCTTCCCAGTTCTTTCTTTTCTGGACTTTGAGCCCTAACCATAGTCCTGTACAGTATCCAAGTATAACATTTTTGTCTCATGGCAAAAGGTATATATTTTGGACTGAACAAGAAAATAGAGATATTGAAAGGAATTGAAAGCTATAATGTTATTAAGGGAAAGAAAGATACATACAGACAGATTGATGAGGGAGAGGGAGAGGGAGAGAGAGAGAGAGAGAGATAGAGAGAGAGAGAGACAGAGACAGAGAGATAGACAGAGAGAGAGAGACAGAGAGAGACAGAGAGATAGACAGAGAGAGAGGGGGGGGGGGAGATAGAGACAGTCAGACGGACGAACAAACAAACAGAGACGAAGAGAGAGACAGATATCTACACAGATAGACCAAAATATGTATAGAGGTACATGTATATTCCTGTACTATACTGTACATATTACATGTACTTGTCCTGTCAAGGTATCATTCTTCTAAATCCACCATATTAGGGAGTTTTTCTTTGAAATCTCTGATCATTAATTGAGAATAAAACCTCTAATTTCTTTGACTAACTTTTCATCACACCACATAACCACAAATAACTTCCTAAAGCAATCAACATGGTCAGAGGACACCACACATTTGTGTGTCAGTTAACTCTTTACATAAATCATTTAACTGATTTTTTTTCTGGCACACAACACCCTTTTGTGTCTGTTGATCCATATGACGATCACACACAATGCTAGATTTGACCTTTGACATTATGACATGTGCATAGACAACCATGCAGTGAAGGGGGTGTGATGCCAGAATCAATAAAGCCACTAATCAGAACATCGGTGTACCATACGGTATACCACTCTACGGGGTACTCAATCTACTCATACCATGCCAGCATGCTGGAATCTCATCTAGCTTTATCTGCTGGGATGTTTACAGAATGATACATCCATTGAACGTACTTGGAGTTTAGACTCTATGAATATTGCTCCAACACAATGAACAAACAATACAGAATAATAAAAGTATGCTCTTGAGGCTTGTCATACATACATATTGAACACAATCATCGCATATCATATACATGTACGTGTGTGTTTTCAAGGAATTCTTTACCTCAGAAGTCAACATTTTCAGACACACACTGACACCTATTTTATACAAGCACATCCAAATTGTAACACAACTTTTCTTTTTAAAGTGAAATTATATATATGTAGGGTCAGTCAATGCAACATGCAACCAAACAATTATGTAGTTGAAAACAGGAAGTATAAATGATTTACTTGACACCAGAAATGTTCTGATCACATGAGCAAAGTAGGCTGATGGAGAAATGTAGATAGCAGTAATTTTCTGGATTAAATTGGTTGCCCCCCTCTATCCACAAGAGGAGGCCCGGAGGCTCTCTCTCCAAAACTTTTTCTAAATGTCCCTTTTTGGGGGTTTTCTCTCCGTCCTATTCCCAACTTTCCCAGCCATTTATTTATATCTGAGGAGTTACTTTAGTAACAGAATAATAACACTAGAAATCAGAAAAACACAAATCTAAGAATATCTCTATTCATAAATCCAAGAAAAGTTTGTAAAGATTCTTACTGCTTCCACATCCTGGTTCTTAGACCTGAGATCATTATCCTGCGCTCGGATCGTATCTCTCTGTTTGTCCACCGTCTCTTTTAGCTTCAGTAACACCTTCAATGTCTCTTGCTCCATAACTAGGAAGCAAAAATTTAAAAAAAACATTGGCAACGAATTAGAAAAGATGACAAACGAACCAATCAATCAAAATATCATTGTTTTATATATGCAAGATCTTGTTCTTTTGTTTAATAGTGGAAGAATCATGAAATGGCAGAGAGGCTGAAGAATATCATGAATAAGGCCTTTACAAAAAAGATGTTGTGACCGACCCCAAAATTTTAATTTTTTTTTTTGGTACCATTTTTCAGAGAAAAAAAATGTATTCAAGCATTCAAAACTGAGAAATGTTAGCCCAAAGGAGGGAGTGTTTTTTTTTAAGTAAAAAAAAAAAAAAAAAAATGTCAGACTGACCGACCATGTTTTGGCACCTAAAGGGCAATACAACATTTTTTTTTAAAAGGCCTGATGGTAATATATCAATGAGACAAATATTGTGGTGTAGAGGTGCATTACTGATGATGGTGGTGACGGGGAGTACATGTGCATGTATTATGACTATGATTACATGGGTACAATCCAAACTAACAGCATGATTATTAATCATACATGATTGTAATGCAAGAACATACTGGTATATATGAAACTATAGAGATAGAGAGATAGAAAGATAGGGAGATAAAGACAGAGGGAGAGAGAGAGAGACACACACACACAGAGAGAAAGATAGAGAGGAGAGAGAGAGAGAGACAGACAGACAGAGGAACACAGAGAGACACACACAAAAATAGAGAGAGAGAGAGAGAGAGAGACACACACACACACACACACACACACAGACATAGAGACAGAGGAACAAGTTTCATTACATTGAGGAATAATGTTGAGTGTGCAACAAATGTAAGGTATATATGTATGAGATCAATAAGGCATTGTCTCAAATGTGTACATTTCAAACTAGTTGCTGTTTGTATAAAGGCCTATATACGGTATTATTTTTCCTATATCACTATTCACTTCCACAGGACTTAAGCCAGAGAACTATTAACAGATGTTGTTGTGTTCTGCATCGTTTAGCCTAACCTAATCAAACAAAATTAAACATGACATATATCTAAAATGAATTAATTAAAAGTACAGATGTTTTTGCCAAATTTTCTTAATCAAATATATTCAACAATCCTACTGCATCTAGTTTATATCTGATATCTATCCTACATGTACATAATCTATAACTGTTATACATTGAATTGCTTTCATAACAATGATTGTAAAACAAATATATAATTAATGATCCGTAAATTGGGCTTGATCCTGTGCATCGGTACACGGCTACACGCACATCAAGTAAATTACAGTTTACAGTATGGGAATCATAACATACATACATATTGAGAAATCAGTCTCAAGTTTTAGTGGAAAGCAAGATTCCATAGTAGATGACAATGGAATGGAATTCCTTTCTGGAACAACTTTCTAGTAATGCTGATGATTAAATATTTGTACCACTGAATTCTAATTGACTATCAACAATTTTGTTAACTAAGACATTTTACATTTACACAGATATTCCTTACATTTAAAAAAGATCAATTAACAGTTCAACAAATGTAATTACTATTTTTTAATTTTGAATACTTGGAAACTATCTTAATTCTAATTCACTTAACCTCCAGAGATCTTTTAATTTCAATAATTTACTTTCCCATATCCAATCTCAGATTTGTATACATCCTGGCACTGCAGACTGTAGTTCTGACATTCTACAAATATTGAAGCAATCATGTGATAAGTGAGATTCTTGGCAAAGTTGACTTGTATGTGCATGGTTTGATCAGAAGCCAATGACTTTCTCAATTTAACAGTCTACATGTAACTTTCTCATAGCCTACATGCAATTGAATACAATAAGAATTTATCATGAAATTGCAAATTAGGTGCCTTTCAAATTGAAGATTTATCATTTGGTTTCTACATACTCAAAGAGGGGGAAAGGTAATTAAATGACCTCAAAGAGAATGGAAAACTGATATGAAATTTGGACAAAATTTAGAAATGCTTAAAATGGCCTGAAACGTACTCTTATTTGATTAAAAAGTGATTTTGATCACTTTTAAATTTTGCGCCTGCACTGACGCGTGGACGTACGCGAATGCTTGCATTTTACAAACCTGAAATTGACTGGATGGGTAATGACCTTGATCATGAGTTGATTTTCAGAAAATTTCACAAATTGGCGATGACCTGATGAACTTGAAAATAATCTATGACTGTGCCAAAATTGAAAGAAATTGACTGTATCGATCAAAGAGTTATGCTATGCACAAAAAAGAGGGGGTAGAAGAGATAAAATGAAAGAAATAAAGAAAGAAAGTTCTGACGAAATCAATAGGTGATCTGTCGATAATACACCACCTAATAATAATAATAATAATAAAATCAAGTATAATACTCATATGTGATCTTGTCATAGTTACCTTTTTCTTGTTTGACCTGCCCTTCCTTCTCATTAAGTTGTTTCTTGAGCTCCTTGTTCTTTCTCCGGGCCTCACTCAGGAATTCTTTCCACTGCTCTAAATCTTCAAGGTGCTGGTCTTCCATCTTATGGAGATCCTGTGGCAACGAATACAATTTCAATTTCAATTTCAATTTATTGTCCAATATTGGAAATTTGTTTTGTTCACATTTCACAAACGTACAAAGAATCAAAATAAGTTTACATACATAATACATCATATACTTTGACATAGAAATTTGTCAGAATATTGCTTTACAGAAAGTTTTCCTACATTATTATACTCAGTAGTCTATGCAATGAATCATGAATGAAATAAATAGTATTAAAAAAAAAATTGTTAAATTTACACATGGACAAAATCTTTTAATTCATACCCCTATCCCACAGCCTTTAAAAAAAAGTTGAACGACTATGAAACGAAGAATAAACTAGTTGTGCATACATGTACTTCCAAATCCCAGTCATACATTTGTCAATAGTCAATACTCACAATTAGTAAATGAGCATTTTCTTCTGTCTTTCTCGATAGTTCATTCTGGCAGGTGACAAGGTTTTCATTCAATTTGCTAACTTTCTTCTCCAACTCTGTCTTCTCATTTACTAGAAGTTCCAAGTGTTCCAAGATGGAAATGATTTTTAGTGTAACATTACTCGCACTCTCTTGCCCAAACTGTTCAATCAGCTGTTGGCATTCTCTCCCGGCATCTGCGGCTAGTTCGTACACCTTCAACACGGTCATCTCCCCCGTATTATTGTTGTCTAAAATCTCCGTCGTCATGATTGGTTTCAAACTTGTTAATCACAAAAAGAAAATTTTCAGTTTTAATTGAGACGAGAAACTAAGTATTGCTGGAATCTATTGGCGTTGTACATTATCAGAGAAACTGGGCTCTCGCTTGCAAAACCAAGAACTTTAGGCTCCTTGCCAAAATTATCAAATGGTCGACTGCAGTCCAGTTTGTACTGTTAATCCTCCGAGCATTCGTGTAACTTAATTATTTGTGTGCAAGCGCTACACGTAGTGCAGTGTACCGTCGAAGAGCGGCCGCGCTTCCATTGGTACACTGGTGATACTGCACTGGTGGTGGTAGCATAAGTTTTGTATGAAGAAAAACTTTGTAGAAACTGGAAAGGATCCAAAATCAAAGCTGTCACTTCACTACTTAAGTCCCGTTAAAAAATGAAATAACACCACAGCCTCCCGATCTTGATCCCGAAAATAGGTTTGCAAACGTGTGTGCGTCGTGGATTGGAAATGGGCTTCGTACAATATTTTGGGTGCATAATAGTCAGTGCACGCATCACACGGTCTAAAATCAATAAGAGCTAAGCGACCTTGTCTGCTCATCACGTGCACCTTTGTTTACCTTTTCTGCTTGGTTGCGCAATTAGTGTGCCACGGTATGTCACTGAAACAGCTACCGTAGGATTTTTGTGCCAAAGTTGATTTTTCTTTTGCTGTTTTGGCTTCAAAAGGGTCCCAAAAAAATTGGCCAAAAAACGATGGGGTTCAAATTTTCAGATCACTCCTTCATTTCCAGGGGGGTCCTAGACCGGGAGCCAGTGGGGCGCGGGTCAACCTAGCTGGGAAGGAAACCAATTTTCATGTGCACAAACGTAAAGATCGCATAGCTCCACATAAAAAATTGACCGTCTGACATGTTCTAAGTGGTGGGTGTGGCCAGGGGGTATTATTTATATTATATTATATTATATTCATGTTGATCGATGCACTAACTTTTCTTGGCCATGGGCAAGATTATGACAAGCGGCTGGAAGGGGCGGGGTGGGTTTGGAGGGGGGGGGGGGGGGGGAGGCAACTGCCAATGTCCACATTTCCTGAAACATCCCAGAGTACAGAAGAAGAACTTATCAATTGCACTCAGCGCTCTAAATCCTTTGAACTTTCTGCACTAAATGTCTAATTACTTTTGTCCAGTTAATATACCGATATACTGGCAAAAATCAGAGGAATATCTACAATAAAGCACCTTTTGGGCTCAAAATTTATATTTCACACACTACATCACTCATTGAAATTGAAATCAGAATAAATGTATTTTAATTATCCATCTTTTGACACCAAATACATGATGATTAGAGGTTTTAGTTCAAAACAGATCCTTAATACACTAATGCACGTATATGCATACAGTTAATACACATGTGGGCAAAAATGTTGTTTTTGTGGAAATCAAATCAATAACTTTGGATTGCTATAACTTTTTATTGAAATGATATATAAACCTCTCCCTGGCACAGGATATTGTCGTTGTACATAAGCAAATTCCTGGAAAGTTATGAAAAAATGCAATTTTCCGATTTTGATATATGGAAAATAATGTTTTTTGATCAAATTCAATTTTTCAAAAAAAATCACAAAAATCATGTTTTTTACTTAAATTTGTGATGTTAATTAATCTTGAATTCTTTGAAATTGGTATCAAAATGTAATTTAACTCTCTTTCATATGACACCAAACTCATGGTGGTTCAATGTTTCCTTAAAATATTATTTACATAATACTATTTTGTCGTCAAAAGGGCGTCCACCTGGCCACACCCACCACTTAGAAAATGCCAGACGGTCAATTTGTTATGTGGAGCTATGCGATCTTTACATCTGTACATATGGAAGTTGGTTTCCTTCCCAGCAAGGTTTACCCCCACTGGCTCCCGGTTTAGGACCCCCCAGGAAATGAAGGAGGGGTCTGAAAATTTGAACCCCATCATTTTTGGCCAATTGGAACCCTTTTGAAGCAAATACAGCAACAAAATCAACTTTGGCACAAAAATCCTACGGGATTACATACCATACCGCACTAAATATTTCTCTTTCTCTTTCTCTTTCTCTAAAAAAGAAAAAGAAAAATACAAGCTAGTCTAATTCCTCAGACACTCTAAAACTGGTGCAAAAAACAACCATTTACCTACAAAATCTCTGGCTTTATCTCAGCCAAACAACAATAAATCAATCAATTATTGAACGACACGTGTAACTTTAGCAAATTGCTGTAACACAGTGGTGAACTACCTGGGCAAAATCCCGAGAAGCAGCAACATGACACGAAAACGAAAACCATGTCACGTCATTGCTGTATATCACCACACCCATGTACTACATCATCTCCCCTCATTTCTTCCCCTCCTTATAATTCTAGACTCTATCTCTCTCTCTCTCTCTCTCTGAAATACATATACACGTAGTACACTGTAGTGCATGTATGGTGAAACTTCGTAACAAACTCCTTTGGGACTAACAAATTTATCCCAGTGTATCGAAGCTTTGTATTCAGCCCCCCCCCCCCCCCTCCTTAAAAAAAAAAAAAAAAAAAAAAAAAATGAAGAAAAAAATGTATTGAATAGAATATGGGATGTGAAAACTTGTAACATGGTTTTATTGTTCTCTTAAAAATGAGCGCCAAGAGAAGACCTATCTTTTGCATTATAGACCTTAAAGATAAACTCCAGTACTGGTAAAAAAAAAAAAAAAAAAAATTCTCACAGAATCAAACGAAACTTACACTGAATGTTCAAGATTACAAATAAATGACATGTGCCAAACAATGTCGGAAGAAAATGTATACTGGCTGAGTAATGAGCATAGAAAGACAAGGAAATCAAGGAAGTACTAGCCCCGACACCATGTGTGTTGTCCCATATATAGCTTTCTATATGAGTGCTTGTTACTTTACCAAGACTCGGTCAAATTTATTATGATTTTGATGACTCCAGAACCTTGCAGTTCATATTCATATTCATATTCATATTCATATTCATATTCATATTCAAATTTATTGTCCAATGATTGGAAATTTGTTTCATTTGCATGTCAGTACAAGGTTACACATTATAAACATCAATAAGATACATATGGGTACAGAGTAGAACATTTAACTTGGACATAGGTAACAACAAATGCGATAGTTCAACATGCAGACTAAAATTCGATTCATAAATTAAGTAGTTAAATTCAGTTCAAGTTCGGATTAAATTCATTCGCAATTCAGATTAAATACAATTAAAATTTAAACCAATTCAATTCGTAATTCAGATCAAATCCATTTCAAATCCCGATCACATTCAGTTCGTAATTCAAATTAAAATATAATTAACAAAATCAAATCACATTCAATTTATAATTGAAACTAAGTAATAAAATTAAATTCATAATTCGGGTTAAATTAAGTTCACAATTCAAATTCAATACAATTCATGATTCAGACAAATTCAATTCATATTTCAGAAAATAATTCAATTCAAATCCCGATCGCGTACAATTCATAATTCAGATTAAATTAAATTGACAATTCAGGTTAAATAAATTCATAATTCAGATTACTACAATCTATAATTCACATCAATTCAATTCGTAGTACAGATTAATATAAAATTAACAATTCAAATCAAATTCAATATATAATTCAAACTAAGTAATTAAATTAAATACATATTTCGGGTTAAATTAAATTCACAATTCAAATGCAATACAATTTATTCTTCAGACCAATTCAGTTCATATTTCATAATATAATTCAACTCAAGTTCCGATCACCTACAATTCATAATTCAAATTAAATTAATTTACAATTCAGATTAAATGCAAGTTATAATTCAAAATAGGTGATTACATTCAGTCATAATTCAGATTAAGTTAGGTTCACAGTTCAAATTAAATTCACAATTCAGATTAAATTCAGTTTTTTATTCAGACTTAGATTAAACCCTCCTTGTTCATCAGCCTGATTGAGCTTGGCACAAATGAATTGAGAAACCTGCTCGTTCTGGACCTTAGAGATCTTAACCTGTTTCCTGACCTCAGGGCTACATAATTATTATTTAAGGGGTGACGGCTGTTATGGTAGATTGATTTCGCCTTGTCAAGTACTTTATTTCTACATATATCTTCGAAGTCTAGATTCTTCCCTACAATTTTTTCCGCTTGTTTAACAATTCTTTTTAGCATAGACAAGTCTACTTACATGCTACATGATCAACTGTTTCTGATCCTTTCCACACCTTTTCTTTCACAATGCAATCGCATTACCAGTACTAAAGTTTAGGCGTTACTACTGCAGCTAGAAGGGATTAGACCACACAGCGAGCCAACGAGGCAGGCGCGTAGCCAGGGGGGGGCGGTGGGGGCGGTCGCCCCCCCCCAAAACGCCGGCCCCCCAAAAAAAAGAGAGAGAAAGAGAAGGAAAAAAAGAAAGAGGACGTAGGAAGAAAAAGGGAAAAGGAGTCTAGAACGGTACAATGAATCGTCAAAGCTTCCGCGCTTCGCGCGGGAAGGGGGAAACTGAGTTCAAATTAAGAAATATGAGTCGGGAAAGGTACAACAAATCGTCTTCTTTCTCTAATAATTTAATGAAACGTCAAAGCTTCGCGTGAGAGAGGGGAGGGACTGAATACAGATAAGGATTAAGAGTCGAGAGAGGTACAACGAATCGTCTTCTTTCTCTAATAATTTAATGAAACGTCAAAGCTTCGCGCGAGAGAGGGGAGGGACTGAATTCAGACAAGGATTATGAGTCGAGAAAGGTACAACGAATCGTCTTCTTTCAAAGCTTCCGCGCTTCGCGCGGGAGGGGGGAAACTCCCCCCTCCCTGCACCCACCCCCCTAGGGAGCGCGCTTCGCGCGCTCTTTAAGTGATTCGCACGCTTCGCGTGCTCATTACCGCCCCCCTAAAATGAAATCCTGGCTACGCGCTTGCAACGAGGTCACTGTGACAGGTGGCTATCTCATTAACTCAGCTCTCATTAAACATAAGAAAAAGAGGATCATGGGGGACCAACAGGCACCGATTTGGGAAGTTTTCTATACAGTGCGTCCCAAAAAAAACTATACACTTTTGAAATGGCTGCCGAATAAAAAAATATATGATTCTGGGGGAAAAGTTTTATATGTATGGAAAGCTCATAAACTCAACTTTCATATGACACCAAAAAGTCTGAAAATAATTCATGCTTGGGTGAGCATTGCTCACTTTTGTACAGGGTATGAAAATTAGGTTGCGCAGGAATTAGCCTTCCAATTTGTGGAGGTAAATCCTTTGGTGCTTACAAAATCGAGGGGGATATGATACACTCATGATTTGCTGAGTGAATTACATGGTTTATAAAACCAAACTTTTATGCATGAATGAACAGGAATTTCATTTTTTATTGTAGCATTGTAACTTTCCCTGGTAGACTCAGTGGTGTGTTCATGGGAGTCAGGATAGGGTGATGGTACATGTTGTAATTTCCATCTTACAAACTGTTATTTTTTTACATCTGTGACTTTGAATAAAAACCTTCACCCCAAATTTCAATTATTGTAAGATTAGTTGAACATCTCATTGATTTACTTAATAACCAGATGGGGATTATGTAAATTGATTATTCAAATACGGTTTGTTGAAAAGAGGAATATCACAGATGTTGGCTATTTATTCTTCCGGTTACCCATTTACCATTTACAGAAACTCAAGTGCTAAAATGACTGGTTGGTTGGTTGATAGATTGAGTGATTGACTGAGTTATTGATTAATTATGATTGAATGATTAAATTATTGAAATACTGAATGGTGATTGAATGCTTGATTGATTAATTGATTGACTGATTGGCTGATACAGCACATTTTCGATTAAGTGATTGATAGCTGAATGTAATGGAATGTCCAGATATGCACAAGCACACCCAGGCAGAGAGAGAGAGAGAGAGCGAGAAAGAGAGAGAGAGAGAAAGAGAGGGGGAGGGGCATACATGTCCTCTTGACCCTTATCCCATCTACCAAACAAAGTCCTACCCTACATTTCACCTCCCCCTGCACCATGTACCATCACCCCGTCCTGACTCCCATGAACACTCCACTGAGCCTACCATGGAAAGTTACATTGCTATACGGTAATAACAAATGCAATTCCTGTTCACTCATGCATAAAATGTTAATCCCATAAACCACAAATTTCAACCAGCAAACCCAAACTCATCACAATTGATCATAAATTGGTCATATCATCCTCAATTCCGTAAGCTCTAAAGGATTTACCTCTCACAATTTGGAAGGCTAATTCCTGCGCAACCTAATTTTCATACCCTTTACAAAAGTGAGCAGTGCTCACCCAAGCGTGATTTATTTTCGGACTTTTTGGTGTCATACGAAAGCTGAGCTTATGAGCTTTCCATACATATAAAGCTTTTCCCCTATAATCATATATTTTTCTATTCGGCAGCCATTTCAAAAGTGTATAGTTTTTTTCGGGACGCACTGTATAGAGGGAGCAAGTAGCTACAAGTAGGACAGTGTGCCTTTAAAAGGACTTGGTTACATTGTTCAAATGAGAGATAGTGGTGCTAAGGTAGTGACTCCAATGCTAGATGTACAATTAAAGATAATCTGAAAATTTGAGTGAAAACGGACTATTATTCATGGTACAAATTTGGAAAAACTGATCTGATCGATAACTACATTAGAACAATTTAATTACATTTTAGGTGAATGGAAATATCATAAAGCAATAAAATGGTTCTACATTCCATTCCAGACATTTAAGTGTTGATAGATTTTGTATAGCCTGTTTTATGTCTTTTTTTTCATGGAAAAACGGTTGGGAAAATTCCAAAATGTTTGGGAGAATTTACTGTTAATCACTGTTAGAGGGTGTCATACATCGACGCCTTCAAAGAACACCATATATATCTTCGTGGTTTGAGAATTTTTTCAGGATTTTTTGCATGTCAGAGGGTTAGTACAGTGGAAGGAATATAGTAAGTAATATATTTTACAAAAAAAAAGCAAATTTTTTCATCAACCTTCAACAATAGTTACCAAGTCACTTTAATATAGTTTTATTTATACAAAAATTCAAAAATTCAATGACAGAGTCGCCCAGAGCAAATACATGTTCATTAATTATGTGACGAAAAATAAACAAAAAATACATGTGCATAGCTTAAAAATAAATTCATGTATTTATTTCTTTTTTTCAACTATAAGAAAGCATAAGATGATGACAACGTACATGTATTCTGTACACTGCGTTCACCTACAATTAATTTTTACAAAATACAGTACATGCACATTATAAGGCCCGACAATGGGGTCTGGTACACCTGTACACCCCACCCTCCATCCAAACATTTTATAAACAGCAACAGGGTATCAGTTCAAAAGACCAAGATTACCAAAAAAATATAAAGATACATCATTTCTATACTGCAATTCATGACATTTTTGTCCAGCATCTGCCCAATAGACAGGGGGTTATAAACGACAGGTGGGAGGGTGGGAGGGGGGAGCCGGGGGCAGGGTTGTCTTAACATTTTCAATTTGCTCAAAGCTTTCTTATATATCATTCAAGCAAATTGAAGAAAAAAAATTATTAGCTTTTCCCTAGCAAATTCTAAAAGTAACTACATGTATTCATCCAAAATAAAATTTCTTCTCAAGATACTACATAAACAAACAAAAACAAGCAAATAACAGGTTATTAGAAATCCCCATAATACTAGAATCAGCACAAAAATGTGTCAAGGACTTTTACTTTTCTTAATTTGTTACATTACGAACTAGATAATTAGAATGTTCATATTTTAATAGATTTCCTCTTTCATGGTTATACATGCATAACTATATTCGATACGTACAGTTTTTAAAGACGATGACAACTAGACAAAATTCTTCAGCACCATCTTTTTATTACTGTTACAAAATTTTCCATACCGTTATCAATTTCTTATGCCAATTTATTCATAGTCAGAATCGAATTTTTGAAACACCTCTAGCTCTCTCTCTGTCTCTTTGATTGAATTTAAAAACAATTTATACTTGGAATGTACAAAATTGATTTTAAAAATTCCAAGAAATTTCCCTTCAAGGCTTGTTCAGACATCGGCATAACCCCAGTGGTTCTTTATGACAAAGTAACGTGTTATACACTACACATTTCTTTATCTTATAACACAGAGCCTAGTGAATACGCGGAAGTCCTTAGTTCAGCGCAGTGTCAATATGCTAATGTAATAAGTCAAAAAGTATTTTGAAAATCCCTTCCATTTTTTATATTAGTGATAGCTAGGTATGTTAATTAATCATCATGTTTCATAACAGATCTTAACTAGGACAAGCTGACTGTTCACCAATAATTCAGACTTTCAGAGATACCTCTGCAAAGCACCATTGAAAAGTGTTCACTTGGCGTGATTTCAATATGTTCTAACATTAAAATACTGTACCTGTTGCTGACATAAAAGTAAACATGATTCCATAAACTACCCTATAAAGCAGTAAAGCACCAACAGAAGTCATTTTCAAACAACATAAATTCTTCTGCCCCAGTGATATCACTTCATGCCATTTGTATGTATCGGTGTAATTTAAGAAATGGACAATTTTCAGCGAATTCCGCGGATTTTAATAAATAAACAAGCACGTTCTTTTTTTGTTATGGGTTTGGAAATAAAAATATGCCTTTTTGAAAGTGCAAGATATTTATAAAAAAGAGTCACCTTTGCACTTTGTTTGCCAACATGAATGAATATCAGGTACAATGTTTTAGGGTTCTTGGTGTGAATGTGTACAATAAGTCATGTACTTGAAATGCCTTAATAGGAATATATTAAAACCTTGTTTTGTAATGGTTTTTGCGCGAACGGGGGTAACGTTTTGTGGAAAATGTTTTTGAGAGTTTGCAAAATAGGGGGTCATTATCAACTACGCTAACCATCATGTGCGACACCTATGAATATGAAGTGATACCAATGGGGCTTTCCCACCCTGACAGACTCGATCGTAGACGAGATTTAAGAAGAGGATTCTGATGAAAGCGGCGAATAAACGCTTTCTGTGTTGGTGCGGGCCGTGGTAGGAATGATGTCTGGATCAGATGAAATTAACGAAATGTGCTCCTCTGGATCATTACCAGTACCATTCGCTTTCGCTGCTGAATTCATCATGTTGGGGAGGTGGCTGGGGTACTGGCTCTGGAGTTTGTCAGATATGATCACAGAATAAGAGCATCAAATTTAACATATACACGCACTCATTTCTACTAAGGGAATAATTCTTGATGCAATGAAATTTCAATTGTTCTGATTGGGTTAAACTCATTCTTTCCTAAAATTGTCCATATTATATACAGACAAGAAGAAACAAGTCTTGGCTGTCTCGGTATAGTCACTCAGTTAAAGATCCCACATTTTTAGGCTAACTATTTGCCAATGGGAAGTATTTAAGTGACCATTCCACCGTGCCCTCTGATCTGGAACATATATAGCCGGTCCTGTGTGCGGGTTATGTTTTTCTGCTACGACAATTATTGGATTTAAATCTGTCAAAATCTTGTCTCATTAGATAATCTAACCAAGATATCACCCGTTAAAGGTACTATGTCCCTTTTGCAGCCAACATCAAATTCTGTAGAACTTTGCAGGAATTATGAATATGTCATGTATGTCCTATCTGTGAAATTTAAACGTTAGGAGTGTCCTAATATTCAATTTATGCAAGGAAACCCGTTTACTTGCTAGACTTCACTTCAGACACTATTGAGTGACTGACTGGCTTTTTTTCATCTTTGGTAATAACATAAATAAAATGAGCTGTAAAGGGTACATGAGCATTTGTCTACATCAATAACCCACTTCTTGTAATGGCTAAATTTAAACTGATTGAATCTTTGCGCAGCATAAAACGTACGACCATTCAGTACAATGGTCTGAAAAATCAGACTATTACTTACTGGATCTATAGCTCCTAAGTCGATTTGACAACTAATAGTCGTTATTTTCCAACTTAAAGACATTTTCAAGCCCCAATTTTTTTAGGGAAGTTCTAAATTAGTATTGTCTTTCAAATGCCGTTGGAATTTAACCTTCTCATTTGTTTGGCCTGCAAATGGAACATAGTACCTTTAACTTGAACAAATAGTGAAAGACCGTAACAGATCCGTGATTATAGGTATGTTGTGGAATGTATAATTGTATTCTTTTTTTATGTCATTAAATTAACATTTCTTTTGGTTAAATTTCTACGTTGTTTTAGATCTAGCAAAAATCTGACTTGGACGACGAGCGTACAAATCGTAGGCGTAGAAGCCTTACGCCCAGGTATTGGCCAGCTCCCTATTATTATATTAATAAGACGTAAGACTAAGAGATAAGATAGATGTTGGGGACAATGAATTTATCTAAAATAATCATTCATTAGTCTTAGAATCAATAATGGTCAGGGTCGGGCAGCTTTTAAATCATAAATTGAGTCTTGACACATTTTTCCTAGTCAAACTCAAAATAATAATTTCTATTTGGTGCGGTAACTGTGATGCTGATTCTTAATTCAAAAATAATACTGCCTAGTCATATTGCATTTGGTCTCGATCACCTGAGCTGTTAGCTAGCTACCACAGCTTAAATTTGGCATGGTTTTTAATGAGTGTGAGGGTCTTAGTAATGGAAGATAACTCAGGATAAAAGAGAGACGGCAGACTGGTTTTTTATGGTAGACATGTTATTTATTGAACTACGACGGATACCGGATATTCGTATATAGCATATCGTAACATTCATCCCAACAGAAAACTTGCAAGAGGGCATGAAATCATCCCAAACTAGATGCACCTCCGACTGGCCGCAGTCGAAAATGATGCCTCCGCCATGGAGCAATTTTACAAACCAAAACAGAAGCAAGTTTAAAATTCAAGTTTGATTGTAATGGCTTATACCGAAAGGGTGGGTAGCGTCGCGTCACGTTAGACTTGAACGCGACCATTCGTCCAAAGCCCTCCCCCCCGGTTTGGCCGAAAGGGTGCGTTGACTAGCCTTCCACATCAGTCATTTATAATATAATTTAAGGAATATAAATTTAAGTTGTTTGATTAAAATAATCAAAATAGAAACAGATTACAAATTAAATATAACTATTTTTTACGTAGTCTTGCAGATCAGGCGTTTATAAGAATTGACAATTTGCCAAAGGACAAAATGTGATCAATCTAGCACTAAAAATAAATCCTGTCCCGAAGGAAAGAAGGGTTATAAGACACAATAGTACTATGTTATGCGTCTGTTACAGAATCAGTTTTTATCATACTAGTGTTTAATTAAGGACTAGCAAGATAGGAATTGAACAACTGATCAAATACATGCAATGTTTTTACAATGAACCAGCAACCATAAGGAGACCATAATAAAAAAAAAAATGCTGTAACCTGGCTTACCACATATCGGTACATCAACTGACCATACTCCCCTCTTTAAACAAGCTGTCTGCACTGCCGGCTGAGCTGTATAGCCTTGATTACAACTAACAGAAATGGATACACGCTCACCGATGGGCAAACCCTCGTCAACGACATTCCCTGCAAAACCTGTGATTGAGTAACGCTCTCCTCTGGATCTACGATCTGGGAGCATGCATCGAAGATGGGCTGTTGGAAAAATATTGATTAAAGATGGCGTTACAAACAAGAGAAAGCTCATCGAATTGTGGATTCTCCTGCCAAAAAACTGTCTGATCCTTGCTCAATCTAAGGACTTGTTTGTGTTCTTTCAATCAATCACATAAAGTAGCCACGGCATTGCAAGGTTGCCTTTCAAAGCCCAAACACCCTAAAAAGCAGGCTATTTCATCCTACGATAATGGAAGAAAGGACAGGTATTGTCTACAAAATATTCCTTGGCTCCATCGCCAAAAGTGCGACATAGCATTTTTGCAAGAGACCTTTTTGTCAAGAAACATAGAAAATATAGTATCTAAAGAATGGAAAGGACTTTGCTTGTTTGATCATGGTACAAACCATTCCAAAGGTGTAGCAATTTTAGTCAAGGAAGGTCTCCCTATTACGGTCATCGACAAACATTTCAAAGGTGATGGTAGGGCTATTGCACTGAGATTTTCGTATCAAGATCGAATGTATTTATGTATAAATGTGTATGCTCCAGCAAAAAACACACTGAAAGAACATTTCTATTCATCTTTATGTATATGGGTGAAAAAGATTAGAAAACTAAACGACGTTATGATCGCAGGTGGAGACTGGAACTGTGTACAAAACAAAAAACTAGACACTAGTGGAGTCTCATATGCATATTTACCAAAACAGAATTTTGTTAAATTTCGGAAAAATAATAACTTAGTAGATGTGTGGAGAAAAATGTTTCCAGAGAGGAAACAGTTTACGTGGAGGCAGCTGTCACTGAACATTTACTCAAGACTAGATTATTGGCTCATGTCGAAAGAGCATTTTTCATATATTTACTCAATCGACATAAAACCAGTGTTGCAATGCGATCATAACGGGGTATCCATGAAACTTAAAATATTAGCACAAAGTAGGGGAAAGGGTTGTTGGAAACTGAATAATTCTATCCTGAAGGATGAAGTGTTTAAAGAAAATGTTAAACGTGTTATTCGTAAGGTTAATATTGAATTTAGTCAATTTGATAAACAGCTAAGGTGGGAAATGTATAAAATTAAAATTAAAGAATTTAGTACAAAATATACAGTTGATGTTAATACAAGAAAAAAAGAAATATATTGCTAATATGGAAAGTGAATATGATAACTTGTGTAAGAAAATAGATGAGGGTTCATGTGCATATGATATAGATAGAATGAAGTGTTTGAGACAAAAGATAGACAAGTGGTATGAATATCAGTGCAAAGGTGCATTTGTGAGATCTCGGGCAAGGTGGCTTGAATTTGGTGAAAAGTCAACAAGATATTTTCTTCAGCTTGAAAAAGCTAAAGGGAAAAAGAAAGAAATAGATTGTCTTGAAAGTAACGGAAAAATTATCAAAGATGAACAGAAAATTTTGACAGGTATACGAGAATTTTATTGTAAACTCTATAAGGGAAATAATACCGAGGCTGGGTTTAAAGAATACGTATCTGATATCAACCTAAATGTTTTGAATGAAGAAGATGCAAATTTATGTGAGGGAAAAATCACAGAGGATGAATGCTGGGAAGCATTGAAGTCAATGAAGATGAACAAATCACCTGGAAGCGATGGACTCAGTGTTGAATTTTATAGATGCTTTTGGGGGGATATCAAACATATGGTAATTGACAGTCTTAATGAGGGTTAAGACAAACAACAATTGTCGTGCACACAAAGTCAAGCTATCCTTACTCTATTATATAAGAAAGGTAACAAAAATGTTTTAGATAATTGGCGACCTATTTCGCTGTTAAACATTGATTATAAACTTGCAGCTCGCATTCTTTCAATACGATTACAGAAAGTTATATATAAACTTGTATCACAGGATCAGGCTGGTTTTTTAAAAAACCGCTCTGCATCTGAATGTACCAGACTAATTCAGGATACTATTGATTATTGTCTTTTTGCAAACAAACCAGTTGTTATGATGTTCTTGGATTTCAAAAAAGCGTTTGATACCATTGGTCATGTTTTTTTATTGTCCTTGTTACGGGAACTTAAATTTAAAGATTCGTTTTTAAGATGGATTGAAACGTTATATAATGGTGCTCATGGTCGTGTCTTAAATTTTGGTTGGATATCCGACAAATTTGCAATAGAAAGAGGCGTTAAGCAAGGTTGTCCACTTTCTCCACTTTTATTTATAATAATTGCAGAGGTTTTAGGGAAAAGAATTAAACAAAACGCCAAAATAGAGGGAATCCAAGTCCCAGACTTCAATGAAGATCAAGCTGATTTTAAAGATATACGTATCGTTCAATACGCAGACGATACGACGATTATTACTAGATCTGTTAAATGTGTTAAAGAAATAATGAAAGAAGTAGAACTGTTTGGAGCACATGCGGGACCAAAAATTATCTGGACCAAATCAAATCTTATGAAACTTAATATAAATGACGATGAAGTTGAAGATTTATATTTCACCGAAGACCCTATAAAATGTCTTGGTATTTATGTAGGTAAAAATTATTTTGACGTTCAAAATTTAAACTGGGAAAGTAAGGTAGAGAAAATAAAGAATACCTTGGATTTATGGAAAATGAGAAAACTTACATTGTACGGAAAAGTTGTTGTGATTAAACATTTAGTTATGTCGCAGATAGTACATACTGCCACGGCAGTTCCGATCCCTCCTAAAATAATTAAACGTATAAATAAACTGGCTTACACATTTTTATGGAATTCTAAAACAGAAAAGGTGAAACGAAACATCTGTCACAATCCTGAAGTAGAAGGGGGGTTGGGAATGATCGACTTAGAGTCAAAATGCCGGTCACTCCGTCTTTCATAGATTCATAAATATTTAAGAGATGAACAAAGTGCTTGGAAAATTTTGTTTAGATATTGGATCAGGAAAATTGGGGATTTGCCACTTTGTTTGCATTTTAATTGCAAAAAGAGCGATATGTGTCGTATTTGTAGAAAAAAACAGTTGCCTAACTTTTATGTTGACATGTTTTGTTCTTGGGCTGATTTAAAATACATTGATATGTTTAAAGTAACAGATATTGAAAATGAAATGATTTGGTATAATAGCAATATTAAAGATATGAATGAGTTATTGTATTTTCCAAACTGGATGAGAAACAATATTTTTAAAGTGAAACAAGTCTTAGTAAACGGTATCTGGAAAGAAGTTGATTCTATTTGTATTAATTTTCAAGAAAATGAATTACTTTCCGCCTTCAAATTGGCAAAGTTAAAAAGTGCATTTCCGAATTTTTGGTTGCAGAAATTACGTAATAGGTTACAATATGTAAAGTGGTTGCAGTGGAATCCAGTATAATAGAAATAGTAACAGGTGACTCCATTGATGTAGCGGTCATGAAAGCCAAACACTATTATAATTTGATGTTAGAACAAAATAGACAGGATCTGCCGTGCATTTATTTTTGGAACGCTTATTTTGATTTACCTGATGAGTTTAACTGGAAAACGGTGCTCCATTATAAATTTTACTTTATAAATGACAACAGAATTAAGCAGTTTAATTTTAAATATCTTCATAGAATATTGCCCAGTAAAGACAATTTATGTAAATGGAAGATTAAAAATAATAATCTATGTGATATATGTAAGATTCCAGATACAACTAACCACCTTCTCCTGGCTTGCAAGAAGGTTTCGCTTTTTTGGAAGATTGTATCCAAATTAATTGATACTTCGTTTAATTTTAAAATCTTTTTGAACGAAGAAATTCTTTTAATAGGTTATGAAATAGAGAGAAGAGAAATGAATCTTGTCAATCTTATTTTAAACTTCGCTCAGTTTATTATCTATAGAAACTATATTAGAGAATGTTTTGGAAGTGAAAAGCACAGGATACATGCTGTATATTTGATAAAAGAGTTAAAGGTGGAAATTCGCACCTATCTCAATATAAAATGTAATCAAAAGAAATTCGATACAAACGAAGTTACAAAAGTTACAAAAATGTTTTCATTATTTTAGTTAGTGATTATGTCACATTAGTTTCATGCTCTGTACTATGTATGATATGTTACAACTGCATGAATTCTGTATTTAAACACTGTTGTAAATAGCTGTTATTTTATGATATGAACAAATAAAGTCCCTCGAAAGAGGATAAATAGAAAAAAAATCTTGTCTACAAGATAACCTGTACTGACTGTGGCAATTCCTAGGGTGTAGAAACTGTGAAAACACTAATACAGTGTTGATTGAAAAACCACAAAAGAGTCCTTATAGATTGAACCCATCTCATTCAGTATAGGAGCAGAACGCACCCTAAAGGCCCGGTCACACAGCCCTCCACGGGCGTATCGCGGCCGAATCACGGCCAAAAATTTCTGCCCGTGAAGCAGACGCTGTTGGACGCTTTGAGGTCGCGATAAAGACGCGATACAGCCGTACTTTACCCGTCGTTACACGCGGTAAGAAATTCACACGCGGTTGGCCGCGCGAAAAAGTTTTGGGCTGCCCAAAAATTTAGACCGCGGGTAATCGCGGGCGGTACACGTGGTACACGTGGTACACACGCGGTAAAGACGCGGTACAGACGCGGAACGAACGTGCTAGGACGTGCTACGGCCGCGGTTAAGACGTGGTTACACGCGGAATTGGACGCGAAAATTTAGCGGGTAATCGCGGGTGGAGCACGGTCATAGCACGTTTGTTCCGCGTCTGTACCGCGTTGTTATCACGTGCATTAGCGTGTGTACCGCGTGTAAGCGTGGTAGGCCGCGGTACCGCCGCGCTTCACCCGCGATAAGGACGCGGAACAGTCGCCGGCGTCTGTTCCGCGGGCATACCACGGGTAAACCGCGGGTAAGCCAATTTTGCACATTTTCCACCACGGGCAACCGCGGGCAAAAAAAAAATCGCGAAATTTTACCCGCGATACAGACGCGAAAGGCTGTGTGACCGGGCCTTTAATACTGGATACAACATTGAATGGGATATAACGCCCATATCATCGACTTTAAAACACATGGACGTCTGGTCAAGAAAATTCAAAGAATCCATCTAGATCAAAAGGATTAATCTATCACTGAATAGGGAATCTGGCTATTCACTGTCACCTATATCTATGCGCCCGGTGATCTTGAGGCAGCAGACGGCAAGAAACTGCGTGAAGAATGATTTGGTTTGAGAAAGTCCACAGGAGTGGATTAAAGATTGCCTACTCAGTAATTAGGTTGGTAGAAGCTGAAATCATATGATAATTTGTTTAGGGATAACAAAATTCAGTCAAAATCTATTTCAACTTTAAGCTAGTTGAAAGCCAGTCTAAGGTACATATTATGGTCAAACTGAGCAATGTCTTGAATGGATTTTCACGTAGCACTAATATCCATCATGCTGTGAAGCTCATGGTGCTTCAACATTCTTACCTAGGTCATAACTGAGCAGCCCAAGAAACTAGCACTCAAGCATGTCAGCTGCCCATTTAAACCTGGATGGGGAGTGGTAAATGTAGATTAACATCTTGCCAATGGACACTGGTGGTGGGCTTGAATTCGAACCCCATAACTTGTGATATCCATTAACCCCTAAAATGCCTCTACAACCTATCGTCTCAGTTGCGATATACAGGTAGCAGATGTTGGAGCTCGTGATTTTATTATAAGAATAAAACAACCTGACTAAATTTACTTCTTATTTAACGCAAAGTCCTCAGAATATTTTTTTTACCTGCTACTCTGCATACTGGCGTAGAACCTGTCCATTGTCCATTGTCGCACTCTCTCTCTGCGGTTCCCTCGATTTCCCAGCCTTCACTGCAGCTATACCTGACCCTGGTATCCTGCACATATACCCCTGATAGTATTTCAATGGTGCTACGAGAGGCCCTCACTGGATGTCCACATGGCACTACATCAAAACAATGTCTACACTGAATTTGAAAGTATGAGGATATTATATACAGCCCATACAAATAATGCATCCCGTCTCGGATGATTCAAGTTTATATAATCACAACAATAATCACAAGATATATATATATATATATATATATATATATATATATAAATACAGTTTAACAACTAAATTATTCATATCCCTGTAAGTTTGAGTTTTTTTTGTTTGTTGCTCAAGCATGAAAGGTGTACTGGTTGAATTATGGCCTTTGTTGAATACTTTTAGATTTTAATCTAAATTAGCTAAACTTTAATATGTCACATTCAAAGAAACATACATAGGGACAAATCAATTTTTCACAGGCTTAAAGGTAAAGACCAGTATTGGAAACGCCCCAATTTCAAAAAATGAAATGGAAGCTCTCATTACCAATCATGTGAAAGAATATCTTTTGACTAATACATGATGATAACAAATTTGCCGGGAAACCGCCTAATAATTCATATATTTGGTAAATTTGTTTCTCTCATGGTCTGTGAGAGATATAGGGTAGTCCCATATACATCTTTCTGTGTATAGTCCTTGTAACTTTACGAAGAATGGGCCAAATTTCTTATCATTTTTGATGATTCCAGAACCTTGCAGATGCTAGATGCTAGATGATCAACCTTTTCTGATCGATTCCACAACGTTTCTTTAACAATGCAATCGCATGACCATAACTGGTCTTTACCTTTAAACGAGGTCTGCTTGCTTCAATGCTTCGTGAGAAGTCCCGCAAATAGTGGCCGTTGTAGACAGGTATGCGTTGGCGGCAATTTTGAATTTGAATAATTGATTGACAGCACTCGCAAGGCCTCCGCCAGTGCGCCAACAATTTTTTTGTAAGGGCTTAGTCGGGCGAAAACGAGGCGGAGAGCCGTAATCGATAAATCTAACAAATGCAAGTGTATTTATTGGTGTTTAAAAACTAAATAAACAAAGAGTGGTACGGTTTTTAGTCAAAATATAAATACGAAATGATTAAACATAATAATTTATCACTGAAATTGTCCGGCATTTTTTTTAAATGCATATCATATCATATGATGAACGAGCCTGAACATTTTATTGACAGACAGGCTGCGCCCACTAACCAGTAATTCGCGGTGCCTGTGATGTGAGCTGTGCACGACGAACAAGCGAGTCATCAATTGCGAAGTTCATGATTGTTATGTTTTCAGCCCATAATGTAATGTGCAAGAAACAATATCCTGTCGGTAATCAAATGTTCTTATCAAAGTTTTAATAAAAGCGTAGGATTACTTTGCTGTGCCGACGATCCCCAGAGCTGACTGTGTGAGCAAAATTGCTCATACGCTACTGTTGCTGGTCGCTACACGGCTGCTGTTGTTTGCTATACAGCTAACCCTGGCGGTAATTTGTGCATTTTTAGTGGCCAGCGGAAGCAAATTGAGTGGCCGCTGGTAACGTTAGACAGGTGGTCATTGTGGACAGGTTCTTGACTACATGAAATCTCATGGGGTAATTTAAGTGGTCGTTGGAGACAGGTGGTTGTTAACACAGGTTTGACTATAATACCTTTATCTAGTGTATTTCGATTTGACATTATTATGAGTGTAATATTTTGGCTTTGCTCAGGGCGCACAATTTAGAAACAAGACCCCCACCCCTAAAAAAAGGTTAAAAAAATATTAACAAAATTAAAAATTAAAATCAATGCTTACATAGTACAATTACGTTCCCGAATTAGATGCTTGAAAATAATAAATGCAGGTGAGCACATTCACATGCAAAAAATGACCTTGACTCAATCATTAACGAAAACAATTAAACAGGCATGCTCATCAAAGGATTTTATGTACTCACCTGTCACCGTAACAGTAAATGTGCATGAGTCATGGTTCGAGGAACTGTCTGTTGCTGTGACAGTGACTGTCGTTGGACCATGAGGGAAGGTAGAACCTGGCCCTAGAGGGTCGTAGGTCAACGATGGTGCAGGGTCAGCATTGTCTGTGACATACACCAGGAATGATACAGTGAGTGTATCGGAGGTGAAGTCAGCTGGGCATGTGATCACAGGATTCTGATTATCTGATAAAATATAAATGAATGCAAAAGACAGACTTTAGTATTGAGCAGTTGCAGACTTTGCCATGGGGAGTCCGAGGAGTTTCTTTCCTGCCAGGCCGCTTAATTGTGGATATCTATCAATGTGCTGGTCAGGCCATTTTTTTCTCATCAGATTTCTTAGGGGAGGGGGCTCCCGAAAATTTGAAAATCGGGGGGGGGGGGGGGGGCCCAACCCCCCCAAAAAGGTAAAAATCGCGTGATTTTGCATGATTTTTTTCTCAAGGGGGGGGGGGGGCCGGGCCCCCCGGGCCCCCCCCCCTTGATCCGCCACTGCCAGGCGGGCCTTGGTATTGAGGTCTACTAAGCACCTGTTAAACCCAAACAGTTAACAAGGCTATAACCAAACTAGATGGACCTTCGACCGCGCGCAGTCGAAAATGATGCCTCCGCCATGGAGCAATTTTACAAACCAAAACAGAAGCGAGCTATTTTTTGCATACATAATGAGCCCTGTGACGTTTGATATTTGACCCCGTTAACCCAAAATCTAATCAGTTTATTTGCTCTGCAAGATAAATACATGACCCAAGTTTGGCGGTAATCCATCAATGGGTTCTTGAGATAACGCGATTACAGTTATTTTTGCATACAAAATGAGTCCTGTGACCTTTGACCTTTGATCTCACGACCCTAAAATATACTCAGTTCATTGGCTCTGCAAGATACATATATGACCAAAGTTTGGCGGGAATCCATCAATGGGTTCGTGAGATAACGCGATCACCAGCTATTTTTGCATACATAATGAGTCCTGTGACCTTTGACCTTGGATCTCGTGACCAGCGCTCAAAATACACGGGGGCGGTGGGCGATTCGCCCCCGTGAGCTACATAATCGCCCCCATCAGGTTGCTCACGGAGGCGATTGCAAAATTAAAAACCGCTCCCGTGGAATTATAAAATAAAGATTATCTTTTCTGTTATAACTTTAACACAATATTGAGTTTCAATTTTCAAACCTTAAACCAATGAAATGGAACTTAGATTAGCGTGCAAGATTTCTCGTTTTATGAGTAGGCCTATTATTACCGATTCAGCTCGCAGTGCAGTGCCGCCGTCAGCAGTGGTTATATGCCTACTGCGCCGTTATAGTAACGGTACGTGTGCACGCTGCCGCGCCATGTCTGCTGGAGCTGAAGGCGATCGCGCAAGGGCAGAATCATGGACATGGAGAAGTTTTTCGTTGTAAAAGCGCTAACCTGCTGAAATCTCGTGATTTCAAATGACCAGCAAATAATGAACCTCGACCAGTAAATCAATATTAGGGACTTTTAGATTTGCACAATGAGAACGTGGACTGCAACGTGTGACCTCCTTTTAAGGCAGTGTCAGTGCTTAAAAGGACGTCACATGTGACTGCCAGTGCCTTAAAAGGACGTAACACGAACACGTCCACGTCCACGCAAATCTAAAAGTCCCTATTGAGAAGAAGAGGAAGACCAAGATGTCTTGGAATGATATGGTAACATGGGCAGATTTACGGGGGGGGGGGGTTAGGGGGTTTAACCCCCTCCTCCCACCCCCGGCCCCCTTGGGCTGCCAAGTGAAAATGTGATATTAAAGCGGGGGGGGGGGGGGATGCTGGAGAGGAGGACTGCTAATCTATTTTATTTTTTTCAGGGGGGGGGGGGAGTGAAGCGCCGTTTTAGCATGACTTTCTTTTTAACTCTTACTTTCACCTATCCCAGCTAACCCAAAGTTTTTGGTTGCTGCTTTATAATTATGTAGTTGATAATGCAAGATTAAAATAAAGAGAGAGAGAGAGAGAACCACCATCATTTTGCAATGGTTCAGGGTTCGTGTAATGTACATTTGAAACCATTTCTTAGCGTCTCAACCCTAAAAAAAAAAGCAAAACTATTTTTGAGGAAAAGCATTATACTGAATTAAATAAAGAATAATAGCTTTATATTGGATCATACTAATACTGATACGGGCTAAAGACAATGTGGTATTTGTATAGAGGTATTCCAAGATGACATTCTGATAATCAACATTTGTTCTGGTATCATATGTATATACGCATAATACAACTGATCTTTATGATTTCTTAACGTGACATAGCTTCTTCTCCCCCTGCAAACAAAAAAGAAAACAAGGTTATTTAATAAAAGGATCATGCGACAAATAATCATTGTGATTCAAATTGATGCAAGGATTTTTTTTGAACAAGCAATGCTTTTCACCAGAATCTTCTTTGTAAAAACGACTTTTACAAATCTCAGCCATGCAAATCTGCCACTGTGTTGTAAGATCACTTTCAGATTAGGAGAAAAGTATTCTTTAATGAGTATTTTACATTGAATGGAACGTCTCAACTCAGTAAGCATGGCTGAGATTTGTAAAAGTTGTTTTTACAAAGAAGATTCGGGTGAATAGCAGTGCTTATTCAAACAAATATTCGCATCAATTTGAATCACAATCATTATTTGTCGCTTAATCCCTTTTAGTGACCTTGTTTTCTTTCTCGTTTGCAAGGGGAGAAGAAGATATGTCACGTTAAAGATGATGATGATGATGATGATGATGAACAGCATTTGTATAGCGCCATTTATCTGCAAAAGCATTCAAAGGCGCCTGGCTCCCTCAATATGTCACATATTATTCGCAATGTTGCCGGAAAAGATAGGTTTTGAGTTCAGATTTAAAGGTATCAATGTTGTTACAATTTCGAAGTTGGACAGGTAGAGAGTTCCAAAGATGCGGAGCAGATGAAGAGAAGGCTCTTTCCCCGTATGTTTTTAGACGGGTACTGGGCACTTGAAGAACGAGTCCCGCACAGCGTAGTCCTGGTCGTAGCTGACGTACACTGATGAGAGCAGATACATAGCCAGGGGACAAGTTATGTAGAGCCTTAAATGCAAGCAGCAAGATCTTATACTGCACTCTGCAGTGCACTGGCAGCCAATGAAGCTCATGGAGTGTAGGCGAGATGTGGTCAAACTTCCTGATTCCCATCAGAAGGCGAGCAGCAGCATTCTGGACCGCCTGGAGACGTTTGATGGCTGATGATGGTAAGCCGACAAGGAGAGAGTTGCAGAAATCCAGCCTTGAGGTTATTAGAGCATGAATGAGGTTTTCCGCGGCACTTCTGGTGAGACAGTGTCTGATCTCTGCAATCCTGCGGAGATGGTAGAATGCAGACTGACAGACACGCGAAATGTGATCCTTCATGCTCATAGTTCTGTCGAAGACTACTCCAAGATTTCTAGCCTTGTTGTTGGGAGATACAGCTTCCTCACCGACTAGAATAGGAGTACCAGTGATCTTATTTCCCATGTGTGGTGAAGACAAAAGGAGATACTCGGTTTTCTTTTCATTGAGCTTCAAGAAGTTGCGTCTCATCCAACATCGAATCTCTTCGATGGCAGCACTGATGGCTGCAGCTGCACGTTCCTCAGCGCCTCCAACTTTTGGATCAAAAGTTAGGTAGAGCTGGGTGTCGTCTGCATAGAAATGTGCGCTAAGACCATGTCGCTGTATGATAGAGCCAAGAGGGGTGATGTAGAGTGTGAAGAGCAAGGGACCGAGGACAGAGCCTTGCGGAACTCCGTAGCTAAGGGTGGTCTCAGGTGATAGATTGCCATTGATGACCACAGCTTGTCTTCTGTCGTTGAGGTAAGACTCAAACCATTGGAGTGCAGTTGCTTCAATTCCAAAATCTTCTCTAAGTCTCTCAAGCAGAACAGCATGATCGATGGTATCAAATGCAGCTGACAGGTCAAGCAGAACTAGGGCAGCTGCTTTTCTGCAATCAATTGATGTTAGGATGTCATCCGAGACCTTCAGTAGTGCCGTCTCCACACTGTGATTCTTTCTGTATGCAGACTGTAGGCACTCATGTAGATCATTGCCCTGCAGATAAGCTGTCAGACGACTTGCGACAATTTTCTCAGTCACTTTGGCCAGAAAAGGCAAATTTGATACTGGGCGATAGTTAGCCAGATCGTTGTGATCAAGTGAAGATTTCTTCAATACTGGGGTAACATATGCCAGTTTCAGACAGTCTGGGAAGACTCCATCACGCAGTGACGCATTAATCAGACACGAAATATGCAGAGCTAGGAGGTCACCGTGTTGTTTAACAAGAACTGTAGGCACCGGGTCAAGCGAACATGTCTTTGCAGATGTCTTGTGAATTATCCGCTTGACTTCCTCTGGACATGTAGGATGTATCAATGTCAGATGGGCATCACAATCACGTGAAGGCTGTCCGTTTGGGAGGACCTGAGTTGCTGGCATACACTCCCGGATTTTCTCAATCTTTCCGACAAAGAAGCGAGAGAAATCAACAGCAAGGTCATCATCAGTTAAATGCTGAGGCATTTTCTTTGACGCTGAGGTTTTCTGATGAAGAAGTTGGCTGATTATACCGTACAAGGCCTTCTGATCACTGCCACACTCCATGATGAGGTCGTTCCAAAACTCTGACTTCGCCACTTTAAACAACTCTTTGGTGAGGTTTCTTTGATCCTTGAAAAGTTGTTTATCAACAGAGAGCCCCGTCCTTCTCCATTTACGCTCAAGTTGACGTCGCTTTCGCTTAGCGTCTGCTATTTCCTGGTTATACCATGGAATGGCTGGATGATCAATGATGACACAGGATCGCTGTGGAGCATGTCTGTCAAGGAGTTCTCCCATAACCACGTTGTACTTATGTAGTAATGTTTCAGCTGTTAGTGATGCATCAGATGATGATAGCTCGGACTTCTCTATGTCTGAGCTGAACGTGGTGGAATCAATTGCCTTTATCTTGCGAAACTGGATTACCCTCTTGACTGCCTTTGGCTTCCTCAAATGCAGCTTACAGTGAATAGCTGAGTGGTCGGACAAAGATTCGCCTATCTCTACAGTCTCCAAGCATTCTTCGCCAACCCGTCCAATAACTAGATCCAATGTATGGCCAGATTCATGGGTAGGCCCAACCACATGCTGCTGAAGGTTATGATCATGCAGTAAAGACATAAGCCGGCTTGTCTCATTAGAATTCTCATTCTCCCAGTGGACATTAAAGTCTCCAAGTATGAGTAATTTACCAGTGAAGAGAACATACTTATCCAGAAGGGAAGAAAACTCTTGGATGAAGTCACTGAAGCTTGACCTATTTTTCGACGAAGGCGGAGGGCGATAAACAATCGCTAATTTTAAAGTAGCATTGTCATAACTCAGGTCGCATTCCGTTATCTCAAAGGATCTGGGTTTGTCATGACCAAAACCCTGGGCCTTCACATGGAGGCTGGACTTATGAAGTAGAGCAACCCCGCCACCCCTGCGATGTTCTCTGGGAACACTGATGAGACTGAAACCCGCAGGTGTGATATTTCCGGCAGCTACACTGTCATTTTCCTTAAGCCAAGTCTCTGTCAATGCTAGCAAATCTAAATCATGATCTTTCAGATGGTCAATGATAAGGTCAGATTTATTACGTGAAGACTGGCAGTTTATCAATCCTACCTTTAGTTGCCCATTAGTACGTCCTTCTTGCTGTTGATTGATATTCTGATGATTCCTCTTACCACCTCGGATTCCTCTGTGACCAGACCTGGGTCTCCTGATGTCTAAGTCGACCAGTCTGTTGTAGTCAGAGGCAGGGAGTCTCCTCTGATCATATGTCATGTGTATCCTTATGCAATAGAGCTCAGTGCATGTATACTGCAGCATAGTCAATTGTATGATGAGAGGTATTGAAAGTCAAGTCAAAAGCCAAGGGCATTCCAACTAGATGGCACAGTAGGAATGACAAAAGAGCACAACAAAGCTCCATTCATCCACTTGTGCATCACTGAACATGAATGGTGACAGGCAGGGAAAGTGAACTCTCAAATTTCCAACTTCAATTTAAACATATGGGACACACAGTGTAAAATCCAGACATCCAGCTGAAAAAAGGATGGACAATCTCGGACAAATGTGATGAAGAAGAACCGCCAACATAGCATCAAAAAGTATCCTTAAGGTATCCAGTAGAAGGTGTTAACCAGCAGACACCAATATTTCCAGCAAAAATGCGAAAAAACATGAAATCTTGGAGGAGCCAAAACTGGGTCGCCTTGCAGGGCGCACACACAATTAATTAAAGATCAGTGTTGTATGCGTATATATTATATACACAGGCCAGTAACAGCTGTGTAGCTTGTAAATTTGTAAGAGGGAAAATGCTAATTGAAATGATAATGATGAAATAGAAAATAATTGAGAAGTATCATAGGTACCAATTCAATGGATATTTGTATAAAAAAGAGCCCCCGTCAGTACTAAAAGAGCCCCCGTTAGAAGGCTCACGGGGGCTCTTTTTTGGGGTGGAAGAGCCCCCGTGGACAAAAAATTAATTTGAGCCCTACTCGTGACCCTAAAATCTAATCGATTCATTGTCTCTGTAAGATACATATATGACCCAAGTTTGGCGGAAATCCATCTATTGGTTCTTGAGATAACGCGATCACGAGAATGGGACGTACGGACGGACGGACGACCCGAAAACATTCTGGCCCGAATTCACAAAGGAGGTTTGTCGATTAACCTCCTTTTGTTTCGACAAACCTCCTTTTGTTATTTACAAACTTTGTAAAAAACGCGTCAAAACGCGTCATATGACGTACATAAACCTCGGTTTGTCGACAAACCTCCTTTGTGAATTCGGGCCAACGCCTCCTGCTACTTTGTAGCGGAGGCTACAACATCGCCATGTCATATCTTGTAGAAAAGTCGTGTATGTTCTCTATTATATGTTGAACCAGAACAAGTACCATCACTTTTTGACATTCCTGGAGAAAATAAAATGGCCGGAACGTGCACCGCTCTTTAATACGTGGATAAAGTCACGTTATATACCACATTTCCATTCTCTTAAAGACATATACTCTTGTCTGTTTCCATGTGCATCTCATAGTTTGCATACAAGTTCATCAGTTCACTAACCAGGGAACTCACATACCCTGCACTAACCCTTTAAAATTAAAGTCGCTAGAAGGTGCGCACATTACGTAAGGCCTGTACGTCGGAAAAGTGAAGCTCATTGTCGGTGATTGATTACACCCGATATCGTGTACATAGGATGTAAAGTTCCTCAAGGAAACCCACAAACATGTGTCTTTAGAGCTAATCTTGAGCTCTGATATGGGCATCGTACATCGAGAGAATTACACGGCTATAATTCATTCTGCATTGTTTATCATGCAGTAGATTGATTGTTTGAACAAGTAAAAAAAATTTTTAAAAAACCTCACAAAAACTTGCTGGAAATCATCTTCGATAAAAACCACAACTCAAATTTCACATAGTTATCTGTGTTAAGCACATGGTGTCGAGCCTACTTACCTTGAATTCCTTATAATTATGTCTATGGTCATTATTCAGCCCCCCAAACATTTTCTACCGAAAAAGTTGGGCGCATATGTCATTTCTTTGTAATCTTGAACATTCAGTGTAAGTTTTGTAGGGATTCTGTGAGAATTCCTTTTCTATCTTTACCAGAACTCATGACCCTGGTATCCTGCACATATACCCCTGATAGTATTTCACTAGTGCTACGAGAGGCCCCCACTGGATGTCCACATGGCACTACATCAAAACAATGTCAACACTGAATTTGAAAGTATGAGGAAATTATATACAACCCCCCCCCCCCCCCCACTCCGAGAACGGACGGACCCCATGCGTGTTACCAAAATGTCCGGTAAAGGGGTACTTTTCGTGCGACAAAGTCCGGCCCGAGAATTGTAAAAAAAATGGGTGTATTATTTTTTCACCCGGATATTTCTTTAGAAAGGGGGTGTTTTTTCTTTTTTTCTCTCATCTCTTTTGACTCCTGAGAAATTATTCCGAATTTAGGGGGTACATTGAGCATTTTTCATGATTTAGGGGGTCTTCAAGGCAGGAAAAGCCCGCGAAAAGCCCGCAAAAGGCGGGTTCGGAAATGTTGGAAGTCCTCAGATAGGGGGTGCTTTCAGAAAGAGGGAACGAGCATATGCGTACCGTAAATTACACTGAGTGGGGGGGGGGGGGGGGGGGGGGGGGCGGGTTCATATCCCTGTAACTTTGAGGGTTTTTTTTTTGTTTTTTTGTTTTTTGTTACTCAAGCATGAAAGGTATACTGATTGAATTATGGCCTTTGTTGAATACTTTTAGATTTTAATCTAAATTAGCTGAACTTTAATATGTCACATTCAAAGAAACATACATTAGGACAAATCAATTTTTCACAGGCTTAAACAAATTACAAAATTTGGTAAGGGTATGAATTCTGCAACTAAATCCATGAATTTTGAACAAAGGAAATGAATATGAATTGATGATACTCAATAAATATGTGCCATACTTCATAGTGCACTTAGCTGTAATATCTGTAAACATAATCAAACATGAAACATGGTCTCTCACTGCAATGCTTCATGAGAATCTTTAGCGAAACCTCTACGGTCAGTGTGACCGATGTCTGCTTGCTTCAATGCTTCGTGAGAAGTCCCGCAAATAGTGGCCGTTGTAGACAGGTATGCGTTGGCGGCAATTTTGAATTTGAATAATTGATTGACAGCACTCGCAAGGCCTCCGCCAGTGCGCAAACAATTTTTTGTAAGAGCTTAGTCGGGCGAAAACGAGGCGGAGAGCCGTAATCGATAAATCTAACAAATGCAAGTGTATTTATTGGTGTTTAAAAACTAAATAAACAAAGAGTGGTACGGTTTTTAGTCAAAATATAAACACGAAATGATTAAACATAATAATTTATCACTGAAATTGTCCGGCATTTTTTTTTAATGCATATCATATCATATGATGAACGAGCCTGAACATTTTATTGACAGACAGGCTGCGCCCACTAACCAGTAATTCGCGGTGCCTGTGATGTAAGCTGTGCACGACAAACAAGCAAATCATCAATTGCGAAGTTCATGATTGTTATGTTTTCATCCCATAATGTAATGTGCAAGAAACAATATCCTGTCGGTAATTAAATGTTCTTATCGAAGTTTTAATAAAAGCTTAGGATTACTTTGCTGTGCCGACGATCCCCAGAGCTGACTGTGTGAGCAAAATTGCTCAAACGCTACTGTTGCTGGTCGCTACACGGCTGCTGTTGTTTGCTATACAGCTAACCCTGGCGGTAGTTTGTGCATTTTTGGTGGCCAGCGGAAGCAAATTGAGTGGCCGCTGGTAACGTTAGACAGGTGGTCGTTGTGGACAGGTTTTTAAGTACATGAAATCTCATGGGGGGAATTTAAGTGGTTGTTGGAGTCAGGTGGTCGTTAACACAGGTTTGACTATAATACCTTTATCTAGTGTATTTCGATTTGACATTATTATGAGTGTAATATTTTGGCTTTGCTCAGGGCGCACAATTTAGAAACAACTAAAACCTCCCAACCCCCCCAAAAAATATTTTAAAAATATTTACAAAATTAAAAATTAAAATCAATGCTTACATAGTACAATTACATTCCCGAATTAGATGCTGGAAAATAATAAATGCAGGTGAGCACATTCACATGCAAAACATGACCTTGACTCAATCATTTTCGAAAACAATTAAACAAGCATATGCTCGTCAAAGGATTTGATGCACTCACCTGTCACCTTAACAGTAAATGTGCATGAGTCATGGTTCGAGGAACTGTCTGTGGCTGTGACAGTGACTGTCGTTGGACCATGAGGGAAGGTAGAACCTGGCCCTAGAGGATCGTAGGTCAACGCTGGTGCAGGGTCAGCATTGTCTGTGACATATACCAGGAATGATACAGTGAGTGTATCGGAGGTGAAGTCAGCTGGGCATGTGATCACAGGATTCTGATTATCTGATAAAATATAAATGAATGCAAAAGACAGACTTTAGTATTGAGCAGTTGCAGACTTTGCCATGGGGAGTTCGAGGAGTTTCTTTCCTGCCAGGCCGCTTAATTGTGGATATCTATCAATGTGCTGGTCAGGACATTTTTTTCTCATCAAATTTCCCCAACCGAATTTCAGTTCCAGGCGGGCCTTGGTATTGAGGTCTACTAAGCCCCTGTTAAACCAAAACAGTTAACAAGGCTATAACCAAACTAGATGGACCTTCGACCGCGCGCAGTCGAAAATGATGCCTCCGCCATGGAGCAATTTTACAAACCAAAACAGAAGCGAGCTATTTTTGCATACATAATGAGCCCTGTGACCTTTGATATATCAGTATTGGCTCTACAAGATACATACATGACCCAAGTTTGGCGGGAATCCATCAATGGGTACTTGAGATAACGCGATTACAAGCTATTTGTGCATATATAAAGAGTCCTGTGACCCTAAAATCTAATCGATTCATTGTCTCTGCAAGATACATATATGACCCAAGTTTGGCGGAAATCCATCTACTGGTTCTTGAGATAACGCGATCACGAGAATGGGACGTACGGACGGACGGACAACCCGAAAACATTCTGGCCCGAATTCACAAAGGAGGTTTGTCGATTAACCTCCTTTTGTTTCAACAAACCTCCTTTTGTTATTTACAAACTTTGTAAAAAAAAACGCGTCAAAACGCGTCATATGACGTACATAAACCTCGGTTTGTCGACAAACCTCCTTTGTGAATTCGGGCCAACGCCTCCGGCTACTTTGTAGCGGAGGCATAAAAAAGAGTCAACATCGCCATGTCATATCTTGTAGAAAAGTCGTGTATGTTCTCTATTATATGTTGAACCAGAACAAGTACCATCACTTTTTGACATTCCTGGAGAAAATAAAATGGCCGGAACGTGCACCGCTCTTTAATACGTGGATAAAGTCACGTTATATACCACATTTCCATTCTCTTAAAGACATATACTCTTGTCTGTTTCCATGTGCATCTCATAGTTTGCATACAAGTTCATCAGTTCACTAACCAGGGAACTCACATACCCTGCACTAACCCTTTAAAATTAAAGTCGCTAGAAGGTGCGCACATTACGTACGGCCTGTACGTCGGAAAAGTGAAGCCCATTGTCGGTGATTGATTACACCCGATATCGTGTACATAGGATGTAAAGTTCCTCAAGGAAACCCACAACCATGTGTCTTTAGAGCTAATCTTGAGCTCTGATATGGGCATCGTACATCGAGAGAATTACATGGCTATAATTCATTCTGCATTGTTTATCATGCAGTAGATTGATTGTTTGAAGTAAAAAAAAAAAAAAAAAAAAAAAAAAACCCTCACAAAAACTTGCTGGAAATCATTTCGATAAAAACCACGACTCAAATTTCACATAGTTATCTGTGTTAAGCACATGGTGTCGAGCCTACTTACCTTGAATTCCTTATAATTATGTCTATGCTCATTATTCAGCCCCCAAACATTTTCTACCAAAAAAGTTGGACGCATATGTCATTTCTTTGTAATCTTGAACATTCAGTGTAAGTTTTGTTGGGATTCTGTGAGAATTCCTTTTCTATCTTTACCAGAACTCATGACCCCTCAGCGCGCCGCGCCCACCCAAACCTGCTACTCTGCATACTGGCGTAGAACCTGTCCATTGTCCATTCAGTCGCACTCTCTTTCTGCAGTCCCTTCGATTTCCCAGCCTTCACTGCAGCTATACCTGACCCTGGTATCCTGCACATATACCCCTTATAGTATTTCAATAGTGTTACGAGAGGCCCTCACTAGATGTCCACATGGCACTACATCAAAACAATGTCAACACTGAATTTGAAAGTATGAGGAAATTATATACAGCCGATACAAATAATGCATCCCGTCTCGGATGATTCAAGTTTATATAATTACAACAATAATCACAAGATATGTATATATATATATATATATATATATATATGTAAATACAGTTTAACAACTAAATTATTCATATCCCTGCCCCCCCCCCCCCCCACTCCGAGAACGGACGGACCCCATGCGTGTTACCAAAATGTCCGGTAAAGGGGTACTTTTCGTGCGACAAAGTCCGGCCCGAGAATTGTAAAAAAAAATGGGTGTATTATTTTTTCACCCGGATATTTCTTTAGAAAGGGGGTGTTTTTTCTTTTTTTCTCTCATCTCTTTTGGCTCCTGAGAAATTATTCCGAATTTAGGGGGTACACTGAGCATTTTTCAGGATTAAGGGGGGGTCTCCAAGGCAGGAAAAGCCCGCGAAAAGCCCCCAAAAGGCGGGTTCGGAAATGTTGGCAGTCCTCAGATAGGGGGTGCTTTCAGAAAGAGGGAACGAGCATATGCGTACCGTAAATTACACTGAGTGGGGGGGGGGGGGGGCCGGGTTCATATCCCTGTAACTTTGAGGTTAGTTTTTTTTTTCTTTTTTGTTACTCAAGCATGAAAGGTGTACTGATTGAATTATGGCCTTTGTTGAATACTTTTAGATTTTAATCTAAATTAGCTGAACTTTAATATGTCACATTCAAAGAAACATACATTGGGACAAATCAATTTTTCACAGGCTTAAACAAATTACAAAATTTGGTAAGAGTATGAATTCTGCAACTAAATCTATAAATTTTGAACAAAGGAAATGCATATGAATTGATGATACTCAATAAATATGTGCCATACTTCATAGTGCACTTAGTTGTAATTTCTGTAAACATAATCAAACATGAAACATGGTCTCTCACTGCAATGCTTCATGAGAATCTTTAGCGAAACCTCTACGGTCAGTGTGACCGATGTCTGCTTGCTTCAATGCTTCGTGAGAAGTCCCGCAAATAGTGGCCGTTGTAGACAGGTATGCGTTGGCGGCAATTTTGAATTTGAATAATTGATTGACAGCACTCGCAAGGCCTCCGCCAGTGCGCAAACAATTTTTTGTAAGAGCTTAGTCGGGCGAAAACGAGGCGGAGAGCCGTAATCGATAAATCTAACAAATGCAAGTGTATTTATTGGTGTTTAAAAACTAAATAAACAAAGAGTGGTACGGTTTTTAGTCAAAATATAAATACGAAATGATTAAACATAATAATTTATCACTGAAATTGTCCGGCATTTTTTTTAATGCATATCATATCATATGATGAACGAGCCTGAACATTTTATTGACAGACAGGCTGCGCCCACTAACCAGTAATTCGCGGTGCCTGTGATGTGAGCTGTGCACGACGAACAAGCAAATCATCAATTGCGAAGTTCATGATTGTTATGTTTTCATCCCATATGTAATGTGCAAGAAACAATATCCTGTCGGTAATTAAATGTTCTCATCGGAGTTTAAATAAAAGCTTAGGATTGCTTTGCTGTGCCGACGATGCCCAGAGCTGACTGTGTGAGCAAAATTGCTTAAACGCTACTGTTGCTGGTCGCTACACGGCTGCTGTTGTTTGCTATACAGCTAACCCTGGCGGTAATTTGTGCATTTTTGGTGGCCAGCGGAAGCAAATTGAGTGGCCACTGGTAACGTTAGACAGGTGGTCGTTGTGGACAGGTTCTTAACTACATGAAATCTCATGGGGGATTTAAGTGGTCGTTGGAGACAGGTGGTCGTTAACACAGGTTTGACTATAGTGTATTTCGATTTGACATTATTATGAGTGTAATATTTTGGCTTTGCTCAGGGCGCACAATTTAGAAACAATTAAGACCCCCCAACCCCCAAAAAAATATTTTAAAAATATTTACAAAATTAAAAATTAAAATCAATGCTTACATAGTACAATTACGTTCCCGAATTAGATGCTGGAAAATAATAAATGCAGATGAGCACATTCACATGCAAAACATGACCTTGACTCAATCATTTTCGAAAACAATTAAACAGGCATAATGCTCGTCAAAGGATTTGATGTACTCACCTGTCACCGTAACAGTAAATGTGCATGAGTCATGGTTCGAGGAACTGTCTGTGGCTGTGACAGTGACTGTCGTTGGACCCAGAGGGAAGGTAGAACCTGGCCCTAGAGGATCGTAGGTCAACGCTGGTGCAGGATCAACGTTGTCTGTGACATCCACCAGGAATGATACAGTGAGTGTATCGGAGTTGAAGTCAGCTGGGCATGTGATCACAGGATTCTGATTATCTGATAAAATATAAATGAATGCAAAAGACAGACGTTAGTATTGAGCAGTTGCAGACTTTGCCATGGGGAGTTCGAGGAGTTTCTTTCCTGCCAGGCCGCTTAATTGTGGATATCTATCAATGTGCTGGTCAGGACATTTTTTTCTCATCAAATTTCCCCAACCGAATTTCAGTTCCAGGCGGGCCTTGGTATTGAGGTCTACTAAGCCCATGTTAAACCAAAACAGTTAACAAGGCTATAACCAAACTAGATGGACCTTCGACCGCGCGCAGTCGAAAATGATGCCTCGATCCGCCATGGAGCAATTTTACAAACCAAAACAGAAGCGAGCTATTTTTGCATACATAATGAGCCCTGTGACCTTTGATATTTGACCCCGTTAACCCAAAATCTAATCAGTTTATTGGCTCTGCAAGATAAATACATGACCCAAGTTTGGCGGTAATCCATCAATGGGTTCTTGAGATAACGCGATCACAAGCTATTTTTGCATACATAATGAGTCCTGTGACCTTTGACCTTGGATCTCGTGACCCTAAAATATACTCAGTTCATTGGCTCTGCAAGATACATATATGACCCAAGTTTGGCGGAAATCCATCTATTGGTTCGTGAGATAACGCGATCACAAGCTATTTTTGCATACATAATGAGTCCTGTGACCTTTGACCTTGGATCTCGTGACCCTAAAATGTAATCAGATCATCGGCTTTACAAGATACATACATGACCCAAGTTTAGCGGGAATCCTTCAATGGGTTCTTGAGATAACGCGATCACAAGCTATTTGTGCATACATAATGAGTTCTGTGACCTTTGACCTTGGATCTCGTGACCCTAAAATCTAATCGATTCATTCTCTCTGCAAGATTCATATATGACCCAAGTTTTGCGGAAATCCATCTATTGGTTCTTGAGATAACGCGATCACGAGAATGGGACGTACAGACGGACGGACAACCCGAAAACATTCTGGCCCGAATTCACAAAGGAGGTTTGTCGACAAACCCCGGTTTGTCGATTAACCTTTTTTTGTTTCGACAAACCTCCTTTTGTTATTTACAAACTTTGTAAAAAACGCGTCAAAACGCGTCATATGTCGTACATAAACCTCGGTTTGTCGACAAACCTCCTTTGTGAATTCGGGCCAACGCCTCCGACTACTTTGTAGCGGAGGCATAAAAAAAGAGTCAACATCGCCATGTCATATCTTGTAGAAAAGTCGTGTATGTTCTCTATTATATGTTGAACCAGAACAAGTACCATCACTTTTTGACATTCCTGGAGAAAATAAAATGGCCGGAACGTGCACCGCTCTTTAATACGTGGATAAAGTCACGTTATATACCACATTTCCATTCTCTTAAAGACATATACTCTTGTCTGTTTCCATGTGCATCTCATAGTTTGCATACAAGTTCATCAGTTCACTAACCAGGGAACTCACATACCCTGCACTAACCCTTTAAAATTAAAGTCGCTAGAAGGTGCGCACATTACGTAAGGCCTGTCCGTCGGAAAAGTGAAGCCCATTGTCGGTGATTGATTACACCCGATATCGTGTACATAGGATGTAAAGTTCCTCAAGGAAACCCACAACCATGTGTCTTTAGAGCTAATCTTGAGCTCTGATATGGGCATCGTACATCGAGAGAATTACACGGCTATTATTCATTCTGCATTGTTTATCATGCAGTAGATTGATTGTTTGAACAAGTAAAAAAAAAAATTTAAAAACCTCACAAAAACTTGCTGGAAATCATCTTCGATAAAAACCACAACTCAAATTTCACATAGTTATCTGTGTTAAGCACATGGTGTCGAGCCTACTTACCTTGAATTCCTTATAATTATGTCTATGGTCATTATTCAGCCCCCAAACATTTTCTACCAAAAAAGTTGGACGCATATGTCATTTCTTTGTAATCTTGAACATTCAGTGTAAGTTTTGTAGGGATTCTGTGAGAATTCCTTTTCTATCTTTACCGGAACTCATGACCCCTCAGCGCGCCGCGCCCACCCAAACCTGCTACTCTGCATACTGCCGTAGAACCTGTCCATTGTCCATTGTCGCACTCTCTCTCTCTCTGCAGTCCCTTCGATTTCCCAGCCTTCACTGCAGCTATACCTGACCCTGGTATCCTGCACATATACCCCTTATAGTATTTCAATAGTGTTACGAGAGGCCCTCATTAGATGTCCACATGGCACTACATCAAAACAATGTCAACATTGAATTTGAAAGTATGAGGAAATTATATACAGCCCATACAAATAATGCATCCCGTCTCGGATGATTCAAGTTTATATAATCACAACAATAATCACAAGATATATATATATATATATATATATATATATATATAAATACAGTTTAACAACTAAATTATTCATATCCCCGGCCCTCCCCCCCCCCCCCACTCCGAGAACGGACGGACCCCATGCGTGTTACCACAATGTCCGGTAAAGGGGTACTTTTCGTGCGACAAAGTCCGGCCCGAGAATAAATTATTCTCGGGCCGGACTTTGTCGCACGAAAAGTCCTTGTTTTCACGTCCTTGTTTTCACGAAGTGACGGTAGTGAGGAAAATCGTAACGCAAAGTGAATGCAATTTTTTTTCACTACCGTCACTTCGTGAAAACAGCGTTTATTGTAAAAAAAAAATGGGTGTATTATTTTTTCTCCCAGAGATTTCTTTAGAAAGGGGGTGTTTTTTCTTTTTTTCTCTCATTTCTTTTGACTCCTGAGAAATTATTCCGAATTTAGGGGGTACATTGAGCATTTTTCATAATTTAGGGGGGTCTCCAAGGCAGGAAAAGCCCGCGAAAAGCCCGCGAAAGGCGGGTTCGGAAATGTTGGCAGTCCTCAGATAGGGGGTGCTTTCAAAAAGAGGGAACGAGCATATGCGTACCCTAAATTAGACTGAGTGGAGGGGGGCCGGGTTCATATCCCTGTAACTTTGAGGGTTTTTTTTTGTTTTGTTGTTACTCAAGCATGAAAGGTGTACTGATTGAATTATGGCCTTTGTTGAATACTTTTAGATTTTAATCTAAATTAGCTGAACTTTAATATGTCACATTCAAAGAAACATACATTGGGATAAATCAATTTTTCACAGGCTTAAACAAATTACAAAATTTGGTAAGGGTATGAATTCTGCAACTAAATCTATAAATTTTGAACAAAGTAAATGCATATGAATTGATGATACTCAATAAATATGTGTCATACTTCATAGTGCACTTAGCTGTAATATCTGTAAACATAATCAAACATGAAACATGGTCTCTCACTGCAATGCTTCATGAGAATCTTCAGCGAAACCCCTACGGTCAGTGTGACCGAGGTCTGCTTACTCCAATGCTTCGTGAGAAGTCCCGCAAATAGTGGCCGTTGTAGACAGGTTTGCGTTGGCGGCAATTTTGAATTTGAATAATTGATTGACAGCACTCGCAAGGCCTCCGCCAGTACGCAAACAAGTTTTTGTAAGGGCTTAGTCGGGCGAAAACGAGGCGGAGAGCCGTAATCGATAAATCTAACAAATGCAAGTGTATTTATTGGTGTTTAAAAACTAAATAAACAAAGAGTGGTACGGTTTTTAGTCAAAATATAAATACGAAATGATTAAACATAATAATTTATCACTGAAATTGTCCGGCATTTTTTTTAATGCATATCATATCATATGATGAACGAGCCTAAACATTTTATTGACAGACAGGTTGCGCCCACTAACCAGTAATTCGCGGTGCCTGTGATGTGAGCTGTGCACGACGAACAAGCGAGTCATCAATTGCGAAGTTCATGATTGTTATGTTTTCATCCCATAATGTAATGTGCAAGAAACAATATCCTGTCGGTAATTAAATGTTCTTATCGAAGTTTTAATAAAGGCTTAGGATTGCTTTGCTGTGCCGACGATCCCCAGAGCTGACTGTGTGAGCAAAATTGCTCAAACGCTACTGTTGCTGGTCGCTACACGGCTGCTGTTGTTTGCTATACAGCTAACCCTGGCGGTAATTTGTGCATTTTTGGTGGCCAGCGGAAGCAAATTGAGTGGCCACTAACGTTGGACAGGTGGTCGTTGTGGACAGGTTCTTAACTACATGAAATCTCATGGGGGGAATTTAAGTGGTCGTTGGAGACAGGTGGTCGTTAACACAGGTTTGACTATAGTGTATTTCGATGTGACATTATTACGAGTGTAATATTTTGGCTTTGCTCAGGGCGCACAATTTAGAAACAATTAAGACCCCCCAACCCCCAAAAAAATATTTTAAAAATGTTTACAAAATTAAAAATTAAAATCAATGCTTACATAGTACAATTACGTTCCCGAATTAGATGCTGGAAAATAATAAATGCAGATGAGCACATTCACATGCAAAACATGACCTTGACTCAATCATTTTCGAAAACAATTAAAAAGGCATATGCTCGTCAAAGGATTTGATGTACTCACCTGTCACCGTAACAGTAAATGTGCATGAGTCATGGTTCGAGGAACTGTCTGTGGCTGTGACAGTGACTGTCGTTGGACCCAGAGGGAAGGTAGAACCTGGCCCTAGAGGATCGTAGGTCAACGCTGGTGCAGGATCAACGTTGTCTGTGACATCCACCAGGAATGATACAGTGAGTGTATCGGAGTTGAAGTCAGCTGGGCATGTGATCACAGGATTCTGATTATCTGATAAAATATAAATGAATGCAAAAGACAGACTTTAGTATTGAGCAGTTGCAGACTTTGCCATGGGGAGTTCGAGGAGTTTCTTTCCTGCCAGGCCGCTTAATTGTGGATATCTATCAATGTGCTGGTCAGGACATTTTTTTCTCATCAAATTTCCCCAACCGAATTTCAGTTCCAGGCGGGCCTTGGTATTGAGGTCTACTAAGCCCATGTTAAACCAAAACAGTTAACAAGGCTATAACCAAACTAAATGGACCTTCGACCGCGCGCAGTCGAAAATGATGCCTCGATCCGCCATGGAGCAATTTTACAAACCAAAACAGAAGCGAGCTATTTTTGCATACATAATGAGCCCTGTGACCTTTGATATTTGACCCCGTTAACCCAAAATCTAATCAGTTTATTGGCTCTGCAAGATAAATACATGACCCAAGTTTGGCGGTAATCCATCAATGGGTTCTTGAGATAACGCGATCACGAGTTATTTTTGCATACAAAATGAGTCCTGTGACCTTTGACCTTGGATCTCACGACCCTAAAATATACTCAGTTCATTGGCTCTGCAAGATATATATATGACCCCAGTTTGGCGGAAATCCATCTATTGGTTCGTGAGATAACGCGATCACAAGCTATTTTTGCTTACATAATGAGTCCTGTGACCTTTGACCTAGGATCTCGTTACCCTAAAATGTAATCAGATCATCGGCTCTACAAGATACATACATGACCCAAGTTAAGCGGGAATCCATCAATGGGTTCTTGAGATAACGCGATCACAAGCTATTTTTGCATACATAATGAGTCCTGTGACCTTTGACCTAGGATCTCGTGACCCTTAAATCTATCAGATCATCGGCTCTACAAGATACATACATGACCCAAGTTTGGCGGGAATCCATCAATGGTTTCTTGAGATAACGCGATCACAAGCTATTTGTGCATACTTAATGAGTCCTGTGACCTTTGACCTTGGATCTCGTGACCCTAAAATCTAATCGATTCATTCTCTCTGCAAGATACATATATGACCCAAGTTTGGCGGAAATCCATCTATTGGTTCTTGAGATAACGCGATCACGAGAATGGGACGTACGGACGGACGGAAAACCCGAAAACATTCTGGCCCGAATTCACAAAGGAGTTTTGTCGACAAACCTCGGTTTGTCGATTAACCTCCTTTTGTTTCGACAAACCTCCTTTTGTTATTTACAAACTTTGTAAAAAACGCGTCAAAACGCGTCATATGACGTACATAAACCTCGGTTTGTCGACAAACCTCCCTTGTGAATTTGGGCCAACGCCTCCGGCTACTTTGTAGCGGAGGCATAAAAAAGAGTCAACATCGCAATGTCATATCTTGTAGAAAAGTCGTGTATGTTCTCTATTATGTTGAACCAGAACAAGTACCATCACTTTTTGACATTCCTGGAGAAAATAAAATGGCCGGAACGTGCACCGCTCTTTAATACGTGGATAAAGTCACGTTATATACCACATTTCCATTCTCTTAAAGACATATACTCTTGTCTGTTTTCATGTGCATCTCATAGTTTGCATACAAGTTCATCAGTTCACTAACCAGGGAACTCACATACCCTGCACTAACCCTTTAAAATTAAAGTCGCTAGAAGGTGCGCACATTACGTAAGGCCTGTCCGTCGGAAAAGTGAAGCCCATTGTCGGTGATTGATTACACCCGATATCGTGTACATAGGATGTAAAGTTCCTCAAGAAAACCCACAACCATGTGTCTTTAGAGCTAATCTTGAGCTCTGATATGGGCATCGTACATCGAGAGAATTACATGGCTATAATTCATTCTGCATTGTTTATCATGCAGTAGATTGATTTTTTGAACAAGTAAAAAAAAAAATTAAAAAAAACCCTCACAAAAACTTGCTGGAAATCATCTTCGATAAAAACCACGACTCAAATTTCACATAGTTATCTGTGTTAAGCACACGGTGTCGAGCCTACTTACCTTGAATTCCTTATAATTATGTCTATGCTCATTATTCAGCCCCCAAACATTTTCTACCAAAAAAGTTGGACGCATATGTCATTTCTTTGTAATCTTGAACATTCAGTGTAAGTTTTGTAGGGATTCTGTGAGAATTCCTTTTCTATCTTTACCGGAACTCATGACCCCTCAGCGCGTCGCACCCACCCAAACCTGCTACTCTGCATACTGGCGTAGAACCTGTCCATTGTCCATTGTCGCACTCTCTCTCTCTGCAGTCCCTTCGATTTCCCAGCCTTCACTGCAGCTATACCTGACCCTGGTATCCTGCACATATACCCCTAATAGTATTTCAATAGTGCTACGAGAGGCCCTCACTAGATGTCCACATGGCACTACATCAAAACAATGTCAACACTGAATTTGAAAGTATGAGGAAATTATATACAGCCCATACAAATAATGCATTCCGTCTCAGATGATTCAAGTTTATATAATCACAACAATAATCACAAGATATATATATATATATATATATATATATATATATATATATATAAATACAGTTTAACAACTAAATTATTCATATCCCCGGCCCTCCCCCCCCCCCCACTCCGAGAACGGACGGACCCCATGCGTGTTACCACAATGTCCGGTAAAGGGGTACATTTCGTGCGACAAAGTCCGGCCCGAGAATTGTAAAAAAAATGGGTGTATTATTTTTTCACCCGGAGATTTCTTTAGAAAGGGGGTGTTTTTTTTTCTCTCGTCCCTTTTGGTTCCTGAGAAATTATTCCGAATTTATGGGGTACATTGAGCATTTTTCAGGATTAACTTGGGGTCTCCAAGGCAGGAAAAGCCCGCGAAAAGCCCGCGAAAGGCGGGCTAGGAAATGTTGGCAGTCCGCAGATAGGGGGTGCTTTCAAAAAGAGGGAACGAGCATATGCGTACCCTAAATTACACTGAGTGGGGGGGGGGGGCCAGGTTCATATCCCTGTAATTTTGAGGTGTTTTTTTTTGTTTTTTGTTTTGTTACTCAAGCATGAAAGGTGTACTGATTGAATTGTAGCCTTTGTTGAATACTTTTAGATTTTAATCTAAATTAGCTGAACTTTAATATGTCACATTCAAAGAAACATACATTGGGACAAATCAATTTTTCACAGGCTTAAACAAATTACAAAATTTGGTAAGGGTATGAATTCTGCAACTTAATCTATGAATTTTGAACAAAGGAAATGCATATGAATTGATGATACTCAATAGATATGTGCCATACTTCATAATGCACTTAGCTGTAATTTCTGTAAACATAATCAAACATGAAACATGGTCTCTCACTGCAATGCTGCATGAGAATCTTTAGCGAAACCTCTACGGTCAGTGTGACCGATGTCTGCTTGCTTCAATGCTTCGTGAGAAGTCCCGCAAATAGTGGCCGTTGTAGACAGGTATGCGTTGGCGGCAATTTTGAATTTGAATAATTGATTGACAGCACTCGCAAGGCCTCCGCCAGTGCGCAAACAGTTTTTTGTAAGGGCTTAGTCGGGCGAAAACGAGGCGGAGAGCCGTAATCGACAAATCTAACAAATGCAAGTGTATTTATAGGTGTTTAAAAACTAAATAAACAAAGAGTGGTACGGTTTTTAGTCAAAATATAAATACGAAATGATTAAACATAATAATTTATCACTGAAATTGTCCGGCATTTTTTTTTAATGCATATCATATCATATGATGAACGAGCCTGAACATTTTATTGACAGACAGGCTGCGCCCACTAACCAGTAATTCGCGGTGCCTGTGATGTGAGCTGTGCACGACAAACAAGCGAGTCATCAATTGCGGAGTTCATGATCGTTATGTTTTCAGCCCATAATGTAATGTGCAAGAAACAATATCCTGTCGGTAATTAAATGTTCCTATCGAAGTTTTAATAAAAGCTTAGGATTGCTTTGCTGTGCCGACGATCCCCAGAGCTGACTGTGTGAGCAAAATTGCTCAAACGCTACTGCTGCTGGTCGCTACACGGCTGCTGTTGTTTGCTATACAGCTAACCCTGGCGGTAGTTTGTGCATTTTTGGTGGCCAGCGGAAGCAAATTGAGTGGCCGTTGGTAACGACAGGTGGTCGTTGTGGACAGGTTCTTAACTACATGAAATCTCATGGGGGGAATTTAAGTGGTCGTTGGAGACAGGTGGTCGTTAACACAGGTTTGACTATAATACCTTTATCTAGTGTATTTCGATTTGACATTATTATGAGTGGATATTTTGGCTTTGCTCAGGGCGCACAATTTCGAAACAAGACCCCCCAACCCCCCAAAAAATATTTTAAAAATATTTACAAAGTTAAAATTAAAATCAATGCTTACATAGTACAATTACGTTCCCGAATTAGATGCTGGAAAATAATAAATGCAGGTGAGCACATTCACATGCAAAAAATGACCTTGACTCAATCATTAACGAAAACAATTAAACAGGCATGCTCATCAAAGGATTTGATGTACTCACCTATCACCGTAACAGTAAATGTGCATGAGTCATGGTTCGAGGAACTGTCTGTGGCTGTGACAGTGACTGTCGTTGGACCCAGAGGGAAGGTAGAACCTGGCCCTAGAGGATCGTAGGTCAACGCTGGTGCAGGGTCAGCATTGTCTGTGACATACACCAGGAATGATACAGTGAGTGTATCGGAAGTGAAGTCAGCTGGGCATGTGATCACAGGATTCTGATTATCTGATAAAATATAAATGAATGCAAAAGACAGACTTTAGTATTGAGCAGTTGCAGACTTTGCCATGGGGAGTTCGAGGAGTTTCTTTCCTGCCAGGCCGCTTAATTGTGGATATCTATCAATGTGCTGGTCAGGACATTTTTTTTCTCATCAAATTTCCCCAACCGAATTTCAGTTCCAGGCGGGCCTTGGTATTGAGGTCTACTAAGCCCCTGTTAAACCAAAACAGTTAACAAGGCTATAACCAAACTAGATGGACCTTCGACCGCGCGCAGTCGAAAATGATGCCTCCGCCATGGAGTAATTTTACAAACCAAAACAGAAGCGAGCTATTTTTGCATACATAATGAGACCTGTGACCTTTGATATTTGACCCCGTTAACCCAAAATCTAATCAGTTTGTAGCGGCTCTTACATTCGCCCTATTTTCATCGTACATTCATGTCTCCAGTATTTTTCCATCACGCTACTTATTTATATTCATTATTCGGACCACGTGTGTATTTCTTTCCAATCGCGCATCGTGGTTCCGCACTGTTCACCCCGCGTATTTTCAACGCCACGAGGTTTTTCTCCACTCCCGCTTACACCTCGGTCGAGTCAACAACTCCCGCTTACACCTCGGTCGAGTCAACAACTCCCGCTTACACCTCGGTCGAGTCAACAACTCCCTCTTACACCTCGGTCGAGTCAACAATTACTCCCTCTTACACCTCGGTCGAGTCAACAACTCCCTCTTACACCTCGGTCGAGTCAACAACTCCCTCTTACACCTCGGTCGAGTCAACAACTCCCTCTTACACCTCGGTCGAGTCAACAACTCCTGCTTACATCTCAGTTGAGTCAACACGTCTCTGTATAATTTCCTCTCCGGGCTTGATTCTACCGTGCCTATCACCTCTATCGGCACATCTACACTTTCTCTGCCGTCTTCAACGGGCTGGCAGTTTCCCAGTGGAACAGTTAAAATCAAGATCCGACATATATGGTGCTTGGTTATCCGCTGGGAGCTGCCAGTTTCTTCACCGGTAGCCTTTCACCCACATGAGCTCGACTCACCGCAGCTCATCTAAACATTCACCATCAAAGTTCGGCTCATCAATCGAGCGACTTACTGCTCAGCACCACTCCCGGCTTTGATGTCTGCATTTTCTACCTAATTGGCCTCCGACATCAAACGACTCACTGTTTCATCGTCGAGCGTCACTTTCTTCTCTTCTCGCCTGAGCTTCTTCACTATCTTCATCACGGACGTCAGCGTCGAGATTCTTCACGGCTCTATAGCCACGACAACGAAGTTACATCTCCGCCTCTTCAAGCCTCCACACATTTCATCGCGTGAGCCCCTTCCTTCGTTCTCAACTCTCTTCATCTTCATTGGACTTTCGACTTCATTTCTACTATTGTCGTAAGCTCTATTTATTTACATCGCATTTATTCACGTTCATTATGTACATCGCATTTATTCACGTTCATTATGTACATCGCATTTATTCATGTTCATTATCATCATTGATCATTATGTAATCTCCGTGCAATATTCACATTTACCATTTATGCATTTTCATTCCGATTCTTCGGCTTGTGCTTGGCTACACTTTGCAAGTGTACGGCCAGCCTCATCAGTACCCAATAAACAAAACGAAAAGGGAATACTTTCTTTCATGTATTTTATTATCAGTGCAACCTTGTTTCCTGGTAGCTAAACAAAAATAAGAGTTATGTTGTGTGACGAGTGAACACGCTTTCAAATATCCATTCACATTACCTCACAAACTCATATTTCTACAAGTTTATTGGCTCTGCGAGATAAATACATACCCAAGTTTGGCGGTAATCCATCAATGGGTTCTTGAGATAACGCGATCACAAGCTATTTGTGCATACATAATGAGTCCTGTGACCTTTGACCTTGGATCTCGTGACCCTAAAATCTAATCGATTTATTGTCTCTGCAAGATACATATATGACCCAAGTTGGCGGAAATCCATCTATTGGTTCTTGAGATAACGCGATCACGAGAATGGGACGTACGGACGGACGGACAACCCGAAAACATTCTGGCCCGAATTCACAAAGGAGGTTTGTCGACAAACCTCGGTTTGTCGATTAACCTCCTTTTGTTTCGACAAACCTCCTTTTGTTATTTACAAACTTTGTAAAAAAAACGCGTCAAAACGCGTCATATGACGTACATAAACCTCGGTTTGTCGACAAACCTCCTTTGTGAATTCGGGCCAACGCCTCCGGCTACTTTGTAGCGGAGGCATGAAAAAGAGTCAACATCGCCATGTCATATCTTGTAGAAAAGTCGTGTATGTTCTCTATTATGTTGAACCAGAACAAGTACCATCACTTTTTGACATTCCTGGAGAAAATAAAATGGCCGGAACGTGCACCGCTCTTTAATACGTGGATAAAGTCACGTTATATACCACATTTCCATTCTCTTAAAGACATATACTCTTGTCTGTTTCCATGTGCATCTCATAGTTTGCATACAAGTTCATCAGTTCACTAACCAGGGAACTCACATACCCTGCACTAACCCTTTAAAATTAAAGTCGCTAGAAGGTGCGCACATTACGTAAGGCCTGTCCGTCGGAAAAGTGAAGCCCATTGTCGGTGATTGATTACACCCGATATCGTGTACATAGGATGTAAAGTTCCTCAAGGAAACCCACAACCATGTGTCTTTAGAGCTAATCTTGAGCTCTGATATGGGCATCGTATATCGAGAGAATTACACGGCTATAATTCATTCTGCATTGTTTATCATGCAGTAGATTGATTGTTTGAACAAGTAAAAAAAAAATTTAAAAAACCTCACAAAAACTTGCTGGAAATCATCTTCGATAAAAACCACAACTCAAATTTCACATAGTTATCTGTGTTAAGCACATGGTGTCGAGCCTACTTACCTTGAATTCCTTATAATTATGTCTATGCTCATTATTCAGCCCCCAAACATTTTCTACCAAAAATGTTGGGCGCATATGTCATTTCTTTGTAATCTTGAACATTCAGTGTAAGTTTTGTAGGGATTCTGTGAGAATTCCTTTTCTATCTTTACCGGAACTCATGACCCGTCAGCGCGCCGCGCCCACCCAAGCGCGCCTCAGGGTAAAGGCAGGATCTGCGCGGTTCCCTTGAGCATATAAAACAGCCAGGGGCGGTATCCCGGCCCCCCCACTCAGAGGTCGGAATGACCGCATGCGTGTTGCCAAAATGTCCGGTAAAGGGGTACTTTTCGTGCGACAAAGTCCGGCCCGAGAATTGTAAAAAAAAAAGGGGTGTATTTGACTTTTCACCCGGAGATTTCTTTAAAAAGGGGGTGTTTTTCTTTTTTTTCTCTCATCTCTTTGGACTCCTGAGAAATTATTCTGAATTTAGGGGGGTACATTGAGCATTTTTCCTGATTTAGGGGGGTCTCCAAGGCAGGAATAGCACGCGAAAGGGGGGTTCGGAAATGTTGGCAGTCCTCAGATAGGGGGTGCTTTCAAAAAAAGGGTACGAGCATATGCGTACCTTAAATAACACTGAGTGGGGGGGGGGGGGGCCGGGGGCGGTATTCTGAACCCTGTGTTATCTCTAATATTGCTGTATCTTTGAAGATAAGATAAAGTTGGTATTCTGAACATTGTTGTAACTTTTGTGTTATCTTTTGTTGTATCTTTTCTCTCATCTTATTGGCCGCGCCTGCGCTCATACTTTGAAGGGCTTGTAATTGTGCGTATTATTAATAAAGTGGCATTTAATTCTCATTTGCATATGCGCACGGGAGATAATATGTCGAGATAATTGGTATTCTGAAAGTTGTTGTATCTTTTATCTTATCTTATCTTGCATGGTATTTATAACAATATTTACAACAGGTATGGGGTTGTTGTATCTTTCGTGGTGATATAATGGCGGCAATATTTTTTGCCCAGAACCAACTTCGTGCCAATAGACGAGTTAGAAGAAGATTGTGTGTTGACCGGAAACATCACAGATGAGAACTTTCTAAGATATTACATGCTAGGATAGGACTATTTTAATGCTCTCATCTTAACCAATATAGTGAAAGCGTGATTTGTCTTCATGATCCACATTCAACAGCGCATAATGATGACGCGCGTAATAAGTGCTCAAATAACTAATTACGCCCAAGATTAGTATGCGCTAGGCGCATCTTCAGATATGGCATAAAGTATTCCTATTGGTTGATCTACTTATCATGCTTATATAAAATAGATTTTGATTGGTAGGGTCCATAAAAATGGGCGTGTCATCAATGGTCAAAGATAAGATAGAGGCGGTCCTTCAAGAGATAACACAGGGATAAAACAATGTTCAGAATACCAACTTACAACAATATTAGCGCTGTGTTATCTCTGGAAGATACAACAAAAGATAACACAAAACTTACAACAATGTTCAGAATAGGTCTACCACCCCTGGCCTCTCAAAGCAGTCGATATCTCTATTATACAAATAACGCACGTCCCAGAGTGCAATAGCGGTGAATGCAGTACGCGCGAGGTTTCTTTAGATTGGTGCCGCTCTGTGCAACGAGCCGCTTGCGGCGAGTTGACGGTGCGAACCATCTGAAGAAACCGAGCGTACACTGCATTTACGTTTCGCACAATTGGTGAAGTGCGTTATTTGTTTTATAAAATAGCGACACAAATAGCAACAAACGAAACTTTAGATCTTAAGTTAGAGTCTACGAGTGTTCGATCTAGATCTAAGTTAGAGTTAGGTTGGTTCTAGACTAAGACCTTGCAGGCTTACCAAAAAGTCAATGGGATTCATTGCCTTGATTAAAAATAAAATCCACAGAGCGTTCTACAGTGGGTCTAGAGACGAATCTTCATCAGACAGCTGAAATTCCTGGCTTCATTATATAATCCAAAAGTCAAAACAGGCCTAAATCCAAGGCAAAAGTAAAATAAAAATTTGCTTTTTATGTCTAGTAAGTCCATGCTAGAGCTAAGCTACGCGTACGTTGCGCTGGGGATCATAGTGGAGCGTACAATATTAGCTACGCGTAGCCTACAATAATTGCAATGCACTCGAGGGAGCGCGTACTACACGTACGCGCGCGCACTGGATCTCCATGGTCACGTGCAATATAACTTTTTGTTGCGCTTTTTCTGCACTTATTTCTGCAAAATCGTGCTTGCATCAAAAATTTGTCAATGTCATGTGACGCGTATTGACCAATCACGATGCTTAAAATACTAGAGCCATTTTATAAAATACAATATACAAATGATGCATGAGTTCATTATACTATCTATCCGCACTCGAGTTGAGGCTGTGTGTATCTATCGCACGAAGCCGTTAGGTTGAGTGCGATAGATACACACAGCATCAACGAGGGAGGATAATAATAAACGAATGAAAACATGCATCATTTGTTTTATACAACAAATCTCCTAGATCCTTTTTATTTGATGGCAAAATATATCATTCAAGATTGTTTTGTGACGGTATTGCTGCCAACTAAATATCAACTTATTTATAACCTGGTTGCAATTTTTGTTTGTTAAAATCGTATTTTGTAACTTTCTATATTTATTTATAATTTTATATTGGTACCATATACATTTTACTCATTTCGTTATTCTTTATAATCAAATCCTTATTTATAACCTGGTTTGCAAGTTCTTGTTTGTTAAAATCGAATTTTGTATTTTTTTATGTTTATTTATATATTGATATGTTGATGAAATGTATATACTTGTTTGTGTCATGAAGGGTCTCAACGAAAACCAGTAATTATTTGCTGATTGGGCTACCCTTCTTTTTAAAGATGTGTTATAAATAAATAAATAAATAAACTTAAATAGGCTTAAATTAGTGCGCACATATAGATAAGCGCACTTTACGCGTTAACGCATAGTGCTGCGCAAGAATAGGTCCATACGCAGTATAAGCGCCCTACCCTTTACGTATACTACTGCGCATCATGTACATGCACTAAAAAAAGCGTGCAATAGTACTTGAAACTATTCCACACTTTTTCATGAAAAAACGTGCAATAGTCTCAGTAAATGAATCCCACGCGACCGCGCATGAACAATTATTTGATTAGGATCTGGGAGTGAGTTGTATAATATGAAATAACCTCTCTATGGGCTTCCAAAGAGCTTTGGAAATTATTACCCTAGCTTTAGCTCTGGCAGCCGTTATCAGCGCACAGTGCATTTCAAGAAATAATCCTACCAGGTACGCATTTACCTCACCTGGGGTAAGTGTGGCAAATGTAAATTAATGTCTTGCCAAAGGACATAAGTGCCGCGGCGGGAATCGATCCGCGGGCCTTGTGACCCACAGTCCGGTGACATATCCACTCAACCACGACACCTCTACTCTTTCTCAAGAACCAGGATTCTGTTGCCTCTAATCTTCTTTTAAGCTCTTTGTTTATTGTTCAACACTCACATGTTGCTCCGATTGTCTCATTTTCGCTCGCTGGAACATTGCCAGCACAAACCACTGACCTCTACCTCCTGGACGGATCATCACCCATTCCCATTCACTATACGTTACGTACTGAAAGGCTGTATTGTCTGACGTTCATGAATATTCATGTTTTTGCTTACCTCGGCAAAATCTTTGCTTTTACTAAATGGAAGAATGCTGATGGGGGTTGGATGAAAAGGACATAATGAACCAAGCAGAAGTGATCTATGATAATTCATGCTTCTTATCCTTCGTGTGCTTGACCTATAATCTTCAAATCGCTTGGCAAACTGAGTCCAAAGTTCGACTTGTTTTACATGTGTATTATAGGCAATGACGAGCTTGCAACCTATTTTGATCAAATTACGGTGGGTGAACTTTCAAAAGTCAATGGGACATGAGGGTTCCAATGAAAGAGCTAGTGATAACGTAAGTCGGGGTGGATGTGCTTTTCGTTTGAACAAAAAATGAATTTATAACGATTTTTTTTTGTACAATTCCATAGGCTAACATGTATGGCTGCTGACTCTGACGATAGGGGGCGTTGTGAAATGAGACTAAACTATATGCACCCGGAGAGAAGAACTGACCAAACTTTGATTTTGGTGTTCATAGTAATGTTCTTTTTTTGTGTGTATTAGAGACTACAATGAACATGTGGCTTACAATGTATATTCATTTCATTACTATTATCATCTACTGGATTAAAGGGTCCACACAATTTAGCTATTTCTTGTCATATTTTTAATATGAAGCCTTAGAGGTATTTGAATAACCATCCTTTCCAGTGGGCATTTTCTGTACGATGTTCGTCCACACTTAAAATAAAAAGGGAACAACGGTCACAAACTATTTATCACTTTTCACTGAACTCCACCTTCTCTTTAACTTAATGGTCCTTACCGTTTGGGATGCACACAAATTCGTTTCCTCCACCCCACTGTCTGTTGCTCATACACAGTAGCCTGCTGCTCCCAGAATGATAAATGTAGCCATCCCCACAAGAGAAATCGGCGAAGCCATTGAATCGCCGTTCAGGGGGGTCGTAGGTCACCAAACGACCTGCTTGGTCAGCCACTTCCGGGCAAAAATTGTCCTCGTCTGGAATAGATATGTCAAAAGGTTCATTTTATAAACAAATTATTAAAGGCTGAAAGATCAAGATGTATAACAGAGTATTCCCAGTACTTCAGACCAATTCTACAGGAGAGTGGGGCATGGTCGTTCTTGAAATGCAAGAAAATTGGAGTAATTCTTTTATGCCACATTATGACAACGTCATTTTTCAAATTGTATTGTATAATACACTTTTTCTTTACTAAGAAGGAAGTCCTGATAGTTGTCCCTTTGCCCAAAATGTCGTTTATTGTAAATTACAGGCTATATACGCATAATGTACGGGAGCCTTTATTTACATACAAGACTACGCTTTTTATTTTAATAGGCTCCCCATATTTTGTGAGCCTGTCATATCTATATCTATATTCTGGGAGATCCACAAACTACAAGCACTGCTTTTTAGTGGATCCCCCCCCCCCCATTTCCTCAGAAATTAAGAATTTCTTGTAATAATTTTATTATGTGCAAAGTTTATTTGTATAGTTTCCTGAAAAATGAATTATGTATGAAAAAAGAAATAATATCTTTGTTTACCTTTCTGTTGGAAATGAAATAAATATGATTATATACCTCACTTAAGAAATCCAGCCATCTGATTGGTCGAAATTGCAGTCATGGTTTTATCCATTCCCGTAAATAAACGAAAAATGCCACGCCCATGTAATAGTTCGAGGGTAAAATTCAAGTTACCGGGAATAGTTCAGTCTTGCTTAAAAACTGGTTTGAGCGATCGCGGATACCATGCATTGTGTGTGTGCGAAGAATTGGCCGCTAGACAACAAGAACACCAAAAGGGTAAACCCTACGTTTTATTATTAGCCGTAGATCTAGGTCTAGATATAGATTGTGATTTTATTGCTTGCGATAACGGTGATACAGGTATTGAAGATTGTATAATGCAAGTGTTTGAATTCATTTGGTGGATGAAAAGTTGAATTCTACGCCGTTTTGTGCGTCATTGCAGCGATGAATTTGGTGTGTTTGTCGCTAATTTCTGACAAATTTAGATAGCTTTCCTGATGGTATTTTATGCAAAATTTCTGTTACATTGATAAGCACTGATTCTTGTCCTTACCTTTGACTTGTTTCTTGTCTGTTATAGTCATTTAATAGATGAATTACTTGAATTCTGAGCACATTTCAGTAACACAAACAAATCCAGCCCGTTCATAGTCCCACACACGTATTTGTATGTACCTTGTGCCCTTACACTGTCTGCTGTCTCGATAGCTTAAACAAACTTGATTACCATGATTGATAAGTCGGACATGTATTCTATGTCCTTTTTCGGTATATAAAAGTATTAATGACAATCGAGCAATTGCCCTCGGCAAGCCTCGGGCAATAGCTCGATTGTAACCTTCCATTGAGCGTATAAAAACAACTATGTTTCGAAAATTAAAGCAGTCATTAATACTACAATATGAATATGAATATATTTCGAAACTTTGTACCTATTTTCCGTACATTATATTTGATTTGAAATCTTTAATTTTTTTGTGTGTAATCTACGCTCATACAGTCTTGTATAAAAAAATATGTGTAACAAATAAACTTCAATAAACTTTAAATTTCAATGCTCTAGTTTTAGTAAAATGTATTTCAAATAGTTTTGGACAGTTTGTTAAGATATTGACGAGAAGCAGTTAGTACTTACAAATTGAAATACAACTCCATCCACAAACCCCATCGCAGTGACATTGCTTGTTTCCGAGACAAGCCCCATTGAGACGATTCCTGCATTGGGTCTGACAATCCCGTCCGTAGATCTGGACCAAGTCTTCATTACGATGGCAATATCTCGCTGAATTAAGAAAAATTAGACAATGTACAAATAAATACAAATTAGCCTGTTATATTTATGCTCCAACCTTAATTGTGTTTTCTGTTTTATTCACCATCATCTGTTTTTACATGGGCTACCTTGCCCACAGGCGTAAAGGCCTTTTTTGTCGTACTTCGCAAACCATTTATATTGTTGAACACAATTTCATTTACCTCCAAATATTTTTTTAATTTTATGAATTACTATATTGTTCTATGCAATTTCGTATTTTCTATACCACCAGATTTATATATCATAATATATTCATATTCATACGTATCAGGACAATTGCCCCTGGGCGAACACCCCCCGGAAAACTACCCCCGTAGGACGATTACCCCCGGAAAATTACCCCCCGAAGAATTACCCCCCCAAGGACAATTACCCACCGAGGACAACTACCCCCAAGGACGACTATCCCCGAAGACAACTACCCCCGAGGACAATTACCCACCGAGGAAAACTACCCCCTCCCTGAAGACAATTACCCCTCCCCCCCCGAGGACAACTACCCCCGAGGACAATTATCCCCCAAGGACAACTACCATCGAGGACAACTATCCCCCAAGAAAACTACCCCTCCCCCTCCGAGCAGGCACATAGCCAGAGTTTGATGTTTGGGGGTGGGGGCACCTACATGTAATCGATCGATGTCGAAAAAGGGGTCTAAAAAAGTTCAACCGATCTTAGAAATTTTAGGGGGCACGTGCCCCCCCCCCCCCCCCGTGGCTACGTGCCTGTCTCCGAGGACAATAACCCCAGGAGGACAACTACCCCCAATGACAATCACCCCCGAGGAATTTATAACACTGTGACGTATAATGCAAACTTCTCTCCAAATTGCTATTTACATAAACCTTCATGAACCTTTATTTTCTTTGTCATTCATGAAGTTCATTTCAGTCTTTTCAAATTATTTAATTCGATATGGGGGGGGGGGGCGGGAGTGGAGGTTGCCCAATTCCCCTGTAGTTTTGCTACCGAGTAAAAAACAGAAGTTACATTTCTTAGAAATTGAACAATACACTGCGCGCAGATGAGTACGCGTTATAGCCTCTCTCACCAACAATGGCACAACACAGAAATTAGGATGTAAGATTTCCTTTATGCATCCTCTGTAACTTTCAGCTGATTGTGTATTTGTCTTTGTATGTATAATTGGCCCTCATCCATGATCCAAAATTAAGGTTTACTTCACGTTATCTATTTATCTCTGTTGTCATGCTGAAGTATAATATTTTTTCTTGCTCTCTGGTAATTCATCTCATTTGATTTTGTAACTCCAGCACAGCGTTTTTCAACCGGGGTGCCGCAAGAGAATGATTTGATTTGAAAACGTTGATTTTGTAAACAAAAATCAAATATCAGAAACTATGTAACCCCCCCCCCCCCCCACTCAGTTATTTAGGGTACGCATAGGCTCGTACCCTCTTTTATGAAAGCACCCCCTATCTGAGGACTGCCAACATTTTTTGAACCCCCCTTTCGCGGGCTTTTCCTGCCTTGGAGACCCCCCTAAATCAGGACAAATGCTCAATGTACTCCCTAAATTCGGAATAATTTCTCAGGAGTCCAAAGAAGTCCTTTTTAAAGAAATCTCTGGGTGAAAGGTCAAAAATACACCCCATTTTTTTACAATTCTCGAGCCGCACTTTGTCGCGCGAAAAGTACCCCTTTACCGGACATTTTGGCAACACGCATGCGGTCATTTCGACCTCTGAGTGGGGGGGGGGGGGGGGCGGGCTATGTAATAACATGAGAAAATAAAATTTTGAAGATACTAAAGTGTCTTCCTTCCTCGCTCGCTGACAATATTTTGACAGCAAGGCAAATAAGGGCAACGAGAGGCCCGAATATCCTCATATTCGTGTATCAAGGTCATGACCGAATATATCACTTTTTATTCATGTACATTCGGCGGCAAGATGCCCACATACAGTACTTTAAATCGTTTCTAGTGTGTAGATTACAAACTAATTTTTTACCAGTTTGAAAATGTCTTCTCTTTTTCATTCTTAAATGTGACCATACGTGTGTGCATAGCACTTGACGAGAGCCAGAGTCATGCAAAATTAATAGTCTGTGAGGACTTTGGGATTTGGGAGAAACTTTTCATTTCTTAAGAAGGTACCGTGACTAACAGAAAGTTAAAATACGCTGCTCCAGAGAAAGGTATATGCATTTTGAAAAGCGCTGGACAATAACCTAAAACTTACATCCTTCGTGGAAATCAGCAACCGCATTGGCGTTGCATAAATTATAATAAAAGGGACATGTGTAGTAATGAGGAAGACAACGTGCTATAGTTTTTGAACGAATATGGGTTCGTGCAGGGGATCTTATGGGCTGGTAGCCATCTCTCAATGTGTAAGATCGTCTTTCGCTATTAAATCCTGATTGTCCACGTGGTTAGTTGTCATTTGGGGGTAATTGTCATGGGGGGGGGGGGGTAATTGTCATCGGGGGTAGTTGTCATCGGGGGTGGTAATTGTCCTCAGAGGTAATTATCCTCGGGGGGTAATTGTCCTCGGAGCGTAATTGTCCTAGGGGGTAATTGTCCTCGGGGGGGGGGGGGTAATTGTCTTCGGGGGGTAATTCTCCGGGGGTTAATTGTCCTTGTGGGTATACTCGGGGGGGGGGGGGGTTATTCTCCGAAGGGTAATATTCCAGGGGGAAGTTTTCCGGGGGTGAATTTCCGGGGGGTGATTGCCCAGGGGGTAATTGTCCTAGAACCATATTCATAACATATTTCAATCATGGGTTGTGAAATAAAAACGAAATGGATTTGAAATGAAAATATATTCCGTCATCAAAGATGCAAACACCTAATTTGAGACTTTTCAAAAATTCCTCATTTTTAATACTCATACTTACCGACATGTCTGTACCTGAGCTTCGCCAGTATACGGTACCGGTAGTTCGAATATGGCAGACATCTCCATCTCTCATCTATGTCCGAAAATGTCATCTTTACCACGCCCATGTGGAGACTTTCAACATCTAAATTAGTCCATAATCTAGCCGGTTTTTTATATTCCCTACACGCTTTTCGCCGTGCGTCCTAATTAGTGTCCCTTTGGGCTTTATAGGGACACTAGCTAGTCCTACTAAGTGCCATTGATTAGGAGTGTTTGGCCAACCCGGTTCGAATTGGACGCAATATGGCGACTAATGCTTTATTGGGCAAGTACAAAACAAAAGAATATACGCTAGTTGTGAGCCAGTGAAACCAAGTTGGCCAAACTCTGTGTATAAATGGCTCTGGTCCTAATTTAATGATCACGCCATCTTCGGCTAGTAGCTAGTAAGTAGGGGAGGTATATATAGCGTTGGTGTGGTGGAGATATTATATTTGCACGTCGACATAGTGGACTGCTAGTGTGACAGGCAGTGCCTTAAAAGGACGTCACACGTAGCAGGCCTCTATGTCAACGTGCAAATCTAAAAGTCCCTATTAAAAGTTAAATAGGCCAGCTTCTGGACTACATCTACGTATATGAATATTATGTCTGACGCGGTCCACGTCCATGTCAGACCTTCATGATCTACCTACAAACAAGTCCGCAACTGGGACAACGCCCCTGCCCAGAATTCCATGATCTACTTACGAACATGTCTGCATCGGGGCAACGGTCCTGTCCACGATCCATCGGTGCATGTTGTTCTCTCAAAAGCTGTGGGCACGATCTGATAAAAGACACCACACTCAATACTCGCAACAGTCCCGTCAGGGTGGGGTACTAAACCCTCCGGCTCATAGGTGATTTCCGCAAAATCAATCTGATTGATGTTATCGCAGCTCGATGATACCCCTGAAATCACACGCATATAGTAGCGTTTGTTAATGAGACAGGATTAAGCAGATGATAATTAAAAGCGCATATCATCAATAATTATGTCCTACTTGCATGCGCTGCGAAGATGATAATATAAGTGAACAATAGAAAAGAGTGAGATTTAGATTTACTCGTCAGGTCAACAGCACAACCATTAGGATCAGCAGCAGCAGCACCACCACAATTATCACCATTACCGTGACTACACCACAACCACCACTATGCACCACCACCATCGAGCCGTACACTATCATTTTCACCACCAGCATCACCACCAAAACAATCACCACCACTACACTACCACCAACTTTAACCCAACTACCAATATCAACATCACCATCACCACCACCACCACTTCCATCGCCACCACCCTACCATAACTTCCAACACCACCATCATCACCACCACATAGAACCACTACCAATTTCTTCATCATCACAACCATCACTATAATATACCAACACCACCACCGCTACCACCAGTACTACTATCTCCCTAGTATAGGCCTACGTTCTTTTGTTCTCATGTCAGCGATGAAGGGTTTGTTTCAGAAGAATGTCCTCAATTTATTTTATATTTCATTTTATTTGATTCAGAATTTTTTTTAATTCCAAAAGCAAACAAAAACGAGTTTATAAGACAAGAAACAATAAATTGATGATCATAGATATTTTTGAATATTAAACCCTGTAATGCAAAGTTTAAAATGTGCATGAATCTGGCATGAATACAGATGAAGAGATTGTAGAATATAAACAGAAAATGCACGATGGAGGAATAGACCTATGTATCTGCAAACTGCACTATTCAAAGCTGTTTGAAATGGTTCTCATCGCAGTTGAGTAGTAGTTCTTTTTTAATCGAAACGAATACATAACCTTACTGCATTGACCTACGAGAGAGAGGCGGTAGTGAGCATTATTTTTTTTGCACCCGGAAATGTGAAAACCGCGCCGACCGATATTTCGGGGGGGGGGGAGGGGTTAAGGAGCACATCTTGTATCTACTAGGTGTATTATGCTTCACATTTCATGAAACTTTCACTGAGATCAGTAAAACAAAAAAAAAGTAATAAAACAAATATAAACAAAATATAATTGAATGATACAAATTTGTCGTGGTTTACCACTTTATATCTGAACAGGCATAAATATTATAGAGATGGTGATTTCATGAATTTGAAAACAAATTACAATATTCGTTTTCTGGAGTCCGTATAAGGCTCCCTCCCCTGAATATTTACATGGCAAAGCAGAACATGGAATGAGGGGGGGGGGGGGTGCGCATGCTCAAAATCATGAATTAATGTGCGATTGGTCATGTTGTATGGTATAAGTCTTGAAAAGATCGTGATAATCCACTTACCGCCACTGTGTAACAGGCAAAGAAACAGTCCTGTGAACAGAACTAAATAATGATAACTCTTTTCCTCCATTGCTTGTCGATATACTAGCTAGACTCTCGACCCAACACTAACATTCCATGTTCCATTTGTAAAGAAATGAACCGTATTTCTAAATGTACAGAATGAGCGTGGCCACGCTCCGAACGGTGCTCTAATATGGAGAGTGCTGATTGGATAAAAATCAGAGGAGAATGTGTCAATCAAAATAAGTACAAAATGGGCGCGGCCACGCTCCGAACGGTGCTCAAAGATGGAGAGCGCTGATTGGATAAAGATCATAGGAGAATGTGTCAATCAAAAATATGGGGGAGCCATATGTCGTAGATGTTGTGTTTCATATCCGTCTATACACTATACAGTGCGTCCCAGAAAAAACGAAACCGAGAAGTATCGATTCCTATCATAACTTAATCACAACCATGATTAATGAATGATACATATTTGGAAAGCTTAGAGTCTCCTCTTTCAGTTGATGCTACTCACGTGATGCATATTTCACGCATGAGTGATTAAAAGCAATTTGAAGGAAGGAAACCAAAAAGACATTTGGCGGGCGGTATCTGAATTTCGAAGAAAAATTCACATTTCTAGAAAGTTGAGTTTCTGCCCTTTCATATGACACCTCAATCAGGAAAAATGAGCGAGGAATGACAAAGTTCTGTTTGTTTAGAGTAGTGCTTGCATTTCCATAATTTTATTAAACGAATTTGTTTTCACTGCACTATGAATATGACTAACAATTAAAGCGGACAAAATATACAGTTCCTCAGGTAGACAAAGGAACATCCCTTCACTGCTATTATGGAAAAATGTGTAGAACAGGTGTCACATGCATATTCACCTTTTTACACAATAGCAGTGAAGGGATGTTCCTTTGTCTACCTGAGGAACTGTATATTTTGTCCGCTTTCTTTGTCAGTCATGTTCATAGTGCTGGCTGCCTGCCGTATCAATTAACGAAATTAACAAAAGACTTAACTCCGTTTCGGCCGTAGACGAGAGTCTTCATGCATGGCTGATTGTCAACGAAACGGAGTTAAGTCTTTTGTCGAATCTGCTTTTTGCTACGGCAGGCACCCAGTGAAAACGAATTCGTTTGTTAAAATTATGAAAATGTAAGGGCTACTTTCAACAAACAGAACTTTGTTATTCCTAGCTCATTTTTCTTGACTGAGGTATCATATGAAAGAGCAGAAAATGAACTTTCTAGAAATATGAAATTTTCTTTGAAATTCAAATACCGCCCGCCAAATTACTTTTTGGTTTCCTTCCTTCAAATTGCTTTTAATCACTCATGCGTGAAATATGCATCACGTGAGTAGCATCAACTGAAAGAGGAGACTCTAAGCTTTCCAAATATGTATCATTCATTAATCATGGTGGTGATAAAGATATGATAACACATCGATACTTCTCGGTTTCGATTTTTCTGGGACGCACTGTACATTGCTTTAATTCCATGCATTGGTTTGAAGTCAGGTCAAGGAAAAGGAGGAAAGGGACTCGCGTAATCATTTTTATTTCTCTTCATTATCATGTTGTTTTTGTTTGTTCTATTGTCATAATAATGAAAAATACTTCAATAATCCCCAATGGAGTCGTTATGTTATCACAAAGGTGAGATCAACCAAGTTGGTTGCAAGCTTGCTGGACTCATGGAACCTGTCAAACATTAGAGGGAAATCATATTGATAAATCTATAAATATTTGTAAATAATACAGAGCATTATGTACAATAGGCCTACACAAATACATTTTAGAAAGTATTTGGGATCTACTAGTAGTTGATTTGTATGAAGAGGTTTTTTTTTTTTTTATCGAATTCGCTCAATGCAGTTAAGTAGCTAGGGGCAAATGCGACCTGCACTTAAGTCGATTAAATCGACTTAAGTGCTACCAATTTTGACAGCTAAAGACATTTTCAAGCCCCCTTTTTGTTACGGAAGTTTTAAATTAGTATTATCTTTCAAATGCCGTTGGAATTTAACCTTTTCATTTGCTTGGTCTGCAATTGGGTCATAGTACCTTTAAGGCCTCATTGATGATGCGTCGGTCGACCAACATTATCGGGTCAATGTGTCTGTGGTATGTATGTGTGTATTCTGAAATGTTTTCCCGTTGTGCACATCACCAGAATCCAATTGAACGGTGCCACTTCAGGCAAAACTGATAATAGTATTATATACAAGCCTTTTTGATACTTTCTCAGTTGGATTTTGTACATCTAGGGTAAAGGGTCATTTCTAGAATTTTAGTATTGTTGTTGCAATTTTGATCCCGCCACTTTCATTTTCAATTTTTCATTGATTTGTATAAGTGTTGATTTTACAGAAAGTAGAACAATATGGGATTCTATGAGAAACCACAGCATTCTTACTTTCCGTTTCTTCTCAAATTGCTACCCTATACCAGGGCATGTAAAGTCTCACCTCCCTGCCTATACCGGACACAGCAACAGGATACACTTCCGCGGAGATTGTAATCTCTTGCTATCAAACTCAATAACAGGCTCCTGATTTCTTTCCGGAAAGGCTCGTGATTAGTTTAAACACGTTTCAAACACGTTTATACTAATCATGTTTATAGAATTTTAGCTGTGTGTGAAAAGGCTGTTATTCATATTATGGACATAATTATAAGGTTAACAAATATATTAAAGGGGGCATCTCTCCCGAGAATAAATTTGAAAAATGAAGAAGAAACCAAAACCAAACATCAGAACAGAAATAATCGTACTAAAGCTGGGAAGTACTTATTGAATAAGGAAAACGTAGAGGAGAGTTGGGCAAAGAAAAGTAGAGGGGGAAGAGAGAAGAGGAAGAGAGATAAAGAGAGAGAGATGGGGAGAAATGGGGAGAAATAGAGAGAGGGGGAGGGGTAGGGGAGGGGAGATAGAAGAGGAAGAGAGATGAAGAGAGAGAGAGAAATGGGGGGAAATAGAGAGAGAGAGAGAGAGAGAGAGAGGGGTGGAGTTGGAGAGGGGAGAGAAGAGGAAGAAAGAGAGAGAAATGGGGAAGAAATAGAGAGAGAGGGGGCGGGAAAGGGAGAAAAGGGTGGGGTAAGGGAGGGGGAGAGAAGAGGAAGAGGGAGAGAAATGGGGAGAAATAGAGAGAGGGGGGCGGGAAAGGGAGAGAGAGAGAGAGAGAGAGATCGGGGAGGGGTGGGGAGAGGAGGAAGGGCAGGGGAGAATGTGCATGCGGCTATTCATGCTTTAGGGTTGAATAAACACCTTAAATTCATAATTAGTAGTATAACTATTCAAAGATACCAAAACCATTATATATTATATCAGTTTGATATTTTGATTACCCCTTTTTTATATTTTGAAAAAAAAGTGGACGGTTCAATCGCCACCCCCAACCCGACCCGATCATCCCATGCGTGTGAGGGATGTAAAACCAAACAGCTAATTTGGGGATTGTCCCGATTTTTGTTTTGTTTTGTTGACCTTCATGTAGGTAACCCGGGATATCCTTTGTACTAGGGATATTTCACTGGCACGCATACTTATGTGCTATACCGTGGAGCTATAAGCAAAATATTGTTTGTTAAACCTGGTGCAATGTTTCGCAGAACCATGTAACGAAATGTAAGTGAATTCTAAGGAAAAAACGTTAAACTGATCGGTAGAAAATCTTTTGAAATTTGAGGTCCATGATCTCTCTGTCGATCCCACCCTCCTTTTTTTTCTCTCTCTCTTTCTCATCCTCCCCTTTTCTCTCTCGATCAATTTACAAATCTTGATTAATTTACAAATCTCATTGTTTTCATTGCACAAAATATTTTAAAATTTAGTTGGTAACTTGAAATGAGACATACTGCATCCCCCGAGTTCTTGATATTCTACTCCCCTCTCCGACCGTTTTCTTCAACTCTCTCTTCCTCTTTTTCTCTCTCTCTGTCTCTGTATACCAGGTATAATTCGTGTGTGATCATGTGTCATTTGGAGTTCATAATGTCACTTTAGAGAGTAGCAATGCGATAGAAAGAGACCAAACATAACGATAAAAAGAAGGATGAGAGAGAAAATGAATTGTGTAGGAAAAGGAAGAGAGAGAACAGTAGGACACGGGGGGGGGGGGTGGGATGTGGAAGTGTTTGTGTACTCCAAGATAGCGAGAAAGGGATGGAGAGAATTGCATTGCGGATTGGGTTAATGAGAGAGAGAGAGAGAGAGAGAGAGAGAGAGAGTATGTGTGTGTGTGTGGGTGTGCGTGTGTGCGTGTGTGTGTGTGTGTGTGTGTGTGTGTGTGTGTGTGTGGAAGAGATAGAGAGAGAGGGGGAGGAGGGTGGGTAAGAGAGAGAGAGAGTGAGAGTAAGAAAAAAAAAGAGAGAGAGGGCGTGGTGAAAGAGAGAGGTGTGAGAAAGGGTGAAAGAGAGAATGAGAGAGAGAGAGAGGGAGAGGGGGAGAGTAGGGGGAGGAAGAGAGAGAGAGAGAGAGAGAGAGAGAGAGAGAGAGAACTAGACCTTTATACGAATCTGTTATCGCAGAGCAGTGAAACCTTCCTACCATTTTTTCTCAGTCTTTCAGTCTAGAAATATCTCTTCCTTCCATTTTGAATGTCATAAACCATCCACTTATTTTATATAATCATTGACATCCCCGTTGTCTCCCTTTCTCCATTTGCCTCCACCACATACATGTAATACACTCTGGCTCCTCTCTCTCTCTATTTCTCTCTCTCTCTCTCTCTCTCTCTCTCTCTCTCTGTCTGTCTGTCTCTCTCTCTCTGTCTCTGTCTGTCTGTCTCTCTCTCTTTCTCTCCCTCTCTCTCTCTCTTTCTTTCTCAGCTTTTTACGTCGACTGATATTCCTAAACATAAGCCTGCTATATCAGCAAAACTTTATCTTTTTCCCTCTTATCCTCAAGCGAGGTTTTTATTTCCATAATAGCAATACATATTTACATTAATAACTCAACGATTGAATGAAACATAACATATTCAACAATTCTTCCAGCTTAGTATTATTTTCTTTGCTAACACATTCATATCTTTAAAAAAATAATCTTAGCAACGACTTGAATTTAAAAAAACAAAGTATGTGGGTAGTAAACAAAACCATTAACAATCTTCTTAACGTAACATTTACAAATTGAATATGGCGCATAATTTCAAATAATATTCAGAAGTGAATATTTCTTGTTTTCAATATCATTACCTACAACTATTATCTTCTGGTCTATTCGTATTTCTTTTTGGAATAGATCAAATTACATATTATTTTCCAAAACAAAGTCACATCCTTACAAAATTACATAAAATGTTGAGTCAACTTGTCCACAAGAGTTGCATAAATTATTATTAACAATTTGCCATTTATATAAGTTTTCTTTTGAGGCAATAAACCTATGAATCATCTTGAAATTAAATTGTTTAACTTTATTATTACGAATTTGCTTGAATTTAAATAAAAATACATCCTTCCAAACAAAGTCATTATCCAAATCTAAAAGGGAATTCCAAAAGTAAATGATACTTTCAAAATAAGAAGTAAAACCCTGCCAGTCATTGAATTCATGTTGTGAATGGGAGTGTACAGAGGGAATAAAAAAGGCGCAGCCACCCCAAAGGGCCCCAACAGTTTTTTCTACACTGCTCTCCCCCCCCCCCCACAATAGGTCCATTTTTCTCTTTGGAGGAATCCATTAACATATTGTGCCTTGGAACCCTTTTCCTTATATTAACAACAACAACAACAGTAATTATTATTCAACTCTAAAATTGGGGGAAATGATTATTTTTGTTATTATCTGGCTTTCCCGCCAAAATATTTTAATTAATTGAAAATATGTGGATTGAGATTCTCATACTTTATTTCATTAATGGGGTTTCTATCTCTTTCTCTCTCTCCTTCTCATTCGGACTGAAAAAGTATTGAATATGATTATGTTTGATGGATAAAACAGAATTGCTGTCCTTCCTATAATACTTTACTTTGTTTACAAGTTCATATCACATGTTATGTTCTCCTTTGTTGAAGAGGTGAGGGGGTGGGGTGTCCCCTTAAAAAAAGAGTTGGACAATTCAATATCAACAGCATTGAGCGGCTGCAGAGGAGAGCATTGGGTATTATCACTGGTACATTTCCCGACACAATGTCTAATGCTCAACTTCTGCAGTCGCTGGGTGTTGTCAGACTTTCTGAACGACGCTCTGTTCTTTGCGAAAAGTTTGCTAAATCCCTGCTGATCTAAGACCGCCACCGCCATCTCTTGCCTGAAACTAGACAAACCATCTCACGACGCACTCTCCGCAACTCTCTCCAGCTCAATACCCCAACATTAGAACAGAGCGTTACAGGCAGTCTCCTATTCCCCACTTCACACGAATCTTGAATTCAAATCTGTAGATATTTTCACCCAATATTATGACCGTGTGTGACCAAGATGTAATTAATTTCTTGTCATGCCAATTAATCAGATTTAATCAGATTTCTTTTTTTTTTCTCCATATTTTTCCCTCCGCAGGGATTTTATTGATTTCCATTTGAAACAAATTAACAAATATATGTTCACGGTAATTTACATTTATAACATAAATAAAATTGGCTTTTCAAGATACAAGTATTGTTGAATTGTTGAGTTAACAGAAAACTAACAAATCAATAATTCATTTCTGACACTCATGGAAAGAAAAACAAATACAGAAAAAATATCATTTTAAGTAAACAAATTCCTGAATTGAAACCATTTTCTTGTGAATTTATTATTTTGAAGTTTTTGAAGTAATTTATAATCGAAACTCTAATATTATCAAAGTCGGGCAATTGTTTCTTTATTTTGCAAGTATACACCATCTGTCGCACCACAATCAGTATACAATTCAATGCATAATTATTTGAACCTTTTAAACCAAATAATTTTAATAACACAGGATTGAGCATTTTCATAGAACACATTAACCCATTTTACAATAGAGGGACCAAACTTAAAAAAGTGCAATACTTTTCTAATAAAATCATGAGAAATAGAATTAAATGCTTTTTCAAAATCTATAAGCAGCAATAAACCAGGAATGTCATTGATATCAGTATACAATAATAAATCATATAACAACCGGGTATTCTCTCCAATGAAGCGCCCTGACATAAATCCTTTCTGATTTTCATGTATAAGAAAAGGAAGTACGTTCTTCAATCTGTTTGCTATACAAGCGGAACCTAATTTATACACCACGTTCAATCAGATTTAATAGTACCTGTATAATGATAGGACTATACTAAGGAAGTAAACATAATTTGTATTATCATATCTCTTGGATAATCATCTATATAGAAATATGTTTCTAAAAGAAATGTTAACTAGGTTAAAAAAGATTACTCATTAATTTGAAAGTGTATGACAAAATTGAATATGACATTTAGAAATGGTGACATTAATTGATATTAGTTGTTTAGTTCATTAGAATTAGTAATTAATATAAAGATTGCTAAAAGTATTGATTTCTTTATTCTTGTATGTATTAATAATTTGTAAACTAAATTGTATGAGTCTCCGGACTTTTTACTCAGTATGTATTTATTTACAATAAACCAGAATTGAATTGAATCACGGGTGAAGAACAAAATGATAAAACTAAAATATTGGGTATAAATAGGCGTAGCTGGTAATCGAACCGAGAATATTAGCATTATGAAGCAATCAGTCTTATCCACGAGAACACTTTGCCTCACTGCCATTAACTGGTTCACTTCTAGTTGTTAACATAACATCAGTCTTTTAGTCTCAAAGAGTAAAATAAAATAAAAATGCGCTAGCTGGGTATCAAACCGGATATACCTTCCAAATACCAGGCAGTCGCCTAGCCACGAGACCACTTTGCCTCACTTCTAATACCTGGTTCGCTTTTAGTTGTTAACATAACATCAGTCTTTTTGTTTTAAGAGTAAAATAAGATAAAATTGCACTAGCTGGGTATCGAACCCGATACCTTCCAATTACCAGGCGGTCGCCTAGCCACGAGACCACTTTGCCTTACTGCGATTACCTGTTTCGCTTTTAGTTCTTAACAAAACATCAGTATTTTTGTTTAAAAGAGTAAACAAAAACAAAATTGCACTAGCTGGGTATCGAACTCGATACCTTCCAATTACCTGGCGGTCGCCTATCCACGAGACCACTTTGCCTTTACTTCTATTACTTGGTTCGTTTTTAGTGGTTAACATTTTCTGAGGTTAATGACTTTACAAAATATGCAGATTTACTGATTGTTATGTTTAGAAACAGGTGCATTCAAACCAACTTGCCATTGAAACTATACATGCCATTGAAGCTAACTTAGAAATGCAGCTAGTGCAGCTGTATAGGCACTGCTCATCGTTATTCGATTCTGTTTTCAAAAGCTTGCACCGGCAATATTTGAATAGTTACGTCACGAATATGCGTGGGGTCCAAGGGGCGGAGCCCCCAGAAGCTCGGGGGTTTTATACATCAAATTACTGTCAGATGAGCATATTTTGATAGATAGATAGATAGATAGTAGGGGCCCGCCCTAGGGCCCCTGGTGGGGTCGAGGGGGCAGAGCCCCAGAAGCTCAGGGGTTTTGGGCATTTAATTACGGTCAGATGTACATATTTTGATACCTTTTTTGTGACAATGGCAGGTCACTAATTGGTGTGGGGTCCAGGGGGCGGAGCCCCCAGATGCTCAGGGGTTTTAGGCATTAAATTACCTTCAGATGAGCATCCAGGTGTCCAATGCGGGGCCCCACGTTTGAATTATATCTGGGAGCATCTGTGACTCCCAAGCTCCCCTTTCACCCCCCCCCCCCCATCAGAACGCCAGTGCCGTTCCCCTGATCTACACCTTGTTGGCGGGAAAAATCGTAACTGATCTCCGGTACCTAATTCTTTTTTTCTTTCCCTTTTGCTCCTCTTTTCCTTTCCTTTCCCTTCCTTCTCTCTATTTAGGTTTGCATGGGGGAGGCAAGGGCCTTTTGGCCCCCCAGAGCTACAACTTGTTGGCGGGAAAATTGCAACTGATACCACCTTCTTTTTTTTTCTTCTTCCTCTTTTTTCTTTCCATTTTCTTCCTTTTCTCTTATTTTTTGAGGGGGGGGGGGATGGTAATAGCTGGGAGGCAAGGCCCTTTCGGCCCCCCGATCTCCTTCTGTTTTCTCCTTTTCTTTTCTTCTTCCTCTTCTTTCTTTTCTTTCCTTTTCTCTCCTCTTTCCCTTCTCTTCCTTCTCTCTCTCTTTTTTTTTTTTTTTTTTTTTTTTTTTAGCGGGGGGGGGGGGGGGGGAGGCAAGGCCCCCTCGGCCCCCTGGATTCACGCCTGGTAGAGGGGGAATAAAACGAAGAAAGTCCTACTGAAAATGTAACAAACTTTTTAAACCTGCCAATAAGGGACTCTTAAATGTAGTTTTAAAATTGGGCATGGCTCTGTGGCTAACGCTAAATAGTATTTAGCAGTGTCATGTTCAAGAATTTTTCAATTTTCCAAGGCAATACATCTTGTATGCAACTGACTTACATAACTGTCTTAAATAATTATTCCATTTCCGGTTTTCGTGAATAATAACACCTAAATACCTTATAGAGTGGACTTGCCTGAATGAGTTCATGGTCCATGTAAATATCCAGACACACTGATGACTTAGTCGTAATAAGCATCGTTTTGGTTTTACTTATATTTATCTTAAGACGGTTCTTATTATACCAACTATTTAAAACATTCACTATATTTTGTAAATTAATAGTAACATTATGAATATTTTTACCCGTAACATAGATAACTACATCGTCAGCATAGATAGAGCATACTGCATTATTAATACCATCAGATATATCATTAATTAATTAGGAGTATTCTTTATTTTCAAAAAAAATATTGAGGCGGGGGGGGGGGGGGGGAGGGGGTTAACCCCCAAAACACCCCTCCCCCTGCGTACGCGCCTGGATATAGATATAAAGGCATTTATAGTCTGAGAAACAAGCTTGGCTAGAATGTAAATTTGTTAGCTGAAAAATCTTCTTCTTTTTAAAGATAAAATATGGGCAATTTAAAATCTTTGAATGGCGCATATTTTGAAAGGTAAGGGGTTAACCGTCAGACCAGTGGTGCCCTCCATGGTCCGAGGGACGTCGTCGTGGAGCTCGATGATGAATCGATGGAAGATGTGAGAGAATAAGACAAAGAGCTCTGTACGAGATAGCTGCTCTCCAGGGCATGCACGGCGACCTGTCAAAACAAATATAGAAAGGACATTAGAAAGTGTTCGAACAGGAAGAAGAACGCGACATTTTCTTTCTTTTTTGTGTTTTAAATTAGCGAGCAGAACATTTTGTAAGGTGCCAAGACGATTCATTATAAAGTGATAAAGTATGATGATAGTTATCCGAACTTATCCCCAATAAAACAAATTTTACAAAATGGAATAAAATATTTTAGTTACCCCACTGAATCCAAATTAACGCCAAAATGGACAAGCCCAACTTCTCTCATTGATATTTCAGCCTCACCGATGAATATTTCGCATTACAAGTGATGATTTTTAACCCCCAAATGTTTTCTCTTTTCACCGGCTGACCGGCTGATTGCAGACTTAGTATCGACAATCACTACCATCACCCATTATCAAGAGGGAGTAATGGACATGTAGAATATAAATGGTGATAATAACTTTCACTACATGCTACGACCAGGCGCGTACGCAGGATTTTTCGAGGGGGGGGGGGGGGTTAAAATCGCGCCGTAAATTTCGCAACGACTCAGCCAGCCGCTGAATAAGCGGGGGGGGGGGGGGGTCCCACAAATTTCGCAACGACTCAATCGTCCGCTGAATAAGCGATCGATATTTCGTTCCGTTGGGGGGGGGGGGGGGGGGAGGGGAGGGGGGAGGGGGGAGGGGGGAGGGGGGGGGGGGGTAAGGTCATCTTTTTTTAGTCACCCATCCTCCAAACACACACACACGCAAACAAAAATTGAGGGGGTCACCCCCCCCCCCCCCCCATCTGCGAACGCGCCTGGATGCGACTGTTGGCTAGCGATGGAGAATCCAAAATGTCTCTAAACGGTCTCGAGGATCTCAATCGCTTCGCATGAGCCGCATGTACTCGGCCATTGCTGTTGGTCTGGGCCCCGTCTTACAAAGACTTACGATTGATCCAAATCCATCGCAAGTCCTCCAATCAATCGCAAATCTGCTGTCTCCTATTTGTTATGTACATAGTTGCGTTTGATATCAATCGCAAATAAGTTGCTATTGATACTCTTTGTAATACAGGGCCCTGGTGTTGGCCTCGTTTGTATGACTGGGGTATTAGTACTTTTCATTTATATTTTGTCATTGATGCAATTTTTCTCAGACTCCACACGTAGATCTACACGCGAATCATGTTACGAATTTGTATTAAGTTTCTTTATCTATTTAATATAAGTTGTAGTACTACTAGTAGTAGAAGTTATTAGTAATATCATCATTATCTATCAGGACCATTATCATTATTATTGTTAGTAGTATTATCATCATTATTATTTCGTTGTCAGTATTATTGTTATCATTATTCGTTGTTGCTGTTGTAGTAGTAGTAGTAGTAGTAGTAGTAGAAGCATAGGCGCCGGAAGTGGGGGGCATTTTTGCCCCCCCCCAAAACGCCCCCCTCCAAAACAACAACAAAAAGCAGTAAAGGAATAAACATGATTTGTATTTTTAACCCAAAAGAACATAACAATAATAAAAACCTGAATTAAATCACATAAACCATTCCATTCAAAGAAAAGGAAAGTTCACAGGAAATAAATTTCATAAACATTGCGCATGCTACCTATACGGTTTATAATAGCGATACGCGCATACCGTGGACATATTGTGCGAGAATGGGAAAGCGTGTCTGTTTTGTTATAGGGGTGAGAAGACATGAGCCCCTGAACGCTGGCGTACTGATGGGGGGGGGGGGGGTATATCTGTACGATACCAGTGATTTACAAATGTTGCTGTTATGACATGATTTTCCGGTATTTTTTCTCCATTTTTCGTAAGTCATACCTTTTTATGCGTTTGTTGGAAAATAAGAAATTCCTAAATTACAGTCGGGCGAAAAATACGCTTATTTAGAAGCCTTTATGTCATGGTCTGCAAAGTGGCTGGGCTCGAGCCCCCCCCCCCCCCATCAATTTTTGAAAAAGTATGTTAAAGAGAAAAAGGAAGAAAGACGGAGAGAAAAAATAAGTGACCTACCAATGTCACAAATAAGGTATAAAAAATGCTCATCTGACCGTAATTAATTACCTAAAACCCTGAGCTTCCGGGGGCTCTGCCCGTTTGACCCAACCAAGGGCTCTAAGGGGGGCCCCTGGATGCTCATCTGACCGTAATTAAACACCTAAAACCCCTGAGCTTCCGGGGGCTCTGCCCCCTGGGCCCCACCAAAGGCCCTATAAGGCGGCCCCCTGGATGCTCATCTGACCGTAATTAAATACCTAAAATCCCTGAGCTTCTGGGGGCTCTACCCCCTTGACCCCTGCCGAGGCTCATTATGCCCTGGACCCCACGTCAAGTTACGCTCTTCCTGATCGTTAATACTCCACTTTGAAAAACGTTCCGCGGGACCTGCATGTAACGTGTAAGACTGGTGGTGATGCAGATTTTTCGTCTGCCCCCCCCCCCCCCTCCGAACTTTTTTCTCATTACGTCACTGCCCTTGGAAGGTGAGCCCCCTGGAATATTTGCCCCCCCCCCCCCCCCAATCCCAAACTGCTTCCGGCGCGCCTGAGTAGTAGTAGTAGTATCAGTGGCGTAATGAGCAAAAACGTTTGGGGGGGGGGGCTGACAAACAAAATCCGAATCACCCCACTCTAACATGCAGGCCCCGCTGAACGTTTCTAAAAGTGGGGTCTAGGGGTTCAAGGGGCGAAGCCCCCAAAGCTCAAGGGGTATGGGCATCAGTGGCTGATCCAGGAATTTCTTACCGGGGGGGGGCACAAAATGGCATGGGGTGAAATATATGTAAAACGATGAAGCGACAGAGCGAGGCTTTAACGGCGAGGGAGCGGAGCGACCAAGCAGGGGGTGGGTCTGGGAGGGGGTTCTGCCCCCCCCCCCCAGAGTAAGAAGCATTTGCAATTTTAGAACCAAATTATACGCATTTTCAGGCACTTCCTTGAGTAATATGACGTAAAATTGCTTTCTCCTACCCCTTCCAAGAGTAGGGATCTTTTGCAATTTGAGAACCACATTTGGCGCATTAATGTCCACCAGCACTTCATGGAAAAAAGAGGCTTTCTGATTGGTTAGAAGTTACAGAAAAGTGATCTGTCAAGTCGAGAGACGTTGTATAAATTATGCTTTGATGCCACACAATGCACAAAGACGGTGGTCCGGTACTTCATCAGTAGTACTTGCAAAAATTATCTCGAGTGTATAAACTGTGTCGTTATCAGGGGCGTCGCTAGATATTTTTTAGTGGGGGGGGGGGGGGGGGGGGAGCGGGTAGAGGCCGCCGATTACCGACAAAACGAGCCACCAATATTATTACCGACAAATATAAAAATGCCAATGTCCAAATGTCTACAAATTTAACCCTAAAAACCCGGGGCCAGGAACTAAGTTATTTTTCAGTTTATCCTTTGACACTTCATTAAATTATTTGAGAAAGAAGACGATCCGTTAAACTGTTCTCGACTCTTAAAGCTTGTTTCGCCCCTCCCGCGCAAAGCGCGGAAGCTATGACGTTTCATTTAATTGTTACAGAAAGAAGACGATTCATTGTACCGGTCCCGACTCTTAATCCTTGTCTGAATTCAGTTCCCCCCCCCCTCCCGCGCTTAGTGCGGAAGCTTTGACGTTTCAATACATTATAACTCTTAATCCTTGTCCGAATTCATTTTCGCTCATCCCGCGCGGAGCGCTGAAGCTTTCACGTTTCATTAAATTATTAGAGAAAGAAGACGCATCGTTTATTGTGTCTTTGTCTGAATTCAGTTCCCCCCTCCCGCTTGAAGCGCGGAAGCCTTGACACTTCATTAAACTATTATAGAAAGAAGACGATCCGTTGTACAGTTCTCGACTCTTAAAGCTTGTTTCGCCCCTCCCGCGCAAAGCGCGGAAGCTATGACGTTTCATTTAATTATTAGAGAAAGAAGACGATTCATTGTACCGGTCCCGACTCTTCATCCTTGTCTGAATTCAGTTCCCCCCCCCTCCTGCGCTAAGCGCGGAAGCTTTGACGTTTCAATACATTATTACTCTTAATCCTTGTCTGAATACATTTTCGCTCATCCCGCGCGAAGCGCTGAAGCTTTCAAGTTTCATTAAATTATTAGAGAAAGAAGACGATTCGTTGTATCGCGTTCTTGTCTGAATTCAGTTTCCCTCCTCCCGCGCGAAGCGCGGAAGCCTTGACACTTCATTAAACTATTAGAGAAAGAAGACGGTCCATTGTACCGTTCTCGATTCTTAATTCTTGTTTCGCCCCTCCCGCGCGAAGCGCGGAAGCTATGACGTTTCATTTCATTATTAGAGAAAGAAGACGATTCATTGTACCGGTCCCGACTCTTCATCCTTGTCTGAATTCCGTCCCCCTCCCCCGCCCGCGCGAAATGTGGAAGCTTTGACGTTTCAATAAATTATTACTCCTAACCCTTGTCTGAATTCAGTTCCCCCCTCCCACGCGAAGCGCGGAAGCTTTGTCGTTTCATTTAATTATTACTCTTAATCCTTGTCTGAAATCATTTTCGCGTTTCATTAATTATTAGAGAAAGATTAAAGGTATTACAAAGTTTTGGGAAATTTTGAAAATTGGGTGGATAGTGATTCTTTTCAATATTGATATATTTGGATGCCCCCGTGGATGTATTATAAAGTTAGCCCCTAAAACACTTCTGCTTTCGAGAAAAATTGAATATAAAAATTTACCAGTGCTCCCGGTAAATTTTGATAAATTTCAAATAGCGCCTACTGCCGTACAATGGTAGCTGCGACCATGAAAATTTCAGAAGATGTAGTTGTGATATATAATTTCAAGACGGGAAGAGCTAATTGGTCAGTTGTAGTCAAGAAATATTGTTTTATAGCTCAATTAATATCTTGACCTCGAGAGGGAGCTATATAACATAAAGAGTTTATTATTCAAAATTGCATAACTTTAGACTCGAATTCAACCGCGACAACGATCACTAAATATTGTAGGATCGCATATGCTTCCAATATGTTCATTTGAACCAACTTCATGACCCTATAC